CTGATTTCCTATCCAACGTCGATTCATATCGGAGCTCTCGGCAGGGAAAAACGGAATTCCGAGTGGGATTCTCCAACTTCAAGAATCCGGGGGATCGAATTGGGAGGCCGAAGGCTCTCGCAAAGTCTCAAACATCCGCAGACGAGACTCGGTGCAACGACGCGATCATGCCGAAATATTCGCGTGGAAAACTGCGCGCTCATTCGCGCGGACAACCATGTCTGCTTCGGCATTGGGGCGCCGGCCCACGAGCCGGCGATGCTCATTCCGTGTGCCTGACTTATGCGCTTGGCGAATCGAACAGGTGACGAAGACGAACCTTGCTTCAGACACGTTGGACATTGCAGCTTGGCTGCGTTCTCACATCCTTCTGTTTGACATTTCTCCATAGTGATTCCGTTTCCCACTGGATCACAACACCATTCGACGGATAAGGAGCGAAGTCGAAGAGTGTGCACGTTTTCGACTGCCGTAGGCAGTGTTGTTATCCTTGCCGCGGCAAGAGCGAATGGATGGATTTTTAGGCGCCCGTTCGCCCCGGGAGAGCCCAATGATGACGCGCTCGGCGCATACTCCCGGGAAAAGACCCGTTCGAAGCACAATAGTCGATCTGCGGTAAGCGGAAAGCTTGAAGATCGATATTTTCGGTGCCAGCTTCGAGGAAGTCTCAACATATGTCCCTCCCCAGTCCCTGATATGGAGCCGCTACCACATGACGCCTCGGGGGAAGCGGAAAAACGTCTTCATACGCGAACGTCTCTTATATCAATACGTGTGGGTGCTATGGGACCGGGGAACTAAGGGGTGTATCTTACACGCGGGAGTCCACTCGTTTCTCATGGATGGCTTGGACTTTCCCTATTTCGACAGAGGTCCTCCCCAGGACAATCATTTCGTTTGCCGGGAGGCCTTAAATGGACTCCAAGACTTTCCTCTTCAGATGAGAGAATTCGGCTCGCTAGTAGGCAGCGTCACAATCAATGGTATTCTCTCGACATCAGTAGGAGAATCCAGACGAAAAAAATCCACATGCTGGTCAGTGGAGGCCCGAGGGACCACAATAATCGAAAATCCATCGAAAAATCCTGAGCAACTCACTCGCTCGAGCCTAGGGAAATCATAGCACAAGACGAAATCATCCCCTGACGTACGTTCGACAACGAGACACGATGCTTGAACATATATGTACGTGTGCGAAAATGGCAGTCTACCAGGCGCCAGGGCGGCAGGATAGCAGAATCCAGTCAAGTCTGTTGATACTTCTCTCTTTGTCGCCGGGTCACGGAGCAAATGAGTCGAGCTGCTCTCCGGAATTCCCCCGACGGTATTACCCGCCTTATGGGTGGTGGTAATCAAACAATGCGAAGTGATTCTCTAATTATCCTCGATTGTGAAACTTATTCTCCAGAGGAGAGGGAACTACGAGCTCCGGGCGAGTCATATCATTTCTTCACTATCGGTTCCATCGCGCACATCCTATGCTCGAGATTTTGGTAGCGGTAAGCTTCGAGGGGAAACAAAGGAAATTGAAGCTCCCGCATTCCATGGCAAACGAACAAGCTCCTAGGGTCGCCGTGGGCCGCAACGCGCGGATGGGGGGATATCTTGCGGGGCCTGGTAGACAGGAAGTTGTATTCCGCGTGTTCTCGTTCGGGCGCCGGAAGTGAGCATTGCCCGGGTTATGAGCAGTCGCGGAGGCCCTGTGCCCCCTATCGCTGTGATAACGTGAGGTGGTAGGCGGACATGCAAGCCCAAACCACCAACGGGACCCGCCGTAGCTTCCGGAAGTTTCCAGAACACGCTCCACAACGGCACTGACAAAGCAGGGACCCAGTATGTCGCTGTTCACTATTAAGAATGATGACGCTGTGGAGCATTGCGGGAATTATTTCCGAGGAGGTTTTCGAATTTAGACCGTTGCCCCTTCCGCGACCCCGAGAACTGTTCACGCTCCGAGACTGTCCCTGGATTATTTGAGATCAACTTTCTTCCTCGGAGTATGGTACTCCCGGGTACTCCCTGGTACTCAGACCATGGTTGTTAACGAGACAGATCTCGAACATTCATATTATAAATAAATCCGATCTGCAGGGGAGTTGGATAGGTTCCTAGGTTCCTCAGCTCTTTACGAGTGATGTTCAATACTCTTGATGCTTCTCCGCAGAATGTGCGAGACGTCGTTTCCTGGCCAAAGTTGGAAAGGCTGTCCTGATTCGACAGAGTTCGGACTTCGACGGTGCCTGGGGTCGAGACAGCTTCAAGAGGACGTTCAACAGCTCCAAAGCGTTCGTAACCCTTAGCGTGGACCCCAATACGCTCCTCGAGTTCGTCAATGGAAAACTTTTCAAAAGGTAGGAAATCCTCCAACCCCCCGATTCCTGCCCAACGCGAAGGCTCTGCGAGTTTTCCACACTTCTGAAAGGAAACCTCTCCCGTCTCGCTCCGGCTTCTCCGGCGTTTCCTTATAGGCGTCTCTATGAGCTCTCTGAAAGCAGTCGCCGCGATAGAGAATCGGCTACAGAGGTAGTCTCGTTCACGTTGCTAAGAATGCCGTGACTAATGCCTATCGGAGCTGAGGACTCCTCTTAAGTTCCGGCCTTTCCGCTTCCAGACATGGGCTGCCCTATCCGTTCAGGGGGAATTCTCACGTCATCTATAACAATGTATTCTTCTATCATCAATTGAACACTCGGAGCATAGTCCGGTACGATCTTGTGAATAAAACTTCCGCAGCTCTGGACATCGAAGACGTCACATTCGGCAAATCTTCAAGGTAAAGTTTCCTCATAGCCTCGCTAGTCTTTCACGTACCAGAATCTCTCACAGAATGTCTGGAGCTGCTTTCGAGCTCCGCAGGGCGAACAAAAAAAAGTTTAATTCACGAGGAGCGACAGGCTCGGCACGCCGCTAGGGACTTTTGCCTCGGATCTAGACTCGAGGCCTCGCTCGGTGTCATGTCAAAGATTGTTCCTCTTATTCACGCGAGCTGACGCTCAGGCCGCCGTCGCGACCAATTCGCAAGTAATCTGCCGATTTGGCTGAGACGTGTCCCCGGGCTCCTTCCCGGGAAAATAATGACACCCACCTCTGGAAGTAACGAAGATCATTCAGGATTCCTTCATGCGGGAAAATTTTCCTCGGGGGTTTGAAATATCTCTCGAGGAGTTGAAATCCGGGCTCCGGGACCTCTTCCCCGGAGTACCTCTCAATTGATTCCGAGCATATTGTATGTGACTTTGCTCTGAGTGTCCAGAGATACCTTGGAAGATGCGGGAAATCCTTGTTTACGGAACCGCAAACTCTCTCATAGGATTTGTCTAGATGTGGTGCCCTCCACAAGCCGTAAGAAATGTTTAGATCGTCGTAGTCGAGATGTATTGCTCCGAGGTGTGGTTCGTTGCGGTACTCTGTTCCTCGTGGGAACGAGTCTCCCGAGCTCACGCATTCTTCGCTTGTTAGTTCGTCAGTCGTAGATTGGTTTTTGGCTTGACGGGTCGGTTTGTTGACTCCCCTTTGCGCGGCGCTCGACTTAGATCGAGGCGGAGCATAATGAGATGCCTTCATTCTTAGCCACCGCCGCTCTTGATTTGCATAGCGGAACGTTGTGAGGGGGAATAAAGGAAAGATGAAACAGAGACGGGCTCCCGGTGAACGCCTCGTTAAGTAAGAGAACGAACACGAGGAGGAGACTACAGGAATGCGAGCAACGAGCCCGAAGAGGCCAAGAAGGATGACCGTAGGAACGATGCGAACTATATTCCTGAAGCCTGAGTCTCATTTTACCTTTGAGTCCCCAAACCCGATCCGTAGCCGAGGCCATCAGCTCGAAGTTTCCACGAGGCACGACACTAAAGTGACGCGACGTCTTTCCGCAGGCATTTGTACGCGACACGGAAGAATCACGTTGATATCATGGCAGATGAAAACGGGCTCTGGGCCGTCTACGCATCGGACAAGTCGACGAACACGATGGTCCTGAAATTCGACGAGACCTCCATGAAAGTCGAGCGGGTCTGGAATCTGACGCTCGATCATCACGCTGTCGGAGAAATGTTCATCGTGTGCGGCGTCCTTTACGGAGTTAGCAGCGTCACCGAAGGCGTTACCCATATAAACTTCGCTTTCGATCTCTACCTCGAGCAGAGCTTACCGGTCAACCTCAACTTCACCAACCCGTATCGTAACACATCAATGATCACCTACAACCCGGCGGAGAGCGGCCTCTACACGTGGGATCATGGACATCAACTGTTCTACCCATTGTTGTTTACCCAGAATGTGGATATTAATCCTATGGCTCCGATTTATCCCCATTTTCGTACAGAAAGCGCCGATAGTGAATAATGGCATCCAGGAAAGGGAGCCCAGAGGTTGGCATAGATTCAAATCTGACGCCTTCGACATGAATTTGATTTTATATTTGTCAAAAGTTGAGGAGTCTGCCAACGTTCTAAGAACGCACAATAAAGCATTTTTGAGACACACACATAAGTTCGCGACTGAGGCGGGCACATGATCCCTGAAAGCCCCTCGATGATGGGGGGCGCCCAGAGGACACCATGATCGGCTGAAAAGACGTCAAGAGAATGAAAGGGAAATGATTGATGTGAATAATTACTGAATTTTATCCCTCCTATAGAATAAAAGCGCTATGTCTGTCCGTCTGTGTGCCATGTTTCGACTGTCCCGTATCGCGAATGTTTCGGAAGATGTGGGACGATCTCGTCTCGTGAAAGCTTGCTCTTTTCCCTCTTATTCATCTTCTATATTCTTGCTGTTCTTGCTGCCCATGCAGTATACGGATATCGTCGCCACCTCGGAAGGGATGAATAAAGGGATCAGCCATCAGAATGCACCCTCTCGTGCTTTGAAATGTCCATCCGAAAACGTTGAGCGATTCCGAAGATTCAGGAGTTCTCCGATTCACTCGTACCCCGGCAAGCGGTATCCCGCCGACTAAGGAGTCTTCCTGCATCCGTAGAATGGTCTCGGAGCGTCATCTTCCCTCTTTGACATGCGGTTCGGAACTGGATCCAGAAGGCAGTCCTGGGATGCCTCGCTGGCGCCCCCCGATCTATCTATGAGCCGGATCTCAATCCGAGAGATACAGTCATCTGTCGCGTCACAAACAATACTCAGATTACAGGATGGAATCTCCGGGAGCACCCTTCTCCGAACTTCTCCATGGTCGAGGGCGAAAGAGTTCGGGTCCCCTGCGAACTAGCTTCCCGGCAAATGACTTCTCTGCCAGAAATCCCGGTACCCGGGCGAACCCAGGAAAGAAGCGCGGCACGCGGGAATGCCTCTTAACGGCATGTGGTTCAATAAGGGCACAAGGATGAACGGCAAGAGCAGTGAGTGTCTACACTCTCACCGAACTTGTCTGTTGCATCACGAAATTTAGTCGCTGGCCGATGCGGTGTGATGTGTGCATGATATTTAGCGGCCGCGCTGCTCTTCCTTGACGAGATGTCGGAAACTACCTTCTCGAGACGCAAACAAAACGTAGTCTTTCTCTCTTCTCTCGTCAGCAGCTAGCTGATATATAGGTCCTCATTACGATTGAAGATTGCTGCCTTGGAAAGCACCCCGAACCTCGGCAAAAAGAACAACGGAACACCGCCACGAACGCCCCATCCTAGACAGATCTCCGACATCCCCCTGCTCTTGTCACGCTACGAGGTTTGATCGACGGAATCCTGCGGTACCTGGGAGCTTCCTCTTCGGCGGAGACTTCGAATCTGCGTCCGCGGTCTGACAGCTCGATTGAGGCTATGCCTCGTCATCCAGACGGGAGTCGCGCGGAACCGGGGTATGGTATAAGCTACAATCTTCAGCCGGGATTCATGATGATTTCGGGCTTTTCTCCCTACCCTTTTTCTGCTGCGTTCCTTCGGTCTCTTGCGAAGGGCCCTGCGAGACTCTGACACGGGCCAAGTACCGGAGGCCTACAGGCCGGCAACGGTCATGAGAATACACCCAAGTACGCGACTGGAGACTGGAGAGTATAGGTATATAACCATGGAGACCTCTTCCGGGCTCCACTAAAAGTCCTAAAGTGGTGACACTGGCTGACTTGTTTGTCCGAGATACTGTCCGCCCAAAACAACGTCAATGAAACTCAATGTTAAGGCCACCCCCCCACTCAAAAGGCGGTTTCGTATCTCATCAGATCATAAGCTGCGAGAAGCTCTCCTCTGGATTAGGAAAAATTTCGAATCCTCGTCACTACCCATGTAGCATCGCGCCTGAGCCCTTCACGTATATCTGGTCATCCATTCAGATCCCTTTGACATATTGAGAACTTGATCCGGAACGCCTGCGGTGACTTCGCGCTATCTGTTTTCTGCAGCAGACCCCTCAGCGAGGGTATGCAAGGAAGACAGCTCGCAGTCGGTCGTTCATTCTCTTTCTGTGATCGAAGCATCTATGAGCCTACCTCCCCAGGGCCTTCTGCCCTCTTTGAGTCGCTGGACTCGTTTACCGACCATTGTAGAGTACGAATCGCTAGCTTTGGCATGTTCTAAGACTGGGTCGTGCACGGCCGCCAGGATCAAGAGGAGGTCCGTGCTTCCACTGCAGAGGATTCCTGCGAGCAGAAATTTACGACATAATCAAACCGACTTCTCCATCGTTCCACCACGAACCACCCCTGTCGAAGACCACGCACATATAGTGATTCCGATTGATTGAGGTCGCTTTCCAGATCAAGCAGTAGGACACCACCCACCTTCCTGGAACCCTTCTAAACCGTCCCCGTCAATTGACCCCCTGTTCATGGATATTGTTGGGAAGAGCGCCGAGCACCACCCTGCTTCTTCCATCGTCCGAAGCAACGCGTTGTGAGCTCGATTAGTCAGAGAAGGATCTGGGGGAAATCACCAAACGATCAACTCTGTTCCGTTACTTCTCGGGTTTATTTCTCTTCCGACACTTCAGCAGTTTCCGGCGCTGATGTCCTCATCTCCCTCGATCCGTTCTCCAACTATATGATCACCATCATCGGCTCCCTCCTCGCAGGTTTCCGCCTCAGAAACGAAGTTCCTCGTCCCTCATACTAGTTTTAACAAACTTCAAGCCCGGACCCCCGAAAGAGAAGCACTCCCCTCGGGATCCGAACCGATTCCAAAATTCTACGACAGCATTGGGAAGTTGCTAGCCTACGACTAGGGTAGTGTCAGACGTGAATTTGTGTTCTGGAACTTCGAGGTTCAAGGGCGCGGGTCCGAGCCGGATGCGACCCGATCCGTCGTAGTGGGAGCCGTGGCAGGGGCAATAGTAGCCCCCGTAGTTTCCTGCGTTCGCAATGGGCACACAACCGAGATGCGTGCACACCCCGAGAACGACAAGGAATTTAGGATTGGCCGTGCGATCGCTGTCGTTCTGCGGGTCGCGGAGTTCAGCGAGGTTCACAGCTGCTTCCCGCTTGATTTCTTCATCAGTTCGGTGCCTCACAAACAGCGGCTTCCCACGCCACTTGAACGTGACGTTTTTACCTGAAAGAGAGTGAGACGTCAGCGTGAATCCCCGGTGAGAATGCGAGTGAGCTTCACCTCACACGTTGGAGAATGCTCATTTCAGTGCACCGCTGTCCTGGCTATGGGAACCGACAAACGCACCTTCGGGAATGGACGTCACATCGATCTCGATCTTTGCCAGCGCCAGAATATCGGCAGATGCCGCCATGGCTTCCACGAAGAAGGCCACTGTATTCTTTGCCGAGTACAGACCGGCAACGCCAACTGCAGCGCCAGCGACGTACGATCCGACAGAGACCTTGCTCTCCCTGGAGTTTTTGGTGACGGTCTTGCGGTCGTCCGGACGGTAGTGATCGAAATTCGGAACCTTCAGATCCGTGTGAGCCAGTCGTATCTGGCACGGGGCCGTTAGAGATCCCGAGACGGCGAGCATGCTTGATCGCTGAGGGAGCGACCTAGCAAGGGCACTAGCGGTGATGGCTGGTCCCTCGTGGGGACCGTTCTCGTGTTTGAGCTCATTGACGGCTCGAGCCACGGGCCGGCTCTGAGAGGGAACCACGCTGCTGGTCGCCTTCAGAAACTGCCCGATTTGCGATGACTTGCCTCGAACCGATATCATTTTCGGATTCTCTAGCAAGAACAGTACACTGTTCACCAACAAACCCTTCAAGATGACCTGAGACCTGAGGTGGTCGTCGATTGTTTACATGGGTCTGTGATCTTTGCCTGATTCGAAACAGTGGTGACCGCAGCGGGCGGGCGGGCAGGACTCTCTCTCAGCAGGACGTGGTAGGGCCACTGATGTTTCGCTCTTTCTATCGTACGTCAGGATCTCTGCTCCCCCATTCCAGGGAATGAGCGGGAATGCAACATAGGATGCGGTTCTGCGGACAAATGAGGATTCCGAGAGGAGAAAGTGCTACGCTTTTTCTGAGGCGAGTTCGACGTCAGAGTCCCTGGATTTGATTCCATTCAAGTTCCCCGGAATCTCGAAGCTTGAGTCCCGGGGCTCACCCGCATGATCACTCCGGGATTTCGATATTTGATATGAGAGCACGATCGATCCAGGAGCTTTCTCCATCGAGATGATTCTCCCTCCCGGTTTCGAAGGGTTGAGAATCGATGGATCCGATTCAACAGTCCAGGAGCGGAAGAGACCGTTCATCGGAGGAGCGATCCCGAATCTCATGGACATTCGTGCCTTCGATTTGAGGCGAGCAGTTCTCGCGAGGGGCGATTCATCGAGTAGAATTCTAGTTCCAGGAATTCCTATCCGCTCACACAGCGGACCTGACCCTCTCACTTATACAATGATGCGCGGCGGCCGAAAGCTGCTGCCCAGCTCATGAAACGTCACTGGGGAAGCTAATCCAGAACCCTCGAATCAACTTCACTCGATTCAAATTCACGGGCATAGCCCACCGGAGACAATTCTGCTCTGTTCTCCCATCCGATTCTCGATTCGATCCGGAATAGACAGTCTCATCCAAGGAATGGCGAGCTCCCCGACAGCCGCAGAAAGTCGCTCTCGTCGCCGCTTCCTCCACCCAAACCGTCAGAGCCTACCGGCCTTGGCTGCTTCTTCGTGCCCTAATGACGTCATTGCCCTTCCCTCGGGTCTGTCCTCGTGCTGCCGAGGACTTGAACCAGGCGACGTTCTCTCGAAGCTGCAAGCGGGCTCAGACTGGCAAGGTTTGCCCTGCTTCGAGCAGCTGACGACCGACTGAGTCCGTGAGTGTGAGGCTGTGAACTTCTGGCGGCAACGAGGAGCGGCGTCTCCGGCGACAGATTGGCAGCAACAGCAGCTTCAGGAGGAGGAAATCGCGAACAACCTCTGCCATCCTAACCCGTTCGCGTGGAGAATCCTCATCCACCCATTCGAGCGATGCCGCACCTTGACAATGATGTCAAACTCGACTTCCAAGATGTCCTCATCCGACCGAAGCGGAGTGAGCTCAGCTCGAGGTCCGAGGTCAGTTTACAGAGAACGTTCAAGTTTCGGAACTCGAAACGAGAACTGAGCGGAGTCCCCGTGATTGCTGCCAATATGGACACTGTGGGTACCTTTGAGATGGCTTCGACCCTGGCGAAAAGCGAGCTCTTCACCGCGATTCACAAGCACTACACTGTCGATCAGTGGGAACAATTCGCTCAGAATCAACCGGAGACCTTGTCGAGAGTAGCGGTCTCTAGCGGCTCGAGCGAAGCGGATTTTGAGAAACTTCAGAAAATTCTCGCTGCCGTTCCCCAGCTCCAGATAATTTGTCTCGATGTCGCCAACGGTTATTCGGATAATTTCGCACTGTTCGTGCGCAGAGTACGGAACGTGTATCCGAATCACGTCATTCTGGCAGGCAACGTAGTGACGGGTGAAATCGTCGACGAACTAATTCGGAGTGGCGCCGATGTCGTCAAGGTCGGAATCGGGCCCGGGTCCGTGTGCACCACGCGAAAAAAGACCGGAGTCGGATACCCCCAGTTGAGCGCTGTCCTAGAGTGCGCGGATGCTGCGCACGGATTGGGAGGACACATCATATCGGACGGAGGATGCACTTGTCCTGGAGACGTGGCCAAAGCCTTCGGGGCCGGAGCTGATTTCGTCATGCTCGGTGGAATGCTCGCTGGTCACGAGGAGAGCGGTGGAGAAACCATCGAAGTGGATGGGAAGAAGTACAAAACCTTCTACGGTATGTCATCGGCGACGGCAATGGAGAAATACCACGGCGGTGTCGCCGAGTATCGTGCCTCGGAAGGAAAAACAATTCAGATGCCGTACCGGGGACCCGTTCAACAAACAATCTCTGACGTGCTCGGTGGGTTGCGGAGCGCATGCACATACACTGGATCCGCCAAAATCAAGGAGTTGCCTCGACGGACAACATTTATCCGAGTCAGTCGACAGCTCAATGAAATCTTCAGTGGTAGAGAAGTTTGAAATTGGATGCAAAGCTAGATGTTTCCTTACCCCGTTCGAATAAATAAATCCGAATGAATCCCGGAATCGACTTTCGCTCGGAATCGTACTCCTTTGAAATCGTCTCCGGGGGCGGCATCAGCTGGTCTCGATCCACGACATTCCAACCGAAAAAGGGAGTTCGCCGTCGTTCCCGCGTGCTACCCAGGTAGCATAAGCCCGAGGGACACACACTAGGACGAAGACCGGCGCGGCGTGCGGAATCGGTGTCTATACGAACGCGAGGCACATGACACCCGATCTCTTGATTGCGAAAGGATAGCAGAATAGCGTCCAAAAATCATCAATACGAACTTTAAAAATTCTCTCGTTCGCAAGTTCTTCCCGCATTCTTATATTCTTGTGGCGTTCGTTCTACTCCGGGCTGTGTCACTCCGTTGACTCTTTTCGAGATCGCCGGGGTCAGCCGAGAACGGTACTTGAGTCCGTCGTACAATCAGACAATTCGATATCGTGACGGAAGCTATACAAACCGACGAGTCCTAGAGAGTTTTATCTAGCGAAGACTCATCCACACAGATAATTGTGACGACAGGCTGCTCCTTCCCAAAGTTCAACAATTTATTCGTTGATTCACTACTTCTTGACATGCTAGGAACATCGTTCGTCTACCTATTCATTAAATTTACATATTCACACTCTCAACTGTCTTCCACATTCTGAAGGAGGAACCTCTCGAGGAATGGCCGACATTGCGGAAAAGCCCTTGAATCACAGCAGGAGCAGCTCTCGTAGGCAGGATGAAGCGGGTCAGGACTGGATAGAGGTCTCGAGACCTGACCTCTAGGTGGACGACTTCGAGGTCCCCCGCGGAAGACGATCCCTCGCAGATGACGCTTAGGAAGAAGACCACGAGGATACGTTGAGGCCGAATCAAGTGCAGGGAGCTGCATCATGAGACCTCTCCTGACTCCTCTCACGGATCACGGACGAACAAGACCACAGACCTGCTCGATGTCATGGGAGGTAGTTCGGGGCTGTCCAGTCCCACTGTCCACCGTGCGAGGGATCCAAGCTTCTCTTGTCAAACTTCTCCCCTCCTACAGTTGCGTCGTTCATCATTCTATTGGTACTCCTAGGAGCTGATCGAGGGTACACCGAGAGGAGTCCCGACAGCTTCATAATGCAAGTAAAACCCGAAAAACCCAAGTATCCCTGCGGGCTCGAGTTTGTGAACAAAATCCCGGGATCCCTAGAAGACTGCCCCTGATGCCGCCAAAGCATCGAATATCGATTTGAATTGTTCGAATAAAGGTTCCTCTGCGCATAGGGGGAACTCGGGGGGCACTGTTTTAGTTAGTAGCACCGCCGGTATCTCTTGAAGATCCTTCCGCTCGGTGATTCTTTCCTTGTACACAAGGTCGTTCTCACGATGGCGTTTCTTGAACTCCTGCTCGATGACAGCGGCTTGCTTCTTCCAATGTGTCCCGAAAACGAGGATCGTCACGAAATTCGCGTATTTATTGGCTTTTACGAACATCTCCATGGCGAGCTGTAGTCGAGCCAGCTCATCCCCGACGCGTTTCTCAGAGCTGTCCGCTCGCGCTTGATGATACTGAGCCAGTCCTTTGAAAGCGTACTCCTTAAACTGGATCACGAAGGACCACTGATCGCTGCACGGTTGATGTTTTTTCATGTGTTTCCATGACGCTTCGTAGAGATCGGCGCTTGCTTGACTCAGCTTGGCCAAGATTGTCGGGGAATAATTGCTGTCGGAATACGCTTTTAAGTAAACACATTCCTGTGCTTGACCGAGGGCGAGCTTCTCGAGCGCTTGTAATGAGTCACTCATCAAGTCGGTGGTCATGCCCGTCATCGAAGCTACCCGGCTCACGTGTCTGATGTACTGAAAGATACCGGCACTTCTCTGCAGGGCCTTAATCCCTTCCCGGAGATCTTCTTCTCTCATGGATTCCGCCAGCTCAGCCGCACGTCTCGACAGACACGCTGCCAGATTGAACAGCGCACAGGCTTTTTCGAATGACAGCGTATCGCTCGTGTAGTAGGTGTGGTACGTGATGATGCTCCCGCTCGGGAAAGCGTTTTTCCACGTAGATTGGACACAGAGTTTCTGGGGCGGTAGGAGCGACTCGAGACTCCACAAGCCATCCAAGTAACGACTCAGAGCTTCCTCGAGGGAAACTCCTACCGTCAATCGTTGGTGTCCAGAGACCGCATCGATGCGCAGGGTGTCCAGCTGCTTCAGGGCTCCACTGAATAGATTCCGAGTTTCCGCGTCAACTGAAACTCCGAGCACTTGTTCCAGAGACTCCTTGAAACTCAGAGCCTCCGTGCCCTTCTGAGGTGTTGCAAGGAAACCTGCCATCTTTAGAGCGAGCACTTGGTGGCTGCTGATGTTGGTTGGACTTCGTGTCCGAGGCTCCGGATTCACATGGAGTATGCCTGGGACCACCAAAGGCGGGCGCCGCCAGCTATACCAAGATTCGGAGGCTGACGAACGATGTGGGCAAACAGTTCTTTCTCGAATTTCATCAGATGAGTTTACGTCCAGCCGATATCAGCAGCTGATCCACTTACTCATTTCCATTGAGCGAGGAGGTTGGCGCGCTTAGTCACTTGAAGCAACGACGCGCGAACTTCAAAAAGGAATATTGCGATCGCGAACTCGCACTCTCAGGGAGAGCATAGGCGATCTGCGGTCTCGGGATCTTTGAGGAGTCGTTCCCGAGTGAAATGAGCTCGATCTGCTGCCAGTTCGATTTTCTTGCTGAAAACTGAGGCTCGGACCAACAACTCCCTTTGTGAGTCTTGTATTACCTCCAGTCCACCCGGACTCAAGGGGATACGAGCAGCGATTACACACAGTCAGAGTCTCTGCTGTAGGAAGTGAGATTCAAGTCCCATTTTCGCGCCTGCCCCTCCTTGAAGCCCGCTTGCGTTCTAGAGATGCTGACCACATTCATTGCATATGCGCTCATTGTGACAGCTCCTGGGCAGCGTCATGGGAATCGCAGTGCGCGCGACCGGTCGGTTTAGAAAGACACAACGAGTTTTCTTTGCTAGGCGTTTTATTTGCTTCCAAGTTCTTCTCACATAGATTATGCGGCTCTCGTCTCCGCCTACACACGAGAGACCGAAACATCATGACTCTCCAAAATCCCGGCGTGAGCTTTACAAATCTCGAGTTCTTTTTTACATTTTTTTGCTCTATCTGTTTCTTACAAAAGATGATGTCGACAAAGCTCCATTATCTATACAGATCTCGAGCCCTGCTTATTTAGCGGCTCATCTCGGGTTTTTATTCGTTTGCATCAATTCTGATGTGTCCCCTCGCTCCATGACGTTGCGATACAAATTCAATCATCATCATAACCACACCAAGCATGCGTTTGAAATCCATGACTTCGCTCGACGCGCACACACACAAATGAGCGGGTATCCTGCTCGCATCAACCGTCTGTCTCGATAAGCTCAAACCTCTAAACTAAACTCTTCTCCGCAGATAGGAAGAATCGAAGATTATACGCTCGTTCACTCGTTTTTCTTGAAAAATAAAAGGAGTTCATTTGCATTGAATCGCTATTCATTGTCAGAAAATATTGCGAGGATCTTCGACGGATCTCTTCCTGTTCTTCCTTCGCTTTTCTCTATCCGATGAGCGAGATACCGGACGTGCGCAGAGACGAATCCTCCAGCTATTCCTCCGAAGCGCTTGGATCCGAGGCTCACAATCACTAATGAGTACCAAATTTTGGCCAACAGAAAGCCGATCGAAAGCCAGACGCTGTTTGCATAGTATCTAGATCTTCGTATTGCGTGAATCTCCGGAGTCACTAATCATCCGGGCGCGGCGGTGGTACTACTACTTCCCCATCCATCGGATCATTCCTGCACGAGACGCTCCTTTGTTGGAGAACTCGACAGGGAGTTCGATCGCCTTCAGGGGCTCGCTTGCCCGATATATCGTCAGATGTTCGCTATCTTCCTCTCATTTCTCTCGCTGATATACACCGACGGACGGTCAGTCAGTCAGTTAGTGAGCCATAAACTCGGTCGAGTCCTCTGAAGAGGATCTTTCATCGATCCGGTGATCGGCTTCAGGTCCTCTCCGAGCGCTTCGGGATGCGCTTCGGGATTCCCAGGCGATGGTCGATTTGATCGACTCTAATGACTCAATCTTGACCAACGAATCTTTGATCCCTGCGAGATCCGTTCCCGCCGTCAATGTCCCCGCGAAGTTTTTCATCTAATCAGAGATGTTCGATTAAATCTCCCGACCTGTAGAATGATGCTTTTCTCGCGTATTCGCTCGTTTCGAATCCCCATAGGAGTTTCTTGCACAGTGTTTACACAAAATCAGTAGCATCCAGCGAGTCGATGTCGCACCGACAACCATCAACCGTTGCATGATTCCCGCACACCATCATCCATATCGATCAATAACAACAATATTGAGTTACACGATTGTACAAGCCCGGTGATTCACCTGGTACGTGGTTATATCCTCTCATTCGCCTCCCGTACTGGCTTTTGCTAGATTCGAGAAAGGACGATCCTTTGAAACCCGTACAGATAGACCTGTCATATAGACGAGATCCCGATCCCGGGAACTGTAACGCAAGTACGCCTTTGTGTCTGCACGCATTGTCAGCCTTTAAATTAGAGCAAAGTCCTCCAGAAGAACAGGGGGTGTTCGGGAAGAGAACGCTATGTGTGAACCGCCAACTCGACGCTTGGAAATGAGCCGGAAAGAACGATGCGGTTTCGCGTGTTTTCCCGCGAGAACCGATTCATGTTTCGGCATGCTTTCAGCAGCCCAGTCCGTTGACTGTGTGTGAGGCGGTGATCTCGGCATGTCTCGATGGCTGCTTGAGGGCACGCGAACAATTACCGCGCTACACGATTTACCAGCGATGCTCTGACTTTCAGTCTGGACGTGGCTTCGGGAATTTCCTTCCTCTCTCGGAATCTTCCGCTCATTTCATACGCATTCCCTCCTCCAAGTCGCTCGCTCGAGAACTTCGAGGAGAAATACGAGAGAGTCAGAGCGACGAGCCAGCAGACGCCAAAGAAGATCTGCTTTGAGATTCTTGCCTGTCATATCTTCAGCAAAGCAGATCTTACCGACACCAGTTTATGTGTATTCGTCTCAGCAGCCCCCGCTCGCGCTGTCGTTTGTGTGTCCAGTCGGTCGAGAGCGATCGCGGAAATCTTCGAAATTCACTAAAGTCTTTTCTGGCACGCTAAAATGAGCGATAATAGAAATCGTGCTCCATTCCGCTAGGAATCAGGATCCACTCGTTAGAGATGAACCCCTTCCGCACAAGTCGAGCCGAAACAAGCGATACGCTCAAGACCTGAACGCCGATCGTTTTCGCCAAGGTAACGGCTCTTCGTGAGATGAGCGAGAGACATTCGATGACGCATGAGAGCCGTGTTCGCGCTCCGCCATGGTATCGATTGCTCGCTCGTTTCATCCTGGGAATCAAACAGATCAGAACGAATTCAATCGTTCGATCGCCGTCCAAAGCTCTCGATACGAGCATCGAGTAAACGTTGAGCGGTATCTTCCTCTCGAGATGAGATACGGACGAAAAACAACTAGTCGAGGACACTGCAGGAAAAAGGGACCATATCGGTCAAATCACGGCTTGTGGGAGGCGTCAATTGAAAGGGAGCCAACAAGCATTCGGGTGGCATAGAGACTCGATGAGCTCGTAACCCGCATCGACGAAACCGCATCGAGGCCATCGATCATTGCACTTATCTTTCTTCTGCATGATGTGTTTGTCTTTTTCTCGCCGTTTCTCTATCCGTCCTTACGCCAGTTTTTCCCTAAATACAACAATAAACTTTCCGTAGGCCTGTACGGAAGCTACGGCCAGAACGCGAGTCCAGCCGGGCTTCTCAGCGTAACGAACACGAGATCAGAGCCTGGACGAGCAACAACGACGGTCACTATGTATGTCTCATCATTGAACAAGCTTTATAGGTTTGTATCGATGCAAACTACGCGCATCGATCCTTTGTGAACGGACGACGACTTCGTGTGAGCCACTCGAGAATGAATGAAGAAAAAAGTTCACTAGATTGTACAGTGGCTAAATTATCTCCTACATCCGATTAGTCGACCGACCAACCTTATTCCTACTTCGTCTCTCCATGTTACCAGGCCCCCGTCTCTGGCTCGAGATGCCGTTCATATGGCTCTGATGATTTTGGCTCGTGAGGGGGCTCTGTTGCTGAGGGCCCAATGGCGGCGACGAATGTTGGTTAAAATGATGTGGGGGCTGATGGTGCACGACAGTCGATTGATGGTGCACGGTGACTGGCGCATGGTTATGCCGGCTTTGGCTCTCCTCGCAGTCCTGCGGAGGGTTGAAAACGTTCACGTGAGAATCATTATTATCGGCCAGTAATCTGCAATCATTTCGCAACGGAGGGTTCCCCATGTGATAGGAAGGAGGATGGAGTGTCCTGGTTCCATCTTTGAGGCGGTGAGATAAACTAAGAGAAATTTAATCGAAACACTCACGGAGCTCTCAGGATCGATATCGCTTCGGCTCTCTTCGTCGTCTTCTTCTTCTTCCTCGTCATGCCAACTAGCCTTGTCGGAGGCGACTGAGCTGCGGGACGACGAGCACGATTCTCCGTTTCCTGACGACGGGTAGACCGAGAGACTTCGCTTGCCGCTATCCCAGCTCCCACTTCCGTTCGATTGCGCATATCTGGGATGGAAGATTGTGGGTCAGGTTCGGAGAAAAATAGCATACGGAGCCTCCAGCGACGTGGCGACCCGACCAATGGAAATATGTTCCACGACGAGGCTCACCTTTGGTTATTGTTGTTGTTATTGTTATTATTGATGTTATTCGTCCCGTGTCGATAATGTCCGTTTGAGTGATGATTCAGACTATGTTCTCGGTAAACCCGCGGCAGTCGGTGGTTCAATTCAATTTCATCCTGGGAATCATTGAGTTCTTCTAATGAGCTCGAAGCTCTCGTCCGGACCGGCGAGAAGGTCGAGTCGAGCCACAGACGGTAGTCGATGACTGCGTCTGTGATACGAATGACCCGACCGAGAATCCTGTGGAGCGGGAACAGTATTTTTGAATGAGCAAAGATCCCCCTCGCCCCATGAAACACGACCCGTTTCAGCTCAGAATGACTTGGGATGAATCCACCATACGACTCACGTTTCTTTGAGATCGACCGCGGTCTCGTAGGATGGATGCACCGCGAGTTCGAGTTTGCTGAACGCGGCGTCGAAAGCTTTTTGTACGTTTAGCGCGCCGTAAGAACTTCGGCCGATGTCGTTGCCGGGCGTTAGTGGATCTTCGATGCATAGAATCGATGATGTATCGTGAATGACCCCCGCTCCCGAAGTCTGTCCTTGAGCGGTGGCCATTTCTCTCTGGAGGGCTTCTTTGGACATGTAGCTCCCTCCGTCCTTTATACGAATACCAACTTCGGCATAATTAAAGTAACGACCGTACAACTCGAAGAACTCTAGCAGAAGAACGCCCAAGTTGACGTTCGACAGCGGCGACTGCAACTCTTTGATGCGCAGATGCCGCTGGAGGAAGGAAACAACGAGGAGGATTAAACTGTACGATGAAATGCCGCCCGTGAACACTTCGTTGAGATCTCGTTGCAAGAGGTACTGCTTTAGCACAAATACGAGCTTGGGTAGAGGGGGGAATGTTTTACAAAAATCCTTGATCAGCTTCGCTGATTTGACTCCGTTTTTCTGGTTGAATGATATGTCCACCTGCGAGGAAAATCAATCTTGGTCACGGGGGAAACGATCGCACAGTTTTCACGCCGACGCCGTACATCTCTCGCTTTGAGCCCAACTAGCGGAGGGCACGTGAACTGACCTTGACGTTTGTGCTTTGCTCGGTGAATTTAACAATTGGGACCGATGCTCGGTCGAGAACTTTAATGGTAGAGGCGGAAGCAATTTTCTCTTGGATCAAAGCTTTGTGAAGAGTGAACATGGGTAATGTCTCCCAATCGCCCAATATAACCTGAAAAAGAGCGTACGTAAATTCGGGGGTCCTGGGCGAGTATATTCATCATGATATACACTTAACATTCGGTTCCTCTCACCAAGTCTATATCACTAGTGGGAAGGTAGAGGCCGGTACAAAAACTCCCGAAAACCTCGCACTGGGCCTGGGGCCAAAGTTGTCTCACAACTTCTTTGACACGGTTTACGACTTCTTGCCGCACTTGATGTTCCGTCCTCGTTGGTTTAATGTACTCGTAGAATTCTTCGATCTCTTCGTGGAGCCTGCTCTCAGGAAGGAAGAGAAATATATTATTCGTTCATCGGCATTCGAGTATGACAGAAATAGGCGTCACAGCGCGCAGGACGCACAGAACGAGATGAATTCGTGGGAATCCTAATCCGCCAGAATAATTCCATTTTTCAAAGAATAGATAATAATACGGAGGAACTAAGCGTAGGGAACCGTGTTCGGATCGCCCCGAAAGAAGTATATATTTCTCATCAGAAGCGGATATGCTGCGACCTCGAGATTGGAGCCGGCAGGGGTTCAGAGGTCCAGGACCATCCAGAGATGGACGTCGTCACGGAGCTTATGGCCAGGATTAGCGTCGACCCAGCTCCGCTCGTCTCGTATACAATATCATGACCCTATATGTCCGCTGCCCCCCGCACACTCACCCGACGATCCCACGCGAGTAGATTCTCCCAGGTCTCCGCCAGGGTGTACCGCCATACTTGCTTATCAATTGTGGGTTGCGATTCAGCGCGAAAGTCGAGGCTCGATTGGTCTTCGACCTATCTTTTGCGTAACCATATTTGTTTTCCATTGTTCCGCTCGTAACGGAGCCGAGAGGAATGAAGTCGTGGTTATCGGCAACACCTGCAAACACAAAGATACGGGTAGGAAGAATTCTCCATGATCGACGACACCTCGAAAATCCGTAGAACGTCGATCCTGGGTGAGTCCTTCGGTATAGTCGGAGCCTCGGCATCGAATTGGCGCACTGTGTGAAGCGTGGCGAACTCTGACGTCAGAATATTCGTGAACATTTGTCTGTTTAAGAGGAGGGTACAACAATGGAGGATACGACTCTCGAGGCTAGTTCTGTCAACTCGCATCGAGCGCTTCATGGTGGGACGCCGAGCGACTGGCGGACTGATTGAATCGCATCGAGGGCCACCCGGAAGACTGGCCGAAGTCACCTGGCCTCCAATCCCAGGTCTTCCCGCGTCAAAACGGGAGAACAGTTCGTGATCGGCGAAATAAACCTCTCGAAGAACTTCAGTAGGCACAGAGCTGTGACGAAATTTGTCCGATCGGCCGCTTTGCCCTCTGTATGCGCCCAGGTGAATAAGGGTAGTCCGGGGGCGAGGAAAGCCGCGCCCGTCCTCGTAGGATACGAGTCGCGGCAGCGGATTTCTCAGTTGGAGAGAGAAGCTCCCTTCTATCTACCTACGTTGGAGGACAATGAGTGGATCGCCTCTCGATCGGCATTTGAGCGGAGTCCGCACATGGAACGGATCGATAATCATACCTGCAGTGACAGGGTCTACGGATCGTCTGACAACTTGGAGAAATTCCGCAAGTCGAATCACAAGTGCCATGGTAAGGGTGAGAACGAGCAGACTTCGTTCTCCGAAATGACCGGGTGCTTATTGACAAGATTCTCGACACCAAGCTTGTCGGGTAAGGCCTCTGTGGCCTCTCAGCTAAGAAGTCGGCCACTGCGACTTCTAAGTGACGGCCAGCGCTCTCGGGAACCTTCTCCCTCAGACACTGAGGGTACTCGTTTCTAATCGGATACAAATCTCATTCTAATTTTTCGGCCGAAACAGATCGATAGTATCTCCCGGGCCTGAATACCCCTCTTCGATAACGAAAATCGTCATCGGAACGACATTCGAGAAAATCCGCGTCGATGCAGAGTCTATTACGTGACCCCCTACCCTTCCCGAGGGGGGCAAGTCCCCCCCCCCCTCCTCGTCATGATTGCGCCGTCGCATATGGCGTTTGAGCTAGCTCTACAGACAGTATATCCTCCCGTCAAGAATTTTTCGAATGTCGCAGAGTCGCGCGGTAGGTCACACAGAGGGACAGACAGACTGTCGGAACCACCGGCAGTCGGATAGACGGACAGATGAGCGCAGATCGAGCGAGGGAGCGACCAGCGGCGAGCCAGCCAACAAACTAGGCGATCGACCAACCGACTGATTGACCCGTATTAAAAACGCACCCACCTCGTCTAACCAAATATTTGCTCAAAAGATGACTAGTTTGTTTAGAATGACGAACGATTCACCATAGGTGTTCGGATGAACGCTCACCATCCATAATTCTTTCCCAGAGCTGTTGCGCTGGACCTTGTTGTTCTGGTTGATACCACCCGATATTCGGATCCATCAGATTACACGAGAGAACGAGATGTTCCCAATGATGCCTGAAATGAAATTAGAAAATGGATCTCTCACTCGCAATGTCTGGACGAGAGTCTCCGATCCCAGACGCGCGAAGTCGACCTCCCGTCGAATGGGGAATTTCCCGGATGAGAAAGTCACCTAGCATACTGGGCTCCTGATTTCTCTCGAGCCGGCAACGCTCCGTCACTCCGAACTCCTCCAGCTCATCACGCTAATCGAGAGTCGGCAAACGAAGGCGCACGCTTACGAAACTTCGGGAGAAGAGCAACCTATTCGGCGTGAGCGATACGCCAAGAGCAATACTGGTGGCTCGAACGGCGGCTCCCGAGTTCGAACGGCGGCTCCCCCTGATTCAGATCTCAGTCAGCAGGGATTAGGCGTCAGAATCCAGGGTCTTCACGTCAGATCCTCCATGGGGCTGTAATTCAATTCACGCTCAAATCCCCATCACGAGCACAGCGAATTCCGGCCGAGCGCCTGGCTATTCCTCGTTTCGACCGAGTCTCTAGCTTTCGGCCGAACACATAGCAACACGCGGCTGAGCTCCGTCAGGGAACGCGACAGCTGATCGGAGCATGGCGTATCGAACAAACCTCTAGGTACTCAGTAAACGAGATCGGTTCCACACGAAACGATTGAGAAACGAAGACTCAGAGCGACATCCAGTTTCCTTCCTGTGGGATCCGATAGCGAGCGGAGGACGATCGTTTGAATATGTGAGATTCGCTACGTTCAAGGTACGTGCTCCACATTGATGTTTTATGATAGGGAGTCAGGTGTGCCATGTGAGACGACAGCCAAAACACTCGGATGAACTCCGAGACCATCCAGCGTTCGACCCGATTTGCGCCTCACTTAGATTGGGACCCGGAATCCTCACGCCTCAGTGGCGAAATGAGAAGCTCGACCAATTCGCATGTGTTCTGATGAAGAGTTCCAGAGCGCGTTCTGCCTCACAGATGGGGCGTTTTTGGAGCGGATGCCCGAAGGGAGCCCAATAGCGATCATATGGTGGGTCTCCTCCGGATCGGAACGAGGTCGAATCGCGCACCGAATTTCACATTTGGGAAAACTCGCGAGAAGGAGCCAGCTCGAGTATTCGAAGTTATCTCTTTCAGGCGGAGAACCGAACGGATGAATTATGTTCTGAGAGCGCTCAGTGGAGATCTCCCGGATCGCAGTCTCCAACAATTTGGTACGGGAACATTTCGAACGCGAAGAGTTCGATCATTGGGGGGGGAAAGGGAGTCGAGGAGTCTCGCGGCTCTTTTCCTGGTTGGGCCATACCCACTCTCTAATGGGCCTCGACATCCGTTCCGCTCGGAGATCATCGCGGACCGTCGCGAGTCGCGAGCACTCGATTTCCTCTTACCTTCAACTTTCGACGTCCCGTTGCTAATGAGAAATTCGAACGGGAACTGCTTGACGTGTGGTCGCCACTCACCGGGCACGACAACTTCCCACAGAATCCGTCGGACACTGGTGGCCGAACGCCACTATGGAGACTTCTCGAGCAGCCCACCAACCAACGATGTTCCACAGCAGTGGGCCAATATTCTCCTCGGCGGCGGCTGATGATCTTGTGTGTTGCTCGGATGGCGCGGCGGGCGGGGACAGTCGATGGCGGGCTTTTCGCTTTCCGGCGGACACGATATGCGAGGTTTCCTCTCTGGTATAGCCTGCGTCGGGAACAATTATAACGTTCATCATCCAGTTCCTCGATGCAGAATGTTGAATTTTCGGGCCGTTCTGCTCCCCTCGCTGTCAACAGAGTCCGATTGGCGTCTTCGACGACAAATAATTTCGAGTCCTGACAACGGCCATGAGCCCGAGGGATCGAAACCGGAATGCAGAGTAGATTGGTGCGCTCCTTCTCGGAAGAGCGTAGGAGAAAGGAGATCGTTCGCACTTCGGCGGCAGGAGTCTTTCATCCGCTCTCGCAGTCCGCTCCTCGCTGCGAAAGTCCCTCCTATCGATGGCCTCTCCCATGGCTTGAAATGTTTGCCGGCAGCACGATTCTACCTCCGACTCCCTTGGTACGGTCTACGAATCTATCTGCGAGCCGAATACGTAGAAAGCTGAATGGTATCGTCCTCGGGAGGAATTCGTAACCTGTTGGTCGTGATCCGAAGATACCCCAGAATCAGCTCGCAAATTGTGGCCAGCACAAATCCGGGCTCCCATATACCCCAGGCTTCCACCAATTCGGTTGGAGACTTCCGTTCCTTCGATCCTCGGAACTGCCCTCTGCCTAGGCGGATAGAAATCGAGTTCTCACCCAGGGGATTCCGAGAAATCGACTCCAGAACATACGACAACCCCAGAACGTCCCTCGCTGAATGATGCTGAAAAATCGCTCGAGGGAAAACCACGACATCAGGTCATTTATTCACCACTATCATGACAGCGTTCGATCTCATTCGCTTATAACTTACTCCATCTAAAGAAAAACCTGCCGATAGTGAAGCGATCGAGCAAGCACAGCTGTACCCGTTAGGAAACGTCGACGGGAGCAGCAGGTCTCCAGTCACCATTGGCTCACTCAGAAACCGTGTACCATTGTGCATGTTGGCTTGATACTTCAACGACGGATCACCGCGGGAACGACGTCCCAAGCTCTCACTGACTGTTGATTGATAATATATTTTATGCTAGGCCAAATAACATTCAGGTCATCATTTTCTCGGGCTCTTCCATATATTCGCGGAAAGCTTCCAGGAACTCTGCAACGTCCGTGTCGCTCATAAGTCGCGCGTCGAACGAAACGGTCACCGTCATCAGGGTGTCAACAGTACGAGCTGATGTGAAAACCTGACGGCCCCCACCAACGGCCATAATAGCTGCTTGAGGAGGATTTATGACAGCGGTGAACTCCGTGATGCCGAACATTCCGAGGTTGCTGACGCTGAAGGAGCCTCCCTCGAATTCGTGGGGTTTCAATTTGTTCTCACGAGCTTTCGTAGCGAGCTCCTTAATCGAGTTGCTGATTTCACTCAGTGATCGTTGGTCGGCATCCTTGACGATTGGAGTTATCAATCTGCGGCAAAGAATCCATCAGACGCGAGAAAGGACTGTTCGTGCGGCGGAGGCCAACAAGAAGCTGGTCATACTTCAAGTTATATAGGGACCCCTCGAGTGAGAGGATAGAAAAAGCATGAAACGCTAATCTCACCCGCTGTCGGTCGACACCGCCACGGAAATGTCGACTTTTTCTTGTTGCTTGCCGTCTTGGCTCTGGGAATCCCACGTCACATTGATCTGAGGAACTTTGCGTAGCGCCAAAGCTACGGCTTTCACAACGAAGTCGTTCACGGATACCTGGATCGCAAGCCGGGAATGATCGTTCGGTCGAGAATAGGAGTATACATTAAAGCATATTATGTCGCTCCATAGGCGACTTGATCCTCCACTTGTTTCGTCTGAATTCGCTCCCTCACCTTCACGTTCATTTCGGCGAGTTTTTTCCTCGTCTGAAGAACTTTACCCACAGAAACCTCGTAACTCGTATAGCTGTGTGGTACCGTTGATTTTGAGAGAGACAAGCGTTTCGCAATGGCACGTCTCATGTTGGTGAGTTCGATGTCCTTGTAAGCAGGCTCTGGTGGGGGTCCGACCTCAGCAGATGGGCCCTTAGCTTGTTGGGTCGCTGAAATCCCAGTCTGGGCTGCTTTCGAAAGCGCGGCTGCCCCACCTGAAATAGAATCCGATCCTCAACTTTCGAAATGCAGAGATATCCCACATGCAATTCCGCTGTATCTGTATCCCGATTGACCGAATCGGGGATGTATTCATTCTGACCTGATTCTATGAAACGCAAGACGTCGCCCTTGAGCAAAACATTGTGGGGACCAGTTGCTGGAACCTGGGATGCCTGGAGGTTGTTCTGAGAGAGCAGAAGTTTCACAGCAGGACCGAGTAAATTCAAGTTTGCTGAACTGCTCGGGCTCTGGGCGACGGGAGTTGCACGTGGGACTGGAGCGGGACTAGCGGCCGTCGGTGGGCCGGGGGCGCTAGATTGCGCAGCTGCCGGAGGCGCGGTATCCGCCGGAATGTTCACATCTTTCCAGTCTTCTCCTTCCTCGACCATGATCCCTGCAATATAGAATTGAAGGTTCAGAGCTCCTATTTTCCGTTCTGTGCCGGTCTTGTTCCATAGGCGGAGTATCAGCCCACAGGGTGAGAGAAGTCGCGCACCGATAAGTGTATTGATGGGAATACTTTGATCACCGCTAGGCGCTATGATTTTCGCCAGAGTTCCTGGTTCTTCGACTTCGAAAGCTACGACGGCTTTGTCTGTCTGAATCTCGCAGAGAACATCTCCCGGCTGAATGGCATCGCCTTCGTTCTTCATCCATCGAACAATAACTCCTGCAAAAGAAAGCTTTCAAATCATTGAAGCCGAATGCAACATCCTCAAAATTTATCGCGCCATTCACCATATCAACGTCGATTATTTCAACTTCCCGAGGATTCACCCTCATCAAATGTATCGACTTCCATAAAAAATAATGTTTGAATTGATTGAGGTCGTACTTCCGTTCACTTGGATTCAATTGCCCTGATCCGCGAACGATCGGCAATCATTAATAAATAGTCGGTCGGATGTTTCTTCAATCACTCAATGATTCACGGGCTCGAGAATAGCCCATCAAAGATATCCAGAACAAGGTGGATCGGCGTAGCGATCTCTCAATATCTACACTGCCTATGCGTCCGATACCAGAATCGAACATTGGAGGTCATACGGCGATCATCGCCGTCGACAGGCCATAACTGTACCTTCGGTCATGGTGGGTGACAGCGACGGCATCCGCAACTGGATACCGTCGATTCCTAAAACGATACGAGTTCTGTGGATACATCGCGCGTTCGGAGCGAAAACTTTGGATCCTCGAAGAGCAGCGCGAACTGCAGGGCCGAACATCCCGACGACCATGGTGCTCTAATGCTCTGTGTTGTTGATGGCCTGCCCGGAGAGAATTCAGCCTCAGCGGCGGCGCCAGCACAGAGGACAAGAAAATGGTGCTGACGACAAAATGGCGCCCTTTCGGAAGCTTTTCGCGCACTCTACACCGGTGCGTACGATTACCGGGATACTATTGACGCGATTCGAGCTGGCGAAGCGACAAAGCCGACGACCGACGGGACTGAGGAGGGAGGGGGGTGGTTGGAGAAATTATTTCGCTTCGGCGCCGACAACTTTATAGAGCTAAGGTTCGGGGTCCAAGCCCATATTGTTCGGGCTCCTCGGAGAGAGGTGTGGGACGATCGCCCAATCTTCCGAGCAGTTCCTGCGATTGGGGAATTCCCAATTCCTCACCTTGACTTTTTGCCGGAAGGCCCATCGATTCGGGTCGAGGCGCCTTCTCCCGGACTTCCAGGTCATGTCCAACTTCGTAGAGTTCGCCGCTGCTCCGTCGTTGCCCGTTAGAGCAGGAAAGAGAATGCATCCTATTTTTTTAACCTCAGATCACGTGGTGGATCGTATATTCGCAAGTGAATCCGCTCAGAATGGACGATAATTTTCGATGATTGACATTATTCTTATAATTCCTGATGCAGTCGTCCAACGAGCGGAATTCCAATACGACTCACCATTGGGTAGTGCACTGCGTTGCGGTCATTTCAGCAGAGCGCTCTTTCGTCCCGGGAGGTCTTTTCCTACGAATTCGTGAGCACCTACAATGGGTCGCACAAATTTCTAAGGAAATCATGTTTCGGCATCTCTGCATGCAACACATACTGGCATGAATTTGGAGGTTTCAGACGGCAAGGTTTTTCCTCGATCACTCCGAGAGCGATCCGAGATGAGGAAGAGAGTCTCACGGGTGCAATTGTCGCCCTCGATGTTCCTTACCGAAGATCCCTCGGTCTAATCCTTGAGATCCTCGCACTTTTCGAGTACGATGATCAACGGCGCCGTCAAGCCGTCATTATCGGAGGCTTTCGAGAGTCTGCGGGACGCTCGGAAACCGGATCCGAATTCCTATAGAGGGATTTCAGGACCACCATTCGGGAACCCTTGAAATAGCGCGCGGGCGAGGCAAGCCCCGAGTGACCCTGAAACCTATTGTATTCGTCGGGAAAAACGACCCGTCATCTTTGCCGTGCCGTCATGTCACATGTAATATCAGATTGAAAGCAGCCGCATTGGGGAGAGGGCAGCGTGCCGAGTACTCACGGTATCGATTCTGCTGGCAGAGGACAATATTCACGGAAAATCACGTGGATGATTAAGCGTGGGTGACTCCGCCATCATCGCTAGCGAGCTCTCGATAGATGTTCGAAGACCAAATCTACCTCTCGGTGAAGATGAGTCACGACGTGCGTGAATCCCAAATCGGCATCATTCCTAACAGCAGATCAGTGTGCTCTGCTCGAACTCGATTGGAACCGATGCGATTCGCAGGGCAGACCGTGGTTACGTCTCGCGGGGACCGCGTTCGGAGATCGGAAGCCTCTACCGATACGGAAATCGTGGAGCCAACATTCGCTCCGAAGAAATGCTTCACCGTCCAACGCAAGCGAGCCATCTGAAACCCGACCGTCAACATCAGGGCATCTCGAGACTCCACATCATAAGTCGGAACGGCCACAAAAAAATGGATATGGACTGGAAGAAAGTCTTGAAAGACTCATCGGCCTCCTCGCGACCGATTGTCGTTGATCAGGGGCGTGATGTGCTCCCAATAGACGTCTATCTCAGCTCATTCAGCTGCGGAGGTCTTATGACGCGGTAGCGTTCTGGTGGAACTCGATACGACGTTCTTTCCGAATTTCGCTCCGGAAGTTGCTTTCGATGCGGGCGAGTAGGGAGGAAACAATCGACAGGAAACCAACAATCGTGATTTTCAAGCTTCGAGCAGGCATGTTGTTTCCGAAGGGAACTGGATTAGCCTCTTAGTATAACGAATCGTTTCTCCATCTCGGCCGAGTTGCCGAATCCGTGATCCATGGCTGAATGTTCCCCGTGACCCATGACCACAATACTTGCTTTGGAATCTGGGACGAGAGCGTAAATAAGCGATACCATCTTTCATTGTCAATTGTCAGTCTCTCTGCGCAGCATGCCGCCGTGAGTCAATGCGATGAAAATGAATAGCTCGAGATCATGAGGAATGATCTAAGCGCTCTCAAAGGGCTGGAGATAAGAGCGAGACGTATCGAGGCGTTCAAGAGGTATCTCTTGGAGCCGTGTTCAAGGCTCCTTGTCTCTGCGGAAGAGAGGAATCGATCCATTCGGAGTTTAGATCGTTGCATCAGCAGAAAGAACGATATCAACACGGAGAACGAAACTTTCCCAGATCATCCTAGCAACGAGTGCTGGACAGAAGAATTCATCCTCTCCCGCCTCGTGAGCCATTGCGCCAGCCATACGGAGCGGCCTTAGCGCCGAGGGTCAGGATTCCCCCATCAGAGATTGGGGTGGTGTTTTGCGCGAATTTGGCGCCACGGCTCAGATCTTAGCGAGCGCGGTAATAAGGCTCAGCATTTAGTTTGACTCTTGTAAGAAACACGTATTCATCCCTCCGAAAGAAAGAAAACTTCTTTCAACTTGTGTTCGCCGAAAGATAATCTCGCGCCGTTGAAGGACCTGGATTTTCCTCAATAGACTGGGGAGCCGAGAACTACGTCACGTGAGTATAGTGAAGTTCGATGGAGATACGATACAGTCGTTCCGCCCTTGCCAAATTTGTCTGCGTGGATCTGAGCGATAGAGCAGGAAACGAGGAAACGTCCCTCATTGGCCATTGAGATCTGGGATCCCTAGAGGAATTGAGGGATGTTGTTAAAGGTCGAGACATTTAAAATTGCATCATCGTGTTCTCTGACCGCGAGCGGACCTCAAGCAGATATCAGCGACTGTGGAGTCCCCTGACCGCCGTGTGAGCCGCGAGTTCAGACCCCGGACTCCCGGCGCTTATCTGAAAGCTTCTGAAGACATTGTGATCGCTTCCGTGACTACCGACTCGACCATATTGCGAACTTGCCAATGATGCGTCGTCAACCAATTCCAGAGGATGTCCGATACGAGCGCCCGGAAACGTAAACAGGGAGATGACAATGCGAAAGCCGCAACGCGCAACACCCGTGAATGGGTAAGTTGACATGCATCGAATCACTGCGAGAAATATCTTGCGCTCTTGAACTCAGTCAGTATCGCGATCGTGGAACGGGGAAATCGTGTCAGATTGCTAGCGAGGATCTGATACTCGCTCTAAGGACCGACGTGTCGGCACGCTCCTTGGCGTGAGCAGCGAATCACTCCGAGGCCCGAAACTCGCTCGAATCTTGAACCATCATCAATTCAGTCGCGCCGAGAGCTTCCAGCGAAACCAGAATGCAGATATTCATTCCATCGGGATCCTTTTCTCGAGTTCGTACTATCCGCCGATTCCACGCATCGAGTCATTGACGGTGCCGCGCAAGGCGCTGACGTCAACGACCACGACTTGACGTTCGAGTCGTGGCAAGGGCTCCGTCACAAGGAGGCGTCAAAACGGTTTGAGCCGTTCCTGATGCTAACGACGATTTTAAGAGACCTCTCTGTCGCGTTGTGAAACACGAGCCGACACAGGAAACGACGCTCCTTCGCGATTGTTTCCCGACATGTACCTAGCTCGGAGCGCTCAGCCGCTCTGGCTCCGATGTTTCCTCGTCCACGCACAACGTCAAAACACAGGTGGACCGCCCGATTGCAACAAATGTAGTGCGCGCTCCTTTCCGCAGTTTGAAGCGCCCTCGCAGTGCGGTCTCTCGCTGGTTACGCCTGAGTTTCATGGGCTAGACGTGGCTGTAGAACCAATCTTCATGAACTAGAGTGGACCAATGGCGCGCCGAAAGACGCAATTGGTGAGTGTTTTGGCACGAGGGACGTCGAGCGATCGACACTGGTCCGAAGGAATTAAGTCTGTGGACTACGGCGCCTTTCGGCGGTGACACGGAGCCGGTGAAGAGCAAGAAAATCCCATGGTTGCTGCTGAACATCCGCTCTCACGATGCCTCGAAATCGGGAGCGATTCGACTCAAGAGGAAAGGGCGAATAGTATAGACTGAGTCCGGGTCGTGAATGTACTTGTGGTATATACTCATGCCGCTCGCTCCGGGACAACGCGGGTTTCGGTTTAGGTTCCGGATTACATATCAAGCAGAGTATGAGCGGAATTGGTGTCTCTTCTCAACCGATCAAATTGTTGGGTATCCCCCTGCGTCACAGCTGTTCTCTGACAGGCGTACTTTTCGTGCTCTGTTGACTTTCATTTCATTTCATTTATTACATAGGGATGAGTATGGGCATGGAACCCGCAAGCCCTACCGGGCCGCATTTTAGCATTGCTTCTCTCGATCCGACTTGATTAGTATCCTGTGAATTTCTTCATTCGATTCCTTTGTTCAGTTGCTTGCAGTCGTCGGCTTGCTCGAATGATGTTCTCAGCCAGAACTTGAGGCTCTGATTCTCTCTCCTCAAACACCAATCGCGCTCCTTCTCAGGCGTTCTTAGCCCATGCTCAGTGGGTTTCGCTCTCCATGAATGCAGTCATACCATAAGGAAACGAAACACCAGGTCTGCTCGCGAAGCCAGCTGATCGTTCCTACCGTCATTCGCACGCAATTACCCATAACGACGAATCACTCGGCTTGGCGCGAGCAACGGTGCTGACGCAGATTATAGCCACGTTCTACTCTTCTGATGAGCGGACAAAGTCCTGTCATCTCTGAGACCATCTGCTGCATCAACTCTACTCTAGAGAATGGCTGTTCGATTCTCAGATTCCTTCCTGAGAGCCCGACTCGGGCTGACCCTCTCGAGGAGAGGCAAGGGAGAATTTTCGAACAACTCGACAATTCATGTCGTCCTGTCGAAGCTCACAGGTTCTACAGGTGCTCTAGACTGTACTCGTAGCGTGAATTGCTTGGGAATGCGACGAGGAAGCTCCTCTGCGGGTTCTGCTGCGTCGTACGCGGTCAATAACCCCTGGAGTATCATGAGCTCGGGACGACATTGACCTCCGTGATTATGCCAACCTTTCAATCGTTCTAACTCGTTCGTGTCAACGGATGCCTGATTGACGCTACGGATGCCCTCATTTTGAGGGGAGTTCCCCAAGCGGACGCTGAAACCGAATTTCCTCTCCTGCAGGCACTGTGTACCCCAGCCGCATTCTCAGACGACCCTGAAGCCATAGAGGAAAATGAAGCTTGTGATTACAGCATCAGGATCACCATGGACATGGCGAAGGCAGGAGAAGCGCCGCGTACAATAAGGATGTACGCTGACGGTAAGTGCTTCTCGAGAACTAAAGCGGAGACATGCATAGAGGCATCGCGGCTCTCCGTCGAGGCATTTCACCGGGATGTTCTTGAATGGAAAAAAATAATTTCTTCCAGGAATCTACGATTTGTTCCACCAAGGGCATGCTCGCCAACTCATGCAAGCGAAGTCTATGTTCCCTAACGTCTACCTCATCGTTGGCTGTTGTAGCGACGAAATGACGCACACTAGAAAGGGGAAAACAGTATGTATTCGAGCTCGAGTTTTCATCTGGAGCTCGTCCGGAGCGACTCCAAGTCTTCCTTACTTGAGACCCAAGATTTTTGATGCTCATTGAATCGCGAATTCTGGTGCGAGAATATCGCCGTGAGCTGGTACTATCGTTCTCGTTGCTGGTAAAGTGATCATGAAATGATTCCAGGTCATGACGGACTCAGAGCGCTACGAAGCTCTACGTCACTGCCGATACGTCGACGAGGTTGTACGGGACGCCCCATGGGTACTCACCGATGAGTTCTTGGAAAAGCACAAAATCGATTTCGTTGCACACGACGACCTGCCGTACGGCTCAGTGGGCAACGATGATCTATACAAATTGATAAAAGAGAAAGGAATGTTCGCCCCAACGCAGAGAACGGAAGGGGTGTCCACGTCCGACCTGGTTGCGAGAATTGTTAAAGACTACGATCTCTATGTGAGGAGAAACCTCGACAGAGGCTACTCCGCAAAAGAGATGAACGTCTCTTTCATAAATGTGAGGATCTTTGTTCAATCATGCATAGTCACGTCAATATTCATCAGGGCCTATCTAGACAACCATTGCTGCTTATTGTCCAGTCCGTGAAGTCTTGCTCTCTCCGACAACTCTGTCTCTGGATTCCAGGAGAAGAAATTCATCCTGCAAAACAAAATGGACGCACTTAAGAAGAAAGGCAACGACTTTGTCGAAAACCTCGGAGAGAAGAAACACGAAATCATAACGAAGTGGGAAGAAAAGTCCCGAGACTTCATTCACAGCTTCCTCGAGCTTTTTGGTCAGGACGGAGCCTTGGTGAGTGGAAAGAAATCTCTTCCGGGGAATATAATCGAACCTATCGAGCCCAACGTCACTCATTACCTCTTCCGAATGGCAGTGTGCGTATTTCCTGGATGTATTTCTCTGTTCCGAATTTTTCGTTTTCGGCTTTGACCGCTTTTGGTTTCTGTTCGGAATTCTTTTCTTTCATTGTGCTCATGCCTGCCACGTCCCCATAACAGATTAAGGTAATGAGTACTCGTTTTCTGTACCTTTTGCCGATTTTATGTATCATAGGATAGTATTGGTTAGATTTTTGACTCTCGGATCGATTACCGTTGCGGACGCTCTACAGCTGGCCGTTGGATGGAACAGTCCTGCTTCGGGTTCTCAAGCTGACGTCAGAGACGGAGCCCGTTCCTCATCGCCATCGACAGCACAGCTCGATTCCCTCTCCGCTCTCTCATCTCCGATCGGTGCCGAGGACCGAATGCCGCAAGTCGGCAGGATAGAATTCGAGGCCGACGACGGAGGGAGCTCCAGCAACACCGCTTCGAAATCTCGACTTGCCGGCGGCGGAATCTCAGCCGATGAAGTAGAACATTTCCAGTCTCCCTTGGCATCAAAAAGCAAGCTCCGAGAAGACACAAAAAGCCCCCCACCCTCGTAGAATCGAAACGAGCAAACGCTCAAGAGTTGAAATCCCACCCGAATCAGGAATCAAGGGAAAACGGAAAATGACCGAGCGAGCGCGCGAGGATCGAGCGAGCGATAGAACGGACTCTCCGATTGCATATAAGATTAATAGGACGTCGACATTTTCTTCGCATATGATGCGATAGCCACCCCAATGAATACACTGTGATGATTGAACACTCGGTGATGTAATTAATCTATTATTATGTCGGCTGCCCACCATGGAATCGTGTTCGGGCTCCCCGAACTCGAATCCGACGAGTTTCCTTCTAGCTTCTCGGAATTAGCTTTTAATTAGTCTCAAGGAAGGGGTCGATTCCGCCCGTAGATTCGCATCGATGGTAGTTTTGAAATGATTTCTCGTCGAGCACCGATGTCCGTTCGTCTCTAGAATCATCATGATGTCTGATTGCTATCGAACGGCGCTAGACTCAGCTCTTTCACGGGAAATGATCCACAAATCTGGATGAATCTGTGTGTTCAGGGTGCATTATGTTCTAGCTCCCAAATATCTCCCGACCTAGTTACCCCCATCCACAATCAATAATTACTGTCGCATACCGTCATGCCATCCATCCAAGCCTGGAATACTTCAACCTAAATCCTGATTTGTCGGCCCCAACGTTTAGATCCCTCTATCCTGTCTCGTCTGCGTTTTTCGTTCATGATTCTTTGGATTCTGCAGAACCTGCTTTGGAACGAGAGCAAAGGCCGCATCCGGAGTGCGCTGTCACCACCGGACTCACCTGTCGCCGCCGACGATGACGACGACGACGATGAGGGGACCCATCACGCGCAGCTCAGCCCAAGAGACGATGCCGATGACCGAGATTCTCCTCCGACGAAGCGAGGACGGAACCTTCATTCACCGTCGTCGACCATGAGCGACGATGCCTACGATTCCGGGGAAAGCGATCGATCAAAGAATAACGGAAATCGTAGACGCAAACGATGATACGCGGAGTTTTCTGGGCCGAGTGAAGGCTGTTTGAACAGTTTCAGCGACGAGTCCAGTTTCGAACAAAGACAGGTATACGAATGAGGCAACGCATTGCCCTCGACACATGTACGCATGGCTCTCGGAGGGTATTTCTTCACTTTGAGTGCCTTAGTATTGAGACGAGGCGAGATTTTATTTTCTCGTTGAATAGAGGGTGACCCTGACTGAAAGACTTTCAAACGAAGTTAGTTTTTCTCTTATAATACACGTCGAGCATTTGGTGAGAGTCTAGTGAGAATTTTCGACCAGACCGGATGCGACAGCTCTGGGGATTCAGTTGAGGATTTCCTGTTTTCCAGTGAATATTGTTAAAGACTGAAACGAAATAAACTGATGCAAAAACTTTACATTATAATGGCTTGTAGTCTTTAGGATCTTCCCCCCAGGGGGATTAAAAATAGAATTGAGGAATAAAACTGGAAACTAAGTACATTTCATGAAACTAAAGACTGCGTCAGTAGCGGGATGCGACCGCCGGCTCCGTTGGTATCGACGAAGTAGGCATAGTTTCACATGACGTCGGGGCTCGAGACCCTACCGATGGTGGAGCACTTCTGGACGGCAGAAATCTATCAAAAGCGAGGTACGCTAGAGTCGTTCCTCCCATTTTGCATCATTTTCGAGGACGCACAGATTCTATCAGCGGATGACTGCTTCCTAACGATCAGTAGCGCAGCCCCAAATAATCGTTTCAGTGAAGTCTTATGCCAGAGTGGGTTTCGAGAAATGTGAGTCCTTTGAACGGAACTGCTCCTCCCTCGAGATCAGTCCGATGTCACTTGGGCATTTTCTGCTAATCGTTCTCCAATTACTCCCGTTTTGCATCATGGGAGTTGTATGGTGCTACTTGCGGTTCAGCATCAGAAAGGGATGAGAGATCATCCCGAACGATTTCTCTACGGTTCAGGGCTCCAATGACGACTGATACTCAAAATTGAGAGATCGGACCGCATCCGCGAAAAACTTGTCCGTTCGCGAGGCCATTCCCGAAGTGCCGTGTCCTGCCGCTGAAAGGAAATCCATCTATCGGCAATCCGAAGGGAGCAGCGAGGGCAGCAGGTCGGTGGGTCATATTTTCGCGCCAAGGCGTACAGGCCAGAATCAATTCGGATCTGATCACCGATTATCGATTGGAGATTTATTGGATGGGGTTTCACATGAGCGCAATTGATAGCCTCGGTGACACCAACGGAAAACTCCTCAGCTTCATCCTCGAGATAATACGGGTTCCAAACTGAATGGCAGGCGTAGGTTCTCGAAGACAAGTTTCTAAGCGTGAATCTTCGCCGAAAACCGGAATTCTCAAAGAAGTCGGAGATCGTTGGTATTTGAATGATGCTTTGTTGGTATGATAAGTTAAGGACATCGAGCGCTACAACAAAGGCGAAGAACATCGGGGCCGTTTTTCCCGGTTTGAGGGAAACGGCCCGTCTGAATGATTTCACTTCGCCGTTTAAAGGAATTCCGTGCGATTGTGATGCCCGATGAAATATCGGAGTGTTTGCAGAATCGTTGAATTCTCCGATGATGATCAGCGGAAGAGTTTCTTCAAATCTGGGAAGTCGTTCAACTCTTCGTCGGTGAAATCGTCAAGCTTTGGCAGCGGTTTCCCAGTCGGCAGTCGACAGTTTCGATCCCGGATTTGTTTGAAAAAGTCATGCGACAATGCTTCCCAAGCGTCCAATCTTTCAGATGGATTGTACCGGACGAGCTAGGAGAGGGTGGTATTTAGGGACGAAGACAAGACTAGTTGTATGTCGATACCAAGGAGCCTGCCGCGCTGATGAATGATGAGCGTTACGGAAAAATTTGGTTGTGTGGAGGGGCATTGGGGCTGACCATCGAAACGAGAGACACGGCATCATCCTCGGCCCTATTCTGCAGCACCTCCGACCACGGTCTCGCTTTTTTCAACGGTAGTTCCGACGGGAATCCGGGGAGCAGGGCCCTGCGAAGTTTCGCGGTTTTCTCTTTGAGAATACAGTCAAACACAAAACTCCTGCTCGCGGTCCCAAGTCACATTGCAATCAGAAGATTCGTTCCCTTCTGCGAATCTACTTGCGAAGACGCCTGAATTCAATCGCGGAATGACTAAACTCCCCAAACCTTATCTCTCCGTCCGTCGGAGTGCCGAGAATGCGGATCATCTCGGTCAGTTGGTCCAGATTGGATTCACCGCTGAAAACGGGTAGCTGTGCGTACATTTCTGCGAGAATCAGACCGGCTGCCCAATTGTCGACTTTGGTAGTGTAGTTGTGACTTCCCATAACAAGCTCCGGAGCCCTGAAGGAATCAGCTTATCCTAAGAAGCTCATCTTGCTCTTCCCAGACTAGAGACACGCATCGGAGCTATCACTCTAAACTTAGAAACAAGTGTCTCCGCAAGACCTGTAATGTCTGGAGCATATGTACGCAATATGCGTCTCGTCCTTCTTTAATATCTTCGCAGACCCGAAGTCGCAGAGCTTCGTGATGCCGAGTTCTAGGTCAACAAGCAGATTCCCCGGCTTGAGATCTCGATGCGCGATACCGCGCCGATGTAAATACTTCAAACCTCGCAACACCTGGTGGAAAACAACCTGGAAACGGATTCCCGCGCTCCTGAAGATGATCTATGGTCAGACTGGGCGCATATGAGACATTCTTGTCCCGGAGCTGCTGATTACCTTGATCAATACAGGTGGTATTGACTTGCTCCGTTTGCGGAAAATCGCTATGACGCGATGTAGAGTGTCCTGAATGTATTCCATGAAGAGATCCAGTCTATCACCGCTCTGACTGTAGAATCTCAGTTTCACCACATTCGGATGATCGAGAAGCTGGTCCAAAAAAAGTTCTCATGAGTCAGGAAAGCGTACCCGGCGGCTTCATGGGATCGAGAACTCCGATGGAACCGACCTTGAAAATATCCAACTCTCGTGATATGAAACTGTCATCAAGCTCTTGACTCTTCAGAGCCAATTCCAGATTGTCCCTAGTTCTAATTCGATAAACGGCCCCAAACGTACCTCGACCCATCATCTGGAAAATATCTCCGCTTAAAAACCTGAGTTTAGCGATCGTCGCCGCGATTTTCGTACAGCCGCGATTCAGCGAATATTTTCCCCTTGCAAGGTAGTCCGGGGCGATTTCGGATTTCGCATCATCCTCCTATCACTCAAGAAAGCTTGAACCACAGTCACGGTGAGGGACAGCGATGGATTCCCCGACTGCGTCCCAAAACAGAGAGAATTCTGAAAGCGTTCTGCGACGCTTCGACGTGAGCTCGATCCGCATAGGGGATAGCATCACTCACGGCTTCTTTGCGGTACTCCAGTCGAACCCTTCTGCTTCCCGGATGAGCCTGAACGATCTCTTTGACCCATCGAGTGTCGAGCTCTCTCGCTTTGTTATCACAGCGCGATGGCCCCTTGGGAAAAAACATATCGAAAGGTTCTATGAAGTACGACACACTTCACAATTTGTTCCCATATCAAATTCGTTATCTCCAGCTGAAGCGACTCGGTTTCCTCGACGGTCTCGTGGCTCCGGACGGACTATCGGATTCGAGTCCGATTGCTATCGAACCGCGTAGGGACACGACGGCAATTCTCTCGCAGGGTCTGTATCTCTGCAGGGAGCCGCGAGAGGTTCTCATAGCCTGCTTACGGTGTTCAGCGATTCGAATGGAGCATGTGATGGAATCGTGGAAGGATAATTGCCGTGGTGGGCCTGTTCATGAACGAGGAAGAGAGTGGTGGGGAGGAGAGGATTGGGAAGAAGAGGAGAGCGAATGCGAGAGAAAAATCCGCGCGACTTGACTTCTCTGCATGGTGTTCCACTTGCGACTACCGCCCCCAGGGGCCCACCACCAGCAGCAGGCTGGGGAGTTTGTTTTTGTTATGCTGCACCCGGAAGTTGATGACAATCGTTGAGATCGAATCAAACCGGATTGATCCTGAATCGTGGGCGTCGCGCAGCCTCACGAATCAGCTGCGAAGCTGGGAGCCATCAGAACTCGTTCTTATCTTCGCTAGAGAAATTAGGAATTCCTCCTCGGCACCGACTCTTCATCCGAGTGCATCTCACAGAACACGCGCGGCGGAGCGGAAGAACAACAACAGACACAACGAGGGTTCCTCTAGAGACGGTGAAGTGGGGATCGCAAACTCCGAGGATCTGTCCGAGCTCGAAGTGTCATCAATTCGACGGTCGACATTCGACAACGATCGTTGTCTCGATTTTGGAGCAGCGGACGACTCTTCGCTGGACGCTGAGAACGGAGATCCCCAACTTCATAATCGAAATTTCCCATCATTATGTCTGCAAGTAATGCCGATTTCGCATCGATACCCGAAGTTTCTCCGACAGAGGCTACGGCAAAGGTATCCGATTTCAATCTTCCAAAGCTACGGCAGAGGTCCCAGTCGGTGACATCTCCTATAAAGACAACATGTGTCGAGGTTTCATTGCGGTTGAATTGATCGGACGCTCAGGGAATGAAGTCGGAGTACCGTGGAAAAAAATCGATACCCTCATCTATGGGAGACTGGATTGATTGCGAATCCTGACCTTCTGGGGCTGAGCAGAGATCCGCCACAGAAATCCGTCCTTCCGGCGTGTCTCGATGATCTCTTAATCTGATCGATTGGAAGAATAATAAGTGGGAGGGAAAGCGATTCCTCCGACCACTGATTCTCGGAAGCATGAGATCTGGATTCTAATTGGATATTTCACCAGAAAACGGGTCCGGGAGGGACCAAGTGAATGTCATGGGACTCGGGTTCGACTCCACTGCTGAGCTCGATGATTATCATTCCAGCTCGTCGAAATGAAAAAGTCACTGAGGGAAGATGCGGGAAACATGATAGCCAAAACCATTCCCCGACGAATCTTCGAGCTGAACGAGGTAAACTCTCTCTCCTTCTTGTCGAATTCCCGCGGACGCTCGCCTTGCAAATATTGATCCATGCGTCGAGCCCGCGTGTTCTTCTTACGAGCTCCCATGAATGCCTTCCAGGTTCTCGGCAGTCCAGACTTCAAACTGACCTACGACCAGTACGCCTCGCCCGTGAATGTACCTTCACCACCGGGAACGAATGAGGTGAGCCGTGTCCAGCACATAAAGCTAGGGACGACACCGTCTTTTCCGACAGCAAAAAGTCAGGCTCCGATATCAATTGTCCCAGGACCCCTCGAAATACCCTTCCCCTGCTGAGCGAGTAAAATATTTTCTGCAGGAAAAAGAAGCCGGAGATTCTCAATTTTTGGCGACGGGCAGAGTCAACGGCACCACGGTCAGTCGAGCTTGAATCGTCCAAATCAGATTCTATTCGTCGAAAGGGGCGAACCTTTCGAGTAAATTCCGAGAAAGTCGATCTCATGGCTCACTGAATTTTCAGCTTCTCATGCTCCCTGACGGGGTAATCCAGATGAACAAGACACTCGAACGTTTACATGAGGTCGTCAAGCCTCTCATAGTTCAGCAGGTATGAGGCGTGAGCATGTATTATGATTTCTATCTGCCTTATCCTCCCACGGACTGGAAGACGCTCACGGAAACCCTCATATTCTAGGTCGATGACTGTAATCTTCTCAAGATGTGGATCCAGCTACTGATCCCCAAAGTCGAAGACGGGAATAATTTCGGCGTTGGAATCCAGGTATATTTTCTCCTCTACAAGGGAGCATCAGAGACGGCGCTATCCCGAAGCATTCGACTGCCTAGGTTGGATCAGCATCAACTCAGATTATTGGACAAGAGTCATCGTGTTAAAATTTATTTTCCAGGAAGAGTGCCTTGAACAAGTGACCGCAGTTCAGAAGGATTCCGCTTCTTACCTCGACCAAGTGACCCGGTACTACATCTTGCGCGCGAAATCCGTCTCTAAAGTAGGCAACTCCTCTTTCTGCGGTCATCGTCTCTCCCCGACTCCGGATGCTGAATTAAACATGCCTCTGCTGAATCGCTCCGCTCAGAAAAGTACGTTTCCTTATAGGTGGCCAAATACCCCCACGTGGAAGATTTCCGCAGAACCGTCGTCGAGTTGGACCAGAAACAGTATCATACCGTGACGATGTTCGTGCGACAGCTTCGAAATGACTATTCCCTTCTCCATGATATTTTGACGAAAAACATGGAAAAGATCCAAAGACCTCGAAACTCCAACGCGGAGAGCCTTTACTGAGGCGGCCCGAGAGTTTGTCTCGGGGACAATCAGTCATTCCTTTCCGCTTCCGAAACGGCACACGGAAAACTCATATTAGATTTCATTCTTGGACGTCGAGAATATTTTAAGACCTTTCCCATGTCAATGATCCCTCTCAAGCAATGTTATACTGTGTCATCGAGCTTTGGGAATGCCTGAACGGCGGAAAGAAAAAGGAAGGGGAATCTCGTCGGAGATACCTGACTCTCTTCAGATCCCGACGAACACCGGCTCTCCACGGGCGATCCCTCCCCCTACGCCCGGGCATCTCGATCTCCTTCGTTCCTGACGTTGGGGTAAGGGGATTCATGAGAGCTGGAGAATTCCGGACTTCAGGGCCGCTAATTTTCCCTTTCAAGGCGAGCAAACATGCAGGAAGAGAGAAGAATAAAGTCAATATAGATATGTATCTTGGAATTTATACTGCCGAGAATTGATTGATTGGCACGTGACGGCTCCTCCTGACGAATACGCCCGCCATCAGCTCGGCGATCGGAAGGGAAGCGATTGCAGCTTCAGTCCATGATTTTTCATCAGCTCTAGGTCCTCAACGGTCCGGACTCAGTTTATCCGATACTACCCACTGTATTCATTTTGAGCGGGGAACCGTCTTTCCTGCCTAGTTTTCTGAAGGGCTCAGGTAGGATCGGGAAACGAGTAGGCACGCTCTAATTTACAGACGCCCGTCGAGGGTATCGAGACATTGTGGGAGAGGTTCTGAATCTAGTTGACGAGCCTGATGGATGAGGATATAGGTCGGTCAGGAGCCCCGATTAGTACTGAGCACCGATCTTACAAGGGGAGTGCCGAACATGTAACACGCCGATCGGGCTGAAACTTTGGTCATAGAATCCCCACCCCGAGAGAAGTTTAACCCTAGGATATTATCTGCGTATGGCCACTTGGAGGGTGTTTAAATTTTTTCGAAAATCCGCCCTAAAGCATTGACTCTATGAGAATAATGGAAAATACTATGAACAATGGACGAATATTGGACCTGCCCGAGATATCCGAAGACATAATATGTTTTTGGATCGCCGGATTCAAATTTGGCGCATCTTCATGAGTGGTATCGACTCCCAATTCCTTCGAAACAGCCAAATAATTAGAGCCAAGTTTCTACATGAACGGAATGGAGCAATTTATTCTGACGAATTCAGCATACGTGGTAGTCTACGAAAAAGAACTTCATACATAGATTCTGCTTGCAATGTATGCATTTTATGAACGGAATACAAAAATCTGTTTGTAACTTGCACCAAGTTTGGGAAGTTGGGAAGTTGAACAAGGGACTGATGAAGATCTGGTGTCAGGAAATTCTAAAGGAAGTTCTGGATCGCACCCAAGTGGATCGATGTGTGCTTTATCTCGATTCCTGGGGCGGACAGCGAGATCAGAGCTTGTTCCAACTGGACGACGAAGAAATCTGCCTTAAGACACTACCGCCGGGGTCAACACCGCTGATTCAGCCGCTGGACGTTTACTGCTTCCAAATGTAGAAGAATTTCGCGAAGCGAATGACTCGAGCATGTGGCTTGATCGGATGCCGCATCGACCGCCGCGATGATGTCCTTCGACTCCAATCACTCATCTAGAATCATTTTCAGCACCCTGATTTCCGAAGTATGTGGTTGTACGGCTGGTACAAGTCCGGCTTCGATGTGCCGAAGATACCCTTCCTGAGTATCGCCGAGATGTTGTTCTCGGTCACTGAAGTTTGTTCCGGTGATTCATGTCGCGGAATTCCGTTCATAATATGCATACATTGCAAGCAGAATCTATGTGTGAAGTGCTTCTTCGTGGACTACCACGTACACTGAATTCGTCAGAATAAATTGCTCCATTCCTTTATGTAGAAATTTGGCTCTAATTTTTTGGCTGTTTCGAAGGAATTGGGAGTCGATACCCCTCATGAAGATGCGCCAAATTTGAATCCGGCGATCCAAAAACATATTATGTCTTCGGATATCTCGGGCAGGTCCAATATTCGTCGATTGTTCATAGTATTTTCCATTATTCTCATAGAGTCAATGCTTAAGGGCGGATTTTCGAAAAAAATTTAAACACCCTCCAAGTGGCCATACGCAGATAATATCCTAGGGTTGAACTTCTCTCGGGGTGGGGATTCTATGACCAAAGTTTCAGCCCGATCGGCGTGTTACATGTTCGGCACTCCCCTTGTTAGTTGTCGAGCCCCGCCACCATCCGAACTAAGAAACATCAATGCCTCATGAAATTCGGTTGACGAATTCTCCCTTATTTATTTGAGAAAAAAATAGTAAAACTTGATAAATATTCTCGCTCTATCTGAGTTCCTCCTGCACACACACATGTAAATGGAATCGATCTCATCATCATGGTCGTCGTATATAAGTCTTCGTCTCTTCGAAATGACAAATTCACCTTCTCTGGACGAATTGAGCTGCGAATTCGAATCACATGCGACGGATAGAAAGTTGGCGACGCCGAAATTTCTCAAACCATCGGATCGGTCCGCTATCCTGTCTGAACTTTTCGCATTCCACACTCTAATTTCACTATTCCTCCCTCTCGAAATTCACTCGTGCATTGAAACCTTCCCGACGGCAGGTAAAAACATAATAATAGGATTGCGTACCTCAACGACCGCTTCGGCCGGTCTCTGAAATGCCTTTTCTTCAGATCATGGTCTCCGAAATAGGGGACGGCCGAGCCGACAGGAAGCTGTCGGTTCGTGCTCCGGACTCGGAGAAGGTCCCCCGAGGGAGCGAGAACATTTCACCGACCACTCGATCTATCGGTATGCCTAAGTACTGCGACTAAGTTTGTCGTGCGTCCGGACCAGCTCCATTTGATTGGTACAGATGCATCAGAGTCAATGAGGGATGGTACCCGTGAGCTTCATCGTCTCAAGCCGACCCGGTCGTAGAAGATCGTTGGAATGGAGTGTGCGTTCAACGCCCATCTAACTGACCAATGGGACCAGTATCCGATCAGATCTGAATATCTCCGAAATCGTACATTGTCGTAGTCGCAGATTGATTGCAAAACCCCGAAGTCAAATATATTCTCGCCGCCGATCTCTTGCAGTCGACACCAAAACTGTTCTTTTCGGTCACCGATTCGGCTCGAAAAATCTCCAATATACCGGTTCGATAATGACTATTCCCTCGCATCAGGGAGGCTCCGAGAGGTTCCCGATGCGTGCCTCAGAACCATCCGAGTCCCCCGTGATAAGGTTTTTGTGGTGAGGTTTTGAAGTGTTGTTCGTCACACGTTGGCAACAACGACTCCCTAATAGAATTTTTTCGCGGCATCGGCCTTACTGTTGCGGTAGACCATGTAACCGATTATGAGGACTAGTTGTACACAAGTAAAGCTGATGAAGGTTCCGGTGCCTACACACGCCACTTGCGGACATCCACCGGTACCCCCACCCTGGTTCAAGGCGGACGCTGCAACGGAGGCTACATCGCGCTTGACGACGTTGATGGTATCGCGCATCTCCGTGACCATCCGAGGGTCTATTTGAGCGCCTCCCGCTTGACCGGGTCTCTGGCTCAGCTGCAAAGAGGAAGTGCTCCGATAATGACGGTCCCCTTAATTGATTCTCTCCCAATCAGGGCGAGGGAAGGGGGGGGGGCACGTGAGTATTTTCTTATGAGTGTATTGCCGAGATATAAGAAAGGAGCTCACCTCTGCTACTGTTTGACGGACAATTTGGAGCGTCGAGACGAGTTCCCTCTGCGAACTCAGGATCGAGTCGATTTCGTGTCTCTGTATGCCTGGAAATTCACAAGGCTCTCAGTTTGATATCATGCGCAATCGAACCCGGAAAATCAGGCAACTCCGCTCCTAATCCGCTGGCTGTCGTCACTCCCGGAAGCCCGTCCGACGAGGCCACGTATCATGTGTTTCCGACCTAAAATCGCTTGGTCACAGATGCGAGCTCTGCGTGTAACATCTTGCTTGACCGTTCCCGATACATTCTGCCCGCAGGAGCAAATATCGTAGAAGTTCTGATCGGAGGTCCGGCTACACGTAATATGCTCAAACATGGATTATGTATAGCGAAGGAAATGAACAGCACGAGCGGACGGATACTGAGTTTGGTTTCCGTAGCCTTCATCCGGGGAATTCCCTCAGGTTCTAGACCTACCTCCGACAACGCTCGGGGGCTGGAAACCTCCCGGCGCTGCTCCGTGAGCCGGTTGCGGGATCCCGCCAGCCTGCTGGATCATCCCAACCATGCTTAAGGTCCTTTCCTGTCGACCCAGGAGTTCATCGAGTTTTCTGTGCACAGCCTTGAGACCCTCGTACATGTGACTTTGTCCCTCGAAGATCTGTCTGAGCTCCTGGTTCTGCTGAGTTTCGTAAGCTTGCTCGGGATCTCCGTGCTGATCGATTTGTGCTTGCTGTTCGGGGTGCAGTTTCCGGTACTCCTCTTTCTGCTGCTCGAGCTTAGCTTTGTAAGATTCGTACTCCTTGGTGAACTTCTCCTTCTCCAAATCGGCGATCATGGCTTGCTGCTGGGGAACTTGACCAGTACCGTAGAGCGACGTCGTGAGGAACTTGAGCACGTCGTGGTCGTCGGCAAGCCCCCCGGTAGCCGCCGAAACTCCGAAATATCCGTTCGCGGGCAAAAATACGTTTTCAGCGCGTAAGCAGAGCTCATAGTCGTCGTCGGTGTTGGTGTTTCCCGAGTGGAAGAAGACCGAGAGTACGTTCTGGAAATACTCGATCTTCGCTTTGACCGGGAAGGGTTTGTTGCGGAAGTCTCGCTGACATCCCGCAAGTTGCTGTGAAATTCCGTCGGTTTCGTGATCGTATGTCTTGCTGCCGTCGTTGAGCATTGCCATAATGTAGGGGTTATTGTTGCGATTGTCGTTGTCGAACGAATCGAAGAACAAGCCGAGACCGCTCCACCGGTCCGACGAGCCGAACGTGTTTCCTTCGGGCATTTTCTGCTGAGTGAACCAGAGAGCAAGCCCGTCGGCGCCGAGTCTGCCACGACCGTTCACGCGGAAGACGAGCTCGATCTCCCACCAATTGAAGTTCGTGGGGTTCTTCGCCCAGATGGAACCTTTTTTGCTGCGGAGAGACGGCGTGATACGGACCATTTCTTCAGATGCGATAGTACTGCCTGAGTACTCCCAGAAGGGCACTGAACCATCTTTCTGCGACAAATAGGGACCTTTGAACGAGTATTTGTACTCGAACTTCCTGTGAGCGATTTCTGTTGCATCTCCACCTGTTGTAACAAGTGCCAGTAATAAGCTGTGCCCGAGCACCACCGCTGCAAACGCCATCACGTATCTCGGTTTGCCGTTCACAGGTTGTCAGCAGGAGAACACTCAACGCAACGATTTGCTCGCGACGACAACGTCTTCCGGACAATGTGTCGTGGTACAAGCGGCACCGCCGCTGAGAATATCGCGGGACTGCCACGAATCCCGGCGGAGAGCCCGTTCACTACAAGCCGTATGGTGAACATCAGCGCGCCAAAATTCAAAAACGAATCAGGTCCCTTGCATATCGCTGTAATGCCCGGAATACGACGGGAAGCGTATTTTCGAAGTTCGGATACATCGGGGCGCCCAGATACATGGGAGGTATTCCATGCCTACCGCGGGGATCGAGCGGGGGCGATCCGACACGACGCAGGAAGTTTTTCAGAAACACCGAATTTCTTGATTCGGCGCGGAACGATCGGCTTGTGTTGAAGTCGATAAAAAGGGGATCAAGAAAGATCAGTGGTGGGCGGAGAAGAGAGGAGGCATCTGGACGGAAGTTGGAATCTCCGCGAAGGCAGGGGATCAACTCTGACTCCGGACTCTAGTGCCGTGGTCGAGCTAGTGAGTCGTGCGTTGCGTCGTCTCAGATCACGCAGGATCGCTACCGACAGCGGAGGAGAGATTGCGATGAATTGGATACTGGAATACTCAGATGTAGATTGCGATGGTTCGGGAGCGTGACAGGCGTGTCCTGCGACAAGTGAAGGCGATTGAATTCCCCTACATCCATCGTGCATCCTATGCATTGTGCATGTATGTCGTGACCGAGCCGACTCTCCTCCGCCCTTGCTTGTTACCTCCTTAGTCGCAGTCCCATCGGGATTTAGACAGATGGGCGGTCGATTGGGAGATCAGAACTCGCATATTTTCCCCGAGATTGCGTGATCGAGGAAACTTTGGCATGACGCTTAGCACATATCGTCGGGATCCGATCCAGACTGACTCTCTTTGGCCAGAGCAGGGCACCAAACTCAAAGTGATGGGTGAGTCGCGAGTTTGGAATCCCCCCGCCCCAATCCTTGAACAAGGCCTTGAAAAAGAAGATATATGGGATGTCCAGCAGCATACGATTCTCGTCTCACATGATGAAATGATGAGCAAGGAATAGAATGCGGCTCACGCGTCGGCTTGTCTCGCTTAGTGAACACAACAAGAATCATCCATGGCGCATTCTTTCCCCAAGCTCCTCTGTTCCTGCCCGAAATCCGGTGGCGGGGAACCCGAGGCTTTCGAGAGGGGACAGGGGAACCCAAGTCAATATTGCTTGGAACTTACCTCTCACTCAGTCGCTTGTCCGAATTTGCATAACATTCGCTGGGACGATAGGACCGGGAAGGAAAATGAAGACAAGACCCAATGATTTCTCCCCTGCTCCCGGGTTCTGGATATTACACATATATACGAAATTATATATATACGAAATTCTTCCTCGGGGGTAAATGATCTTTCGTCGATTTCTCGAGACACACCAATGGATATGATCCAGCTTGAATCTCGTTGGGGAGTACCGGGAACGCGCGCGAGAGGCAGGATATCGGCCCAGATCATAGGCCCCGAAAAATCGCTCGGGTCGCGGCGAAACTCCAGGAGGAGGCCCGACTTCTTCTCCCGGCAGATGAGTGCAGGAGGGAGATTCTTTTTTCGAAAGATTCAGTTTCTCCGACAGCGCGTCTACTATGCTGTACGGTCAGCGACCGGAGGGTATAGCGGAGGAACTCTGGGAGCGTTCTCAAAAATAGGTTTCGATCGAGGTCGTCTCGAATCTGATCAGACTTCCCGAGAAGAGACCTCATATGGTGAAACATACTGCTCTCTCATTCTCGATGAGCCCGATGATGCTCATTTTTGCAATTTGGGCAGTGCTCCGACGCTTCCGGGGATTTGAAGGGTATCAGAATCTCCGCGAGTCTCGCCAGAATCAGCCATCGGTCGCGATTGGGTCCAGGATCTTGTCGACGCTCGACCTTCCATCAAAGGTTCCAAAACCAATGATCGCTTCCCCCGCGATGTCGAATGGGCGATGGTGGGGCTTCGTCGAGTCTTTTTGCGTTCCTGTCCCGTGAGTCTTTCGATGCTTGATGCTTGATCGGGGCGTTCTCGCAGTCCATGCTGCCTCCAGGGTCCCGATCATCACACTGGTGTGGAATTTCATCTTTGTCGCTATCGTCTCTTCTATCCTCTCGTGAGAGCAGAATCTCATCCACTACTACCCTCCCCTCAGAGATTTCCTCTGCCGGCGGCGTAACTGAAGGGCCATCGGCACCTACGGGACGATTGCGGTGCCGAATTTTTCCATCGTCCATCTGTCAGGCCTTCGATCCGATTTGAGATGGAATCTTGATTGGCTAAGAATATTTCCGGTGACCTTTGGTGACCATTGGCCTCCGAATGCACACGGAGTCGCCGACCGAAAATTCTTCTTTCGAATTGTTCACGGCGTTTCTCTTAAGATGAAGCTCTGCGCGATGCCGGAACAGAAGTTGTGTTCGAGAAGGAAGAATGAACTCTATGTGAAAGAGTTCGGAGCGGAATTTTTCATGACCGATGGAATCGTGCTCACCTGCAGGGTGTGTGAGAAAGAGGTGAACACAGAAAATAAATATTTTGTGCAGCAGCAACTTAGTTCTGCGATGCATCAAGACCGCATTAGAAGACCCTCAAACGGAGATCAAAATCTGTGTCTCCTGAAGAACTTCCTGTCGGAGAAGGAAAGCCATTTCAATATGGAAGTATGTCAGATGTTGGTCGAAGCGAACATTCCCCTCTTCAAGCTGCAGAATCTCTCCTCTCGGAGTTCTCTTCAAAAGTACTGCAAAATTTCCGATCACACAACGCTGCGCAAAAACTACCTCAAGAAGCTGTGTGACGCGACGCTCAAACGAATTCGCTGAGTGGTTGGTGACAACCGAATTGGGGTGTCAGTGGTAGAGACAACTGATGCAAAAGGGCACTACATTGTCCACACGATAATCGGCTGTCTGAATCCCGGGAACCTTCGGAAGCATTTCTCATCGGATCAGAAATTGTCGAGCAAACGAACCATGCGACAGTCGCCCAAGCTCTTTTAAACTCTCTGAGCCTCTTTGTCTCCGATGCAGCTCCGTATATGAAGAAGGCTAGTGTCGGACTAAGAGTTTTTTTCCGAAAATGATCCATTTGACCTGTATAGTCCACGGAATTCATAGAGCTTGCGAGGAAATCCGGATTCTGTTTCCCGAAGTCGATTCTCCGATCGCGAATGTTAAGAAAGTCTTCCTCAAGGCTCCGTCACGTATCCGAGCTTTTCGAGCCAAAGCGCCGAATTCTGCACTGCCGCCCGAGCCGATAGTGACGCGATGGGGGACATGGTTGTGCGCCGCTTTGTATTACGCAACGAACTTCGATACCGTCAGAAGTGTGGTGGCAAATCTGGATAGCAGCGAGGCCGCTGCCATTCGGAAGTCGAGAGACTTGTTGGAAGCCGGCTGGCATTCGCAGCCTCGAATTTCGCGAGTGTACCCGGTGCGATCACGAGGCTTGAGAACTCCAAAAAAATCTCTGAGCGCGACAATCAGATGCTTTGAAGAACTTGAGGCGAGAATCAGCTGAAGGTCTCGTCGCCGAGTTCATCCAGGAGAAGTTCGAAAAAGTGAAGGAGAAGAACCCCGGCTATGAGGAACTGATCAAACTGAGGGACGCACTACAAGGCAGGAATACAGACGCCGTGATTTCTCATCTTTCGCCGACAGAGATCTCATGTTATAGATATGCGCCCATGGTGAGCGTGGACGTTGAGCGCTCCTTCTCACGATATAAAGCTTTTCTATCGGATCAGAGACATGGTCTCACCGTCGAGAACGCGAAATACCACGATATATATACTGTACTGATATGATTTACTGTAATGATATATTCCTCTCCATGGAACTATATCAGATCGATAGGGAGGGGATGTATATGATTAATGATGAGCGATTTTTCATGCGAGAACTGAGCAATTTGCCGAGTGAAATTCTGAGAGATCATGGGAGCGGGGGATCAGCTTATCGAATCACGTCTGCAGCACTATGGAAAGCCCCACACAGGTGAAGAGTATGCGGGGAAAATGCAGCAAGATGAGCATTGCATCATCGATCAGACGCTGAATCTCGCTCCACGGTGGAGAGTGTGACGGAACAACGAAGGTTGATAGCAAAGATTCTTTATTCCTACACCTAGCAGCCTTTTATGGAGATTCAGCAGGGGAATGATCCCGCGCCACTAGCGCCGTTTCAAGAGGAAGGGGAAGCATATATATGTATGATATGGAGGGGAATACTGGACTTTTCTATCAGGTATCAGGTCTACCCGCACTGTAGTTGCGGTCCGTGAGAAACGGGTTCGGAGGCCGGACTATGTATGAATGGTCGTGTAGTCGACCCTCGGAAGCGATCCTGATTCGAAGTCCTCCTCCGGTCTCACTAGACTCCCCTCTCGCCTGTCCGGCCCCCTCATCCTCCTCCACCCGGAGAAGTCCGAGGCGGTCAGCGACTGAAAGCATCAAGGTTACAAACTCAAGAAGCATTCAGGATTATTACAGGCGGCGATAGATCATTGAATTTTTATCATGCTGCCCGTTGCTTGACGTGGTTGGAACTCTGGGAGCTCTGTAATATTCATGATTAGTGATATGATCAATGATGAGCGATTTTTTATGCGAGAACGAAGCAATTTGTCGAGTGAAATTCTGAGAGATCATGGGAGCGGGGGATCAGCTTATCGAATCACGTCTGCAGCACCATGAGAAGCCCCACACAGTTGAAGAGTGTGCGGAGAAAATGCAGCAAGAAGAGCATTGCATCATCGATCAGACGCTCAAGGTAGGGATCTCGCTTCGTGATTTTGTTGAGCTCTATCTAATCCACGAAGAATAGAATCCCACCGTCTTTCTCTTTCACAAGTACAACCGGGCTATTCCGAGGGCTATAGAAGAGGGCCGTACGATTCTCTAATCAACCATAGTTTTGACTTCTCTAGCCATGATCTCTCTCCTAACTGGGGCGTAGCGTTCAGTGTATCTACCCCGTACCGGCGGGTTGTTCCAGGTGTTTATGTGGTGCGAGACTGTTAGATTTTGTGTTAGGCACGGTGGCTCGTTTTTCTCAGGTAAAGGTTCGGGAATCGCCGTAAAATGTCCGTGATTGATGCGGGTTGGGCGAGCGAGAGGTCGACATCGATAGGTAGACTGTGCTGATTGAAGGCGGCCCGGGGACTTCGTTGTGGAGTCGAGGAGGTTCATGTGTTCTCGTAGCTCGGCGGTTGATTCAGGGGATTTGCTGGTGAGCGCTATTCCCTGGTCGGCCGGGGAAAATTGCAGCACCCGGCGGAAGAGATCGTCGAGGGGCATTTCTGGATCGATGATACTGCATAATTTCAGCACTGCCTCCGAGTGGTTTGCGTACGACTCACCGGTTCTATGAGCGGGTGGAGGGGCTGCTGTACTCTCGGGGTTGGGCTTGGGGACTGAATTTGGTAAAGGTGGTTGATTCTGGCATCGTCGGTGTGGATGCTGGTTCTTGCGACTGTCCTGCGATGCTCGTTGAGGAAGATCGACTGTTTCCCTCGTTGGTCTCACCGTATGACTGACCGGACTTCGTGGTCTTTTGCGGGGTGTGATGAATCGGCATGATCTGCACGCACTTGCGGATTGGCGATGTGGGATGTGGACGGATGCGTCTCGACTCTTGACCCAATTAGCTAACGATGGTTCACGAACCCGCGTCTCCACCACCAGTAGGGAGGTCGGTAGTACACTGGTTGTTCGGATTTCTCACAATTTATTTACCGTCGCTTTGGCATCGACAATGGAACGAACAGCACGAGAATCGAAAATCTTCAACCCATCGGGTTGTCAGGTCTTCGCGGTACGAACAGGGGCCACACAGAAATCACCTCGTTGTCTGAAATTCAACCATTCGCCTACATCGAACGACTGTCCGACTGTCCAGCGAGGAACGTCAAGTATTTCAAATGTCAGGGCATGGGTCACTCTGCGAGAGCCCGCAGGGAAATCGAAGGAAATTCCTCGACTGAATCCAGGAATAAAAATCCTCAAGTCGTCTACTCAATGACTCATGATTCTGGCAGGCTGGAGAGAACGATCCGAGTTGATGGGAGAACAATAGATTTTCTGATAGAGACCGGAGCGGAAGTAACCATTGCAAATCTGTAGTGTCTGCCAATAGAGGGAAAACGGCTGGAACCAGTGCATATAGTAATCAGAGACTATTCAGGACAGGAAATCCCAGTGTTGGGTAAAATAGGTTGTGAGCTTGAGTTCGGAGGGAGGAAGGTGAATTTCGGAATTTTAATAACCCCGCGAGGGAAAACTGTCCTGAGACGGGACGCGTTAGCTGCGTTGGGGGTCACCATCGATTCATGTAGAAGCCGTACGTGCGAAATCAATTTCGTAGACGAGCAAGAACTGAAAAAACAATTCAATTATGTCTCCTCTGAGAAATTAGGGCTGGTTGGAGGGTTCGTGCACAAAATGAAACTGGAACCCGAGACACGGCCGGTTCAATCGAGATTAGGGCGAATTCCCGTAGCGAATTCCCACTCAGGTCACGAAAGCGATCTAGCCGAGAATCGCGCAAAGGCTTTTGTCGCACTCTAGACTACCATATTATATCGACGTACCCGAAGATTCTGAAGATTAATTACAATGAAGCCGGCCTAAACGGTGCGCCATATCCGAACTTCGGTTATCTAAAGATGCATTCTGGAGCGGACTGGCGCGTGAGGAGCAGCGCTCTAACTCTTCTAACGACGCGCCTAAGAGCGAGAAATTACGCGAATAGTCCAGTAGGCTCTCGCTCCCGGATATCCTACTCGCAAGAATCGATTCGTTATGACTGATTCTGAAAGCATTCGGAAAGATAGGACCGGGCCTGGAATCAATCTCCGACATCTGACGAGAGACCGTCATTGGGTCCGCTATAGCCGCGTCTTTCGACATCGGGAGCACCTCTCCGTAATAGAGTTCCACGCTTGGCGATGTCCTCTTCCTCAAGTCGATTTCGTAACAATACCCATAAATATTGATCAAATAGAGGAGTGTCGAGCGTCGAGGCCCTCCCTTCCCGATAACACCTTTTGCAATCGATATATGGGCGTGTGTTTCCTGGTCCATAGAGCAATCTCCTCAGTCGGCGAGGTAGGAAGGGGGGGCTACTCAGTGTGCTCCATGGTACACACAAAATCCTGCACGAACCTCTATACGGGTGAGGGCTCCTCGTTTTCGAAGAGACGCACGAGCTAGAATTATGGTGCTATCTTACCTAGGATGCTCTAGGATGATGTCAAGGTGCGTTCTCAGATTGCTCATCACAGAATGTTCCGTTTGCGTCATATCATGATCGAAGACGGAGTCTACCTCTTTTATGCTCGAATCAGGTTAACGTCGCATACCATCTTGAGAAGGACGCACTTTGCAAAGAGCACCCCCGTCACCATCGAATGTGTGAACAGACCGTCGCCATTGTCCCTCTACATAGGGATCGTCCCTCGAATGCGGTAAGAGACCGTGGTACGAATGGTTCTGTCCCGGGAATCAAATCAATTTCCATCATGAAAGGAATGATGATGATGAGCTCGCATGGAACATTGGAAACTCGGTCATCCGCTCAAGGCTCAATGGACAACCAATCCATGGACCGACATTCCTGAAGGCCGCAACGGGAATGGCGGAAAATTCTTCTAACAAGCTGGTACTGGAAATGGCAGCGAAGGAACAACCCTTGCCGAATCTCTCAAGTTTACAACTGCGATCGAGTGAGGCTCGGACACTTTGTCCCACAGAACTACACCGACGGCCCGGCCTCCTAGACCAAGAAATGAAAGGATGCGGCACGCATTGACAGGAGCGCCATGTGTAGGATGAGAGCCCAAGGATACCTTTCTCAGGTGTGCATGGAGACAGACTAGAGAGGTGAAGACGCACGAGAAATCAGCCAATGCAGATACTCTGGAGACGTAGATATCCCGCCTCACCACGCGTTGGAATGTTAATGCGTCTATGAATGGTAATAGTATCGTACAAATAAAAAAACGGCTCACAGAGAGGTGAGTGAAGACATACAGCTGCACCGTGTGCGATTCAAGATCTTCCATTACCTACTTAAACAGCTCTCTATTCATGCGGGAAGGTCCTGATTGTAAGTATGGAGGAAGGGATCTGATGCTTCTTTCATTCGAAGAGGTCTTGAAGAAGTACCTACTTTGCCTCGTCATGGGCGATGAAGAGACCAAACGGACTCGAAGAACCCCATCATGAATCCAATCAGTATCAGTCAGTAGCACTCGATTTGCCTGCTGGTCGATATGTGCATCAGTTCGAGTGATTGAATCTATACGGCGAAAACGTTTAGGCTTTGACCAGCGTTTCTCGAAGGAGCCCTCGGGGTCCCGAAGTACTTACCAATCAGTGATTCTAGGAACAGAATCGAATGAGCGTGGGACTCGCATATTCGGAGACAGCAGTCCGAGCAACACCAGAGATCTTTGACAGTCACAAAATGATGAAGCCAGCCGCTCGGAGCTATAACCCAAGAAAGAGAACTGTTCGACCAGACGGGATGACGCAAAAGGTGATGTATCGGATCGGTCATCTTCGGTTTCGTCCGTTCTCCCCTCAACATGCGGATGTTATTTCGTGTCTCCTCCGCCTGGAAATTCTCCGCTCATTTTCTGTACCTCCTAAAGGTTTCCCGAGCCTGATCATCCGCCTGTGCCAGGGGATTGTAGGAGTACCCTGTCGTCATCCAGAAGTGAAAGCTGTCTAAGCAGAAATCATGTCAGCAGTAGACGTGCCGCCTGCCGCCCCATATCTCGATCTCGGAGGGAGCTTCCGGATGATTTCGTCGCTCGCTCATGGAGAGTTCCATCCATACCCGGCTCGGCGCACAATCATATGCAGGGAGAGTCTGCAAAGAAATCGAACAAAAGAAAGCAGGGGAGACATTCACGGAAATGGATTCCTCTCCGAGATCGGAGATGATGATGTTGATGATCTTTATCCTCAGCAGCTTGTTGGGTGCCACAACACAAGATGCCATTGTTATTGTGGTGAGGAATCCTAGCGGACGCTTCAGAAGTCGCAATAAAACGATGTTTGATGAAGAGTTGTGAATTCGCGGGACGGTGAGTACGAGAGAGCTGCGGAATTTCGCATGCGGGGAATCTCCATTACGCTCCAGGGAGCGTTGCGCGTCGATAATGAGCTCTCGGGGATCCGGAAAGGTTGCTTCCAATTTGGCGCCAATTTGTCACCAGCGAAACTGCTCTACTCCGCAGTGGAGACCAATGGAATATGACCAGTTCAACACCTGGAACATATGATCGGGCATCATCTGACAGCTGTCGGAGTTGGTGTTGACGTGTTGCTTTCCGATCGATCTGAATAAAAGATCTTTCCGATCGAAACAGGGTGCTGAAATCTGTGAGGTCAGCCCATATTCGTTCGAATCGGACAGCTCAGGAACAAAGAGTAGGCTTCCCTCTCTTCCAAGAGAGTGGGGCCTCGAAGTAGTGACATACATTACGGAATTCCGCGCGACGGATACAGGATGCATTTGCCCCGATAGGAAACCATTGCCCCCCATTGCTGAAAATACCACCGTGACAGCTTAGGGACAAGAACGAGCCCCGAATCGGTGCCGTGCTTCCCGGAGTTTTCCCGCCTCCGAAAGATCTGAATCAAGGAGAACCGAATTCATACTAACGAATGGTCTCCACAGATGACTCCCTAGATATCGGATCGATTCTCCCGCAATGAGGGACACCACATCGCGGAGATCCTCTGCGGGCGGGTTCGGGCCCCGCGAGGGCGACCTGTCTTCGCTCCCGCCCCTCATCAGGGAAAAAATCATGCGGGATAAGCCGGCAGAGGTGAGTTTGGGCAGTGATCATGCTCACATAAGGTTATCTGGCGGAGGTGATCGAAATTCATGGATGGCCTCTTTCCACGGATTGAGATTGGAACGATATCGACGAAATCCTCCGTACTCTCCAGCTGTTCCGAAAAGATCTCATCACGGCGATGAAAGTGCCTGATACAGAGCACCTGGATCCCGACACTTTCTGGGCAATAGTGGAACCATGGAGGTCGGATTACGATAAAGGAGTTCAGGTGAGAGAATTAGCAGGGGCTCTCCGTCTCGAATCGCCGAGACACCTGTCACACGAACGCCCTTGTTGCAGAATACAGTTTCACGAAGGGGATGTTACAGATTCCTGTGAACCCCGAAGCCGCTCCGCTCATCATGGTCAAGCAGCGAAAAATCACTACGGCGATGGACGCAATACTGGGACCTTTCACCATGTGAGTCCTCAATTCCGATGGTTCCCCTCAATGTGAACGACAGAGCTCTCGACCAATTGATCGGGGGAAACCTCGCGAAACTAGAAGAAAATCCAAGGCGATCGCCGCGAAGCGTGTTCGGCTTCCCGTATACCCTGATGCTATGGATCGCCGGCGAATCCCCGGTAGCACTCGAGGGCTACTCGTTGGCGAGCTTGGGACTACGGATAGGAGGAAAATTACCTAATTAAGATACTTCGTGTGCTCAGGCCCAAGAAACTCATCAACGTCACCCGACGAGAAGAGATGTTCAGCGAGCTTACGCACGAGTTTTGTGATCCGGAGGGGTTACAGCGGAAACTTGAAAGCAAGCCGAGGTTAGAGCCAAGAGACAAAGACGAGATGTTGCGGCGCAGCGGAAACTCAGTTCCGGTCGATTGAGGGAATATCTTTTTGAATTCAGGTACAATATCGATCCCCTGGATTTCGCATGGCTTCAGCTGATGAACAGGCAGAGAGCAGCTTGTGGCTTGAAGGAGCTGTCGGAAGAGGTAAAGAGCCGAAATTATATTCTTGCGTTCTATCAGAGGAGATTCGAGCGGGCTTCAGACGGAAGGGACCTCCTTCTCATTTGCTTGACTGGATTCGTTCTTCGTAGGTATTGGAAAGAGTTGTGGACGATCTCGAGACCCGCTGTCACAACAATCTCCAATCCAGTCAGTTCGGCATTGAGTACGACGAGGACACTCAATGCGACGTGTGCCTTTCAGTGAGTTTGGGAATCGCGGAAGCTTCGCCAAGAACTGCGATACCTATTCCAAGTAGTATTAGCGGTAGTGATATGAGGCAACGCGCAGCTGATTGTCGCTTCGATTTTAGCCGGAGTCCGAAGAAGGCAACGAGATGGTGTTCTGCGACCAGTGCGACCTCTGCGTCCATCAGGCCTGCTATGGTATCGTGTCCGTCCCGGCCGGTAGTTGGCTATGCGTGCCCTGCGCTCGGGGCTATAATATCAAGCCAGAATGCGCTCTCTGTCCCACTCTCGGTGGAGCCCTGAAACCAGATGCTGATCTTGACCTCTGGGCACACGTCGCATGCGCTCTATGGGTCCCCGAAGTAACCATTGGGGACCCTGAGCTCATGCAGCCGCTCCAAAATCTGCACCGGCTGCCCGCGTGGCGCAGGAAACTGAAATGCACCATCTGCAGAAAAGACTTCATCGGAGTTTGTATCCAATGCTGCGTCAAAGGATGCGACATCGCCTATCACGTGACTTGCGCTCAGAAAGCGGCTCTGACCATGAGCATGGATCTCCACGAGGGTTCCGCTCAGGATGCGCTGGAACTCAAGAGCTATTGCCGGAAGCACGGGAAGAAAACGCACAAAAGTCCGGGTAAACTCGACGGCAAAGATCTCCAGGCGGGCAGTATTGAGAACGCTTCGCAGCGCTTCTACGACTTCGTGAATCCGCACGAGACGGCGGCACATCTCCGGTCGGTCGTGGACCCGCTGGGAGCGGATCAAATCTTCAACTACTGGAAACTCAAGCGGCTAGCCGCCAATGGGAAACCTCTCCTACCACCGAAACACGAAGAGAGCTTGAAGCCCCCCGTCTATATCGATGACGAGCTCTCCTCCCGGATCCGGACTCTCGTCCACGTTCGGCAGGATCTCGAACGAGCTCGCAATCTCAGTTATCTACTACAACGACGTGAGAAAACGAAGAAAAGTTGGATACGTGCGAGAGAGGATGTTACGATGTGTCAGCTAAGGAATGCCGAAGAACATCCAGAGGTGGGTGGATCCGAGTGCTCGGATATTCCTATATCATGTGGTCCTCGGGAGAGAGCGAAGAGAACATAATTCGCATTGTCTTTCCAGTCTCTCCGCGTGATACGAACGGCGAATCGTCTCGACGATATCTACGATCGATTGCATTCGTTCGAGAAGATCTACGGCTACCCAGCCTACTCCGTCAGCGCTTCTCTCCTAAGAGCCGTCGCCAAAGATGATGAAGACGATCGACTGAACAAGACCGAGCTGACCTCGCCGAAAAAACGGACACCGAACAAACAGAAGAGCTCTCCGTTCACATCGGACGCATGTGCCAGTAAAGAACAGGACCGACACGTGAAGCGACGGAAATTAGTCTTCGAAGTCGATGAGAATCGGCCCCTGGGGGAGGGTCCTTTAACGAAGAGCAGACCCAGAGCAGCGGGGACTCGGAGACGCAGGTTGGTTGACGCGTTGAGCAGCGAACGATTCATGAGAATCGGGTCGGATTCTTGAAAATCAGACAATCATCATGTCATGTCGGTAGACCAATCGAATCTCTCGGGAGGAGTTGGATGGCAACTCAGTTGAACGTGTGAATTTACAGCGACTCGACGGAAATATTGACAAGCTCGCCGCCGCTGACGACGCTCTCGTCGCCTCTGTCGTCCTCCTCATCGTCGTCGCACAAATTTCTTCGCATAGGACGCAGACGGGGTGGCCCATTCAAACGCTCGATGATCCCCGCCCTTCAAAGTGATTTCGCCTCGCAACAATCGTCGAGTTTGAAGATGATCCGGAAAACGATGCGGACACAGGGGTCGCGGTCGGCGGCTAGTCCGCAGAGTCCTCAGAATCAAATTGTGACTTCGACGGATTACGATTCAGATACTTCGCTGGAGATTCTCACCGGTGAAGAGCTCGTCGAAAGCATGGCGAACAGGAAGAGGACTCGTCGATCCCGCCATAGACGTTTGACCTCTGCGACAAAAGAGCCCCCTCTTGGAGCAGGGCTGCAGACGGCGAGAAAAATGAAAATCTCTCCAGGGCATACACGTAAAGCGAACCTCACGCCTCGGGTCGAGTCGACCGATCAACTAAGCTCGATTAGTCAAATGAAACAGGTCAAAGAAGAATCCAGGGAAGCGATGAGATCGAAAAGGGTCAATCTCCCATCGATTGAGTCAACGAGGCAGAAGCGACCTCCCCGTCCTACGATCTGCTCCCAACCCTCACCAAGTGAAACGAGCGAGATACGAGTACTCCGACACCGGGAAATTTCCATATCTCCCGAAAAGAGATCGAAGCTTCCGTCCAGAGTGGTGAGCTAATGATTGTTGGAATCGCTATCTATCCGATTCAAGACGGAGCTCCTTAATCGTCTCATCAATAGGATCTGGGAATAATATGGGTCCGCGCCTGTCTCTTTCAGAACCCCGACGGGGAAACGAGGAAAAAGTCCTTGTCTGCACCGCGTGCTGCAGAACAGAGAACGGCCCAGAATTCAGCGCAAACCAGTAGTCCAGTTTTCATCGAGTGCTCCGTTCGCTTGAAGAAGCTCAGCGAGAGGGACTTGGAACCTTTCTCAAAGTGAGGCTTCAGCCAACGAATTGAGGGCGGCTGTGAGCGATGGAGTTGATTGGCGAGGGGGGACTCATGCCATCCCATGGAAATAACTCTTGACTCCCTCCACAGGCGCAATCTAAGGAGTGGGAAAGCGAACCGCCAATGACACCGTCATTTCACTTGTTCGAGATGATGCCTCAGTGAAGTTCCAACGAGGTGGTCTACGGGATCGATCCCAATAGTACATACATACGGGTGGTCAATCAAGAGTCAAATTGATATCTATTGTTGGAGAGTATATTAACTGGATCTCGAAACCATCGATTCCAGCCAGAGTTCATATCGAATCATTCGCATCATGTAAAATAAATTCACCAATCCACAGTTCTCAAAGAACGAATACTGTACTCATACCGCATGGGTGATGAGAGCAATAATTCCTGACGTTTTCGATCTCAGCTCCGATTCGGTGATGGCGCCAGGGATATCTTCCATGGTATTTGCTGCAGTGAGGGGTTCCCCAGCTCTCTACTCTAATGTTCTTCATTAGCGAAAAGGAGGAATGTTGATTCGAATTTTCGTATGTTTCTCTTTATTTCCTTGTGCTCGATCGATCTTCCATAATCTCCTGCACTGAAGCGAACCCTAAACTGCCGCGGTCTCTAAGCCTTCCGCACTGAATGTCTTATGTACAATGAATGACCTAAAATTTGTACATCTGCGGCAGATGTTCCTCTCTCGCTGGCATTGATAGTGTAATGTCATGAAACTTCACCAATCAGCTTCCAGTCAATCATCTCAATCAATCAATACATCGATGAGTCCGATAGATGTCGATTTTCGAAGGTTGCAAGTCGATTGGAAATATTTCCCGGATGGCATCCAGATGCTGCTGCCTCCCCTTCCCGTTCCTTCAGACATTCGATGGTTTCTCAAGCAGCTTCCATCCAACGAGATCCGGATGCCTGGTTCCTTCGGCGGGGAAAACAAGCGATCCTCAACGTCGGAACCAATAGAGAATCGATTGCCAGAACCCGACGTTGAGAGCCGTACCGATAAATCGTCACAAATCTTAGAATCTCAGCTCCCACGAGAAGTCAGCTTCCACGACCGACCAAGGGCTGATGTTGGGACAGCCTTTGGCCGGTTGACAATCTCCCCGAGGTTGCGAGACCCAACGGAACCATCATCCGAAGCTCCCCAGAGATACTGACGTCACGATAACTGACCGAGCACAAAGCCTCGTGCTCGACTGAGGTACGGGGCGATAATGCTTGTCGGCTGCGCGATTCAGTCAAACAATTGCCTGTAGAAAACTCCCCATAGCCCCCGCTCTCTGCGGAAGAAGCGGAGCTTCGAGGAACTGACTTGAAGAAGTGCAGGACATTGGCATGCGACGAGGAGCGAAAGGATTTGAAGGACGCCCGACGGAAATGAATCCCAAAGAGTGTGGTCCCAGTTTGTCCCGCATTGATCGAACGCCGACCCGAAGATCGAGACTTCGAGAGCCCGGTGCATCACGCATCATTCGAACCAGGATAATGATAATACTACGAAAATAGGGTTATCTCGAAATAAGACTCTACCGTATCGACTCAATCAGTTCACACACATCTTGTTCGCAATCGAAAACCTTTCATTCAATTCACCATAATATCATGTAATAGAGCAGTAGCAGCAGAAGTGGAAGCTGCAAGTTGAAGTCTGAGCCTGACAAAAACTAGTGAGTTGCTGTGAGACGTATTCGGATTGAGCTGTAGATATCCTGCTTACGGGGGTCTCCCATGAAATGAAAACAGACTCGATACACAATTTACACAGTTCGCACACGATCCCCCGCAGAAGAAGGCCAACGAGGCTTCATCTCCCCGTTGCGATCGCGGTCCTCGTAGGCCAGTGGAATCCTGCTCATCCGTCGCCGAAGAAAGATGTTGATCCTCTGTACAACGCGGGACTTCGCCTTGTCCAGGCAAGCTTTCTCAAACCGCTCCTTTTGCGCTCCATCTTCTGAGATCGATCTCTTCTCGCTGACATTGATGCAACCATTTCAGTGCTACCGCGGCTCATCCTGCGAGAGCCGATGCCTTTGATACGAGAACACTGACGGGGCCAGGTAGATCACTACTGTGGATGCTCGTTGAGAAATGATGGGTTTTCAATTGACTAAGTAGTTTTGTAATCGCCGTTTATCTCGATCGGTTTCTAGTTTTCTTCTTACAGCTCCTCACATATGCATGGTTGGATACATACGGAAAGCCCTCGGAGGTATGGCCGAATGCTATGATCTCGATGTGGAATATTTTTGGGTTTGCTTGCGAAACTCGTCCTTGGACGAGTCGTGGTCTCTTCTCTTCAGCTCTCGCTGTTCTTCCTTCACTCTAATTTACGTTCTAGATGCATCGATGAAGAAAAAATGCCTCGTTTTCCGACATACCAGCAAGATATGCCTTGTTGTTGTTGATGTTGTTGTTGTTGGTTGTTGTTGTTGTGGATGTAGACAATAGTGATAATAATAATAATAATATTTATAATAAAGATGATGAAGATGATGATCCAGAATGATTGGACTCGGCGTCCATCACTCAGTCAGTCATTCGGTCGTTGTCTGTTAATCTTCACAAGATGACGGAAACTTCCCTCGAATGGCGCTTTCCCTCGAAGCATCCGCCGCGGGGTACATTTGAGGCGTTTGTGGAAGGTCATCGAGGTTTTTCCTGATAGGTGTTTCGAATTTCAATGCCCTCGATGAGAAATAATTGTTGTGACTTCAGAATCAATGATGATGTGGTAGGCTGGGTTTTTGTTGATGTTGTAGTAGCGGAAATGGTCAGTCACACTAATTGGATGATGTCTATTCAGATTTCTTCTTCTTTTTCGCAGGTTGATCGGAACTTCCCTCCTCATCGTCATCATCGTCACCAGCCGCTGCCGAAGAACCTTCTTTGTCTCCGGGTTCGTAGTCGGCTTCATCGTCCTCATCGATATCTTCCTGTAAATAGAACAAATCTCCGATTCAGAAAGAGATCTAGGGTGGAAGCCAGCGTAAGCTCGAGGAAGGATCGAAGAGGGAAGGACGAGCTCGAGGTCGATGATTGGATTGGTTGATTGATCGATAGGATAATATTTGATTGATTGATTAACGCCGTCGTAACGTGAAGCTCGACATGCTCAGATGAACGGCAGGTCATACGCTATCTACAGGTATGCTGAACTTGCTTCGGAAGCTTCTGCTCGACCCATCGATTTTCGCGGACAGTGATCGCTCGATTTCAGCAAGCTTGATGTGATCGCTTCGGATCAACACTCGGCAACGAAAGTAATGATTCCCTTCTATTATCAAGAGTGTGGATGTCGTCGTAGAGGGACCGAATTGAGCGAAAACTCTTCGCTCTACACCAGACTCGGCAAAGTTCGAGATCGGGGAAGATAGCTCAGCCCCATAGAAGGCTGAGAATCCCGCTGGAGAGGGTTTGCTTGGCCGACTGCGAGGATCACGACGTTGTGCATCACCCTGGCTGAGCAACAACGGAAGAAAACTTCGCCTTGTACCGCCTCGAAATGGGGGTTCGTCAGGCTCGGGTCTAGTCGCAGCGGAGCGAGAGTAGAGTCAGTAGCGGCGACCGCTCTACCAGCAAGCACTGAAGTGATGCAGTAAGAGGGACATGCCGCCTCCGATGCAAACGGTTCTATCATTGTCATGGTTCTACTGCAAACTCTCGGGAGACAACTCGCCGGTCGCTCCGCATCTCCATCCCCCGGCATCCACTCTCGTCCTCTCTCTTCGGAATGTTCTTTACAGCCGAGGTTCCGCCAGTCGATTCGACAATATACCGGCTGCGGCGGAGGAGACAACCCCTCAATCCACGCAGTGGTGAGTTCGTTCATTCGTCCGACGACTCCAGCAGCAGTCTAAGCGCTCCTCGGTCGGCGAGAAATCGAGAGAGAGAAGGATGAAAGAGAAAGAGATGAAGAAGCGAGAGAAAGAGAGTTATTGGTCGATTATGGCGGGTCCGCTTTCCCAGGGACGCTACAAAATGGCGGACCACGAAAATGAGCGAGAGAGTGATTCCGCCGAATCCGCGGGACTGCAGCCCACAGCGAGCGGCGGGAACAACAACAAGTGCCACATACCGGCACCAACATCAGGCCGTCAAGCGAACAAGGTGGTCGAGCGACTGCGCATACGGATCATTGTGCTCTCTTCCGCAAAACAGTGGACGAGGGCTAATGAAGATCACTGCGGGCTTCAACATTCTGGCTATGACTCTACCGCCGAACTCGCGCAATGCGAATCGTTCAAAGGCCTACAATCGGCACATCGGAGAAGAGCAGGTTGAGACCTCGATAAGAGAATCCGCGTCGAGGAAGGCATCTTGTGGAGCGGTCAACGTTCTAAGGCCGTCGATGGACAGGAACGACGCTAGAATCTGGCTCCAAATGGATTTCGGACGACTCCGAGGATAATGATTCCAGTCGACTGTAAACCAACTGGTCCGAAAGATATCTGATATTCCCCCTTGCTTGAAGAAAATACCGTGTTCTGAGAGACGCGCTGTCTTTTCCGGTCGCATTTACATCAGACAAATTCACTTGGCTTCTCGAGGAATCGTCAGCCAAGACAGCGCTCCCCTTGCGAACTCTTGCATTGAAATAATTGACCCGGCGAAGCAGATGAACTGACAGCTCCCGACCTGACATCTCTTGAAGCTACTCGAAAGCGATCTCGATCAATTCATAGATCCATCGAGCCTGCCTGAAGATGCCGCGCATACCAAACTAAGCAAAGGCGCTATTCCCCATTCCAACAAGATTGAGACACAGTGACGTCCACACAGAGATTTTCAGAGCTTATCGCAAAGACAAACGAATTCATACCGTTCGAATGCCTCTCAAACGCTTGCGGTGGAAACGAAAGCGCTCGAGCTGTATGGAAGTGGAAGACAAACTGAGCCAATTAAATCGTATCAATCAACCTTACGATCAATCAATCCTCCCATGAATCGATCAACCAAATCCTGAATCGATTCAACAATCCATCCTTCGCTCCTCGTGAGGGTGATAACGTTTACCTTTTCAAGATATTCGAGACCTACATCTTCCTCCTCGTCCTCTTCGTCCGCGCCTTCGGGTTCATCCTCTTCATCTTCGTCCCCGACTTCTTCTTCCTCATCGGCCTCATCATCATCATCATCTTCCTCACCTGCAACAAAGAAGATAAGAGCTCGTATACCAACAGAATTTCCATCCTTCCATGCAGGACATCCCAAATTTAATTGTAGCAGCTGCCATAGACCAATGCGGGAAAATTTGAGCAATAACCGTACGGAAGCCGCCCTTGCGCGTCTGTGCCGCTCTACCACAAGGAGGTCTGACGGATTCCGTCCGGAAATGAAATCATCTTCCTCAGCAGAGCACTCTACGGAGTTATCCGCCCTGATGCATCAAACTAGCACGACGTCAGCTTTCAGCGTGGATCTATATCCCTCTGGATTGAATCCCCGAAATTCGCCAGAAACAAATCGTCGGGGCGGCAGGCAGCGTATATCATGTCCTCGTTGGCCTTCATCATCGGAGCCGGAACCCCGGAGCCCCCTCCATTGAATGCAGTTCTATTCGGTTTCGATTTGTTCGAGATATTGGATGCACGTAATTTTACGCCGAATCAGCCGGCCCTACGCAATCGCTGAAGCCACGCCGGCATGGCTTGGCGCCAACGGTCGTTGAGATCCACCCGTTGAGAGCTCTGTCCGTGGTCGACGAGTGAGCGAGCGAGCGCCTACCGAACCCACCAGTCGTCCGCACGCCTGTTCGTCCGCATGCCTGCCTTGGCTGTTGTTGGGTAGCCGCCGCCGCGGCCGCCGCCGGCAACAACCAGCACAAGCCTGTGCAGAAGCAGCGGCCGCAGCAGCCAGTCGGCATCAACACACAGACGACATGTTATACCGCCAATGCAGCCGCCGGTTCGTCGGCGGCTTCGCCGCCATGTGTCTTTTGGGTTCTATGTTTTTTTCAGGTGTTCTAGCGGGAAACTCGCAAGGCGGGGAGCCGCTCCACCGCGGAGGATTCCGCAAGTCATGAGCACGGTACTCGACGAGCGCTCCCATACTCAACTCCGGCTCCAGCACTGCGCCGCCGGGCTGGAAGCTCTCGAGCGGGCGGGAAAGCGAACGGGGCGAAAATAAATTAATCTCACGTAGACACAATGAGGAAACTCGCCGGTCGACGATCAGATAGAAAAATCACACGTCCAGAAAGACGGGCGGCGAAGCCCGCACGGAACTCGAGAGCGGAATCGAGCCGCGGCTTGCCGGCATCTCGCCGCCGGGCAAGCTCACTCTACGAGCGAAAGCACGCACACACGATCGTCCGGGAACTACCACTGGTAGGGAGGATAAACGTCAACAACACGTTTCTTCGTGAGCCACCTACCGAGAAGGGTGCCGTCCTCGCGGATAATCCGACGCATTTTCAGTTGTTTTGCCTGAACGAACGAACGAACAAACGAAGTGAAGCCTGGGGGAACCGGACGCGCCTGCTGCTACCGAAGCTTTGGGAAGCCAAGAGAGCTTTGGGAGCGAGCGAGCGGACAAACGAACGAACAGCGACCGAATGGGCGAGCGAAAACCGAGAGAGAGACAGGGAGCGCTCGAGTGAGCGGGTGAGCAAATGAGCGAGCGAGCGAGCTACTTCGAACACTGTGTGTGTCTGCTTGCCGCCGCCGCCAACACTAGGACAGCAAGAGAGAGGCCGTTGTTGGTGTTGTTGTCGCTGCTGTGGTCGTCGCTGCCGCGGCGGCGTTTGCTGTAGCGAAAGAAAGGAAGCCTGGCGGATTGCTTGCCTATCTGCCCGCCGCCACCGGCCGGCTTACTTTGGGGAAGGACAGTCACAGGAGGCGGAGTATAGCCATCATCACAGCAACCAGTAGCAGCAGCAGCAGTGAGCAGGCAGCGTGTACATAGAGACGCCTTTCGCCGTCGATCGACTGACTCTCCGCCTGTCTGGAACATGCTAACCGTAGCTGGTTCGCCGGAGAGGCTTGGATGCGCGCGCTCCGTAGGCAAGGAGACCTGACTCGCTGCCACAACCGTCGTTTTGCCGCGGCCTAAATCGACAGTACCAACGTTCGTACCGATTCGTGTTCTATCCCCGACAACATAGTCTGAGGAGGAGCTACAGCCTGTCGAAGAGCGGAAAGCATCCGAATCGAGCTCAGCGACTTCGGTAGGGGGGTTCGCGCAAATACCGTTTTGCCGCCAAAAACCGTGCAGCATTATTTCACATAGGGAGGCTCGGATAGTGGCAGCGTCGTCGCCCTCCTGAGGGGCTCCCCCAACACGACCGGACTCGAACAACCGCGGAACTCTGGACACGCGGCGAAATGCGAATGACGGGGCAAGCCTCCGGACAGACAGCCCGCCCGATTTCCACGGCGAGAAAACTCCGAGAGTTCTTCCGGCCAGGACCGAATCGAGTGCACCGGTTGGAATCCCGATACCGAGTGTCCTTGGGAGCGCGAACCTCAGCACAACGCCGTCGATGTCCGAACGTTTCCTCATAGTTTCGCTCCTCAACGATCGTTGAAGACTGATAAGCCTGACGGCTGTGTCGTCCGAGAGGGCGTACGGCCCGCTCAGACGCTCTGATTCTCGCTCAGGAGTCTGCTAGCCGCGAAGTCGAATCTCAGCGAGCGGGACCCTCGATTCAGCCTTCCATCCTATCGTATTCGATTCGAATGATTAAAATGGAGTTCTGGAGGAGGGGTTTGATTTTATGCGACGCACGGCTGATCGGTAGGAGTCAAGAGGATCGGGGAGCATGGCAGTCGCTGATCCACGACCCTGAGGGAAGATTGGGCAGTCCTTGACGAGCGTCCAAGGGAAGCCTTCGTCTCTATGGGTCCGTAGTTTGTACGTTTCCCCGGAAGACCGTGAGGAGTCCACTGGAGCGCATGCAATCGCCTCGCGATGCGCGGATTGTGCCAAGGAACCTGTCTCCAGACCTCGGTAGCTATGCTGCGATGGGAATCGGTTCTGAGAACTCGTACTCACCCTCGTCCGACGAAGCTTCATTCTCGTGCATATCGTAGCCGTCCAAGTACTTCAGATTAGGCAACATGGCGAACATTTTCTCTCGATAACCCTCAACACTCGTCACTCCGCAGTTGAACAGATCCAAGATGCGAAGCTGCTGTGGAATCAAATTTTTCCTCAGCTCTAGATTCAAATACATTTCCTTGGTCTAAGGAGATGACCGACCCGCGAGAAAAAGGATCCTCCGGCCGCTGAGCGTTCCCAACGAGCTCGTGGGCCGGCGGGTTTTCATCGATAAATCCGGCGGTTCATGCTTGCATATGTAGGTCTGACTGAGTAGAGGACAGCAGCTTACTTTGAGTTCAGCCAAAGGTTTAACTGTTTCCAAATCCTCGATCCGGTTGTTGGATAAATTAAGATGCGTCAGTAGCGGCGATCCGTGGAACGCTTGCAGTCCCCCGGAGATACGATTGTCGGAGAGTTCTAGTCTTTCGAGCTTTGGTAGCTTGGGGAAACCTGGAAGAGACGTCGATGAGTCGACTCAGCTCCACTTCCAGAATGAGCGAATTCTACGAGCGGCCACCGATCATCGTCATCATCACCCTCAACTGTAACCGTCGTTTCTCGACACCTGTTGTACAATCGGCGATCATGTTGCAGGATGCGGGTGTCAACCGCTTACCTTTCAATGAGGTGAGACCGACGCTGTTCAGGCTGAGAGTGCGTAAGTTTACAAGGTCGCTTGTCAGTCCAACGATGCTGGTAGACCGTGCGTTGTCCAGATTCAAATCGACCACCTAGATCAACACAAGAAAATATTCGTATGGCGGAAGGAACGGCGTCCGGCGCGAGCCGACCCGCAGCGAGCCTCTGATCATGGATATTTCCCGAGGAACACGAATGCCCAACTCATGTCGCTAGGCCTGTTCGGTGCCTACGTGCTGGCGTTGTGCGTGAACGCATGCCCGCCGAATACGTACCTTCTCGGGCTTGCGTCCACGTTTTTCAAGCTCGATCCGTTTCTCCATGTCGTCGGCGCGTGCGTGTTTGCACTGAGCAGTGTTTTGCCTCACGTTTTTTTCGGAACACCGACCCTAGCGGTAGCCTGTCGCTATTTTCTGTCCGCCAATAGCTCGCGAGATACGAAACACAAGTTTGTGGTCCGTAGGCGCGACTTTCAATACCGATGCAGCACCGGGATACGTCGAACCTCTAACTCTCAACACAGCGAGTGATATGCTTGCTGCCAGAGCTCCGTGTCGTCAGAAAACACTTCCACTAGCGGTTTGAGCAGCAGCGAAACAACACTGTGTTGTTTTGAACCGCTCGTTGTTCAAGAAGGCCACAAGACGACAACGACGACGACTACCACCACCACCACGACGATGACAACACAACGAATGCCGCTTCTGCTACGGTGGCGGCGGCGGCAAACGAGAAGATCTACTGCTGCTGGCTGCTGCGGCCGCACCAGGATCGCAGGTAGGCAACAACAAACCTGCCGTCCGTCGTCCCCCTCTGTGTACATTCCAATGAGCGAATGGACGCATCCCGGAGCGAGTAAAGGGGGCGGGCGATCGGAGAGGCCGCGAATGAGCCGTGTCTTATGAATCGAGAAAAGCGACCTCGGCGTAAGGAGATCGAAGTGAGACCTGCTTCAGAGACGGAGATGTCCAGGCTTCTTGAGTCCCATCGGTATCCATGACGAGGCTGTCGACACCCTACCGTGGGCTCTTCTCACGTTAGTTTGAATGTCTTACCGCCGATAACCTGTCCTGAACTCGCTCCAGAATTCGATCCAACCCAGAAGAATTCTACTCCTCCCAAAGAAAAAGCTCGAGTAATGAATGACGGTTTTCCATTCTCTGTTTGCTTATCAATGGTAACTTATCATTGTTGAATATATCGATTTGATGGGGATGGGGATATTATCGTTAGTCATGAGTCATTAGTGCTCTCATCTTCTGAGATGACTTCCTGCCTGCCTTGACCGAGGGATCTCATCCCCGCGTCAACCCTCAGGGCTAACCACCACCCCGGCGGGCGAGTACCCCCCCGCGTCTAGCTTTCGTGTCTTGTCATTGGAGATATGCTGTTATCTAATGGGAGAACTCGGGCCAGTACATGATTTCACGGTCTCCAACATCATGCTTTCACGGAAGGAGGGCATGTCCTCCTGACTGAAGTCAGTCTTTGCATCTGGTGTGGCATACTCCGAGTATTTCAGTGCGAATACCCTACAATGAATCCGGTCTTCTGCAAAGGGACGGTGTTGTCATGCTGGAGGCTCCACTCATCGAGATCGATACCGATTCTTCTTATAGTTCATTTCTTCAGCCAAGTGGGTGCGCAAGATCGTCAGGCACTCCTGCCTCCCGCCTCGTAGTGAGTCTTGATACTTGACAGCTCTCATCCGAAGGCCGTTGGTCGCCTTGTACCAATGGCCAGTCTCATGTATCACAATCATGGATCACAAATCACACCTATGTCGATCGTGGAATTATCTTCAGGGTACTTGGAGCTTTGCTCCCTCAACCAAGCTTCGAGCACCGGGTCGACGCTCTCGCCCTGCTCGGTCAGGGTGAGCATTTGGCTTTCCTCACCACCTTATATACAACTCGATCGATGAACTCCGAAGCTGAGATATCTACCCGCGATAGGGGCTCCCTGGATGAGCTCATTCTGACATTATTCCATTTCGTCGCCTTGTTCGGTCGAGGAAGGATAAACCCTCCGGTGCTCCGGTCACCAAGGAAGAGGTTCTTTTGGAACAATCGCATGCGAAAGACATTCCAACGGGAAACCCTCAATTAGAGAGAGCGGTTCCGGCTCGCGCAGAGAGCAACATCTATCACGGCAGGTTTTATAGTTGCAAGAGGGTAGGAGTACGTTCAGAAAGTCGACAGAGTGGGAGCCGACTCTTCGTGGAATTCGCCATTGCTCCCAAAGCCCAGTATTCCTCTGTTAATATGGAACTCTCGGAGACGCCGTTCGATCTTAGTAGTCCATTTGAGTTTCTCGGAGTATCAGTACCAAAGGAAGACAACCCATCCATGGCATGCCCAGCCGCTCCCAAAATCCCTACAAAACTCCTGGATTTCCCCGGTTCTCCGACCACCTGCCCCCTTCCCGAAGAATTAAGATCTCAGATCTCTCAGAGTGTGATTCGTAGCGGAACTTTTGTACCGTTTCCCAGAATCGGGATCGACGGGGGTCTCTATGTAGAACTGTGAACGAATGCCGAGGGCATGGAGAAGGATCCCGCCTCACGTCAGAATTCTTCCGGAAACTGGCGTCACTAACCTAGGAGCACCTGACCACGACTCGAGACCTGATCGACTTGAAGAACCACCCGGCTCTCCACGGCCTTCTGATCCCAGGATCCGCATGATTTCATGAGCACAGATGTTGAGATTTAATTTACGCAAGTTCGGATTCGCTGGAAACCGGGAACTTTCCCCGAAACTTCAAAGGGAAGCTACTTCGCGCAAGGACGTTCTCAACCCCAATAACTTTCTCAGAACTCAGTATCTGACACCCCGCCTTCGCTGGAAACTGTCGGATAGTGAATAGAGTATATTGTACTACCACCAGTAGAATGAGGATTTTCATGATTCTTTGTTCCGAGAGAAAATTCACAATTCACCATTGCTCATCATCACGACCGTAAAGAGACAGCAAAGAAATGAATTGATGAATAGCGACAGAAAGGATGATTCTCAGTTCTGTTAAATCACTCCGATGCAGACGTAGCTGACGATCTCGCTGCAGACGATTGAGAGCTAGAACCCTACCGGCGATAGAGGTCACTCAGTCAGGGGATTCCGAATGGCACCTTGGATCATAGCACCGCTCTCGAAAACATATTCACCACCGCATGGCGAGCTGACAGGGAGGCTTCCTCATCTCGCTAAGTTTGAGCTGAGGCTGAGGGATTTGTCATTGGAGCCATTGGTGACGGAATACTTTCAAAGGCGCTGTTCGGGAACCTGGTCTTGAAATCCGACGGCATCGGCACCGCGTCTCCGGAACGGGATCCGGGCGACAAACTCTCGCCGCGCAGCTCAATCCACTGAGATGTCCCTTCGTCGATGGAAGATCGTTCGTAGAGAAGATCCGCACGTGTCGAATGTATCGCTACTGGTTTGGCCAACCTGGTGGTGAGAGAAACCTTCAAGTCAGAGGTTTCCAATAACTGGTTCCCCTTGGATTGCGGGACAAAACCCCGTCGTGGACGACCATGAAGGAGAACCCGACTGAGGAAGGTTGAGAAGCTATCTGAGTGAAGGGATACTTAATTTAATTTCAACCCAGGCCAAGAAACACAAGACTCAACCGTGAGCTCTCGTTCCGTTGTTCGGAATGATTTCATCAAGATCAATTTCCATATCATTCAGCTTCAACCTCAGCCAATTTGACCACTCAAAAATCCGTGGACCACCGAAAATTTGATCATGGACCACGGCTGGTCCATGGACCACCGTTTGGGAGATCGTGCTCTAGCTTCTTCTCTGGAGAATCTCGAGCTTTGTGCTCAAGGAAGTGAGAGATGGTTATCGATGGATAGCCGAGTGCTTAGAGCGGTCGGCACGTCAGATGACGACTTGCGCTAGCTGCATTGACGTGGTATCGGGCGGGAGGCAGCGTGGGCTCGATCCCTGCAACGGTCTACTTCAAGGAGGGCTTCCATTGTTCCCCTTATTCGGGGTGAACGTCGGAGTAGAACTCAGGCCGCTGCCTACCGAATCCCGGTAAAGAACCCAACGCAACGCAGAACTCCATGGACTGGGCGAGCATGAGGGCTCTCTGAGGAGGAGCAGGAACTTCTCGAGGTTAACGTTCTGCAACGGAGATCGATCCCCGGCACTCACCCGCTCTGCATTTAACATCGAGCCGGATGGAGAAGCCAATGGAGTGTGGCTCTTCAACGCTATGGACATCGTCAAGGTACTGCAGCATCGGTGCATTCCCCATTTGAATGGAGCAGTATTCTCAAGAAGTCGGCATTGGAGGATGCCCACCGGAATCGTGGCATTCGTCGGCTCGTTTTCCTCGGGACTTGCTGGCACCAGGTCGTCCTCACCTCCATTGCTTGCCTCAGGCTACTCCATCCCGCCATCGACATTTTCGGCTCCCACTTCGGATACAGCGAGGGCTCCGAGAGAGTCTTTGAACGTCGCCCTTTGTCGATGCCCAAGCTGGCTTGTCAAGCGTGCCTCTGAAGCTGCGGTGGGTATCGTCATGGGCTTCTTCCGATTCACGGCAGAGTGACCCTCGAATCATATTCCACAAGACTTTTCTCCTATTCGGAGCCTAGAACTCCTGAGACATTCCTCAAATACTGGCCCCCGACCTTCCGAAAAAGTATCTTTGTATACATCACGAATTTTCTGAGTGCTCCGTGATATCGCTTCGGCAGCGCGGAGTTTGCCTTCTGTCGGCGGGTCTCACTGTTCGGTTTAGAATTATGAGATCATCCGATACAGTGAATATGGTTTTCAGCGAGCCTCGCTCATGTTTACACACTTCAATTGTGCAAACGAGCGTCCCTGGGCGAGTTTCCTCACCCGACGTATCTCCCGAGTCTCAGTTCCCGCCTCTTGAGTGTTCCCTCGTATTTTCACTCGAGCCCTGACCCCCTTCCTCAGTAGACCCCATAACCTGGCAAACTCATCCGTCTCGCAGTGATCAGAATCTCATTTCGTGATGATGTGTGGTGTGGTCTCCATTTGACCCCCATATGTCTTGGGGTTTGGGTTGGAGCTTCTCGGGCAATGACGGAATAGAACGTAGACTATGCTGGTCAGCAATTTCGGCAGCGGTTCATCCCGATGCACCGGATGGGTATCAGAGAGCAGATAATGGCGATAATCTGCCCCGACAGTATCTATTGCAAAGCTATGCATATACGTATTATTCCTCAACATTATAGAGCGTGAGTCGAAAATCAGACGGACAAGTCACCGACAGTACGAAGTGCGTATACAGAGGTCGGGGAATCTCCGCTGAGGCCGCGGCTGGTCGGAGAATACAAGAATATCGAGCAAGAGTCCTCCTTATCTCGTGCAAAAGGGAGGTAGAAGTTCTCAGAGCTCGGGAGAATGCTCCGCGTAAATCGGTGTTCTATCTTCGGAGGAGCCCTATCTTTCTACCCATTCTCGCGCTGCCTCGAAGCCGTTCTCACACGTTTTGGTCCCTAGCTCAAATAGGTTGTCTGGGTTGGTGTGCCGCGCTACCGACATCACCAAGCAGCCGTTCCGCCCACGCCTTCCACGATCCAGGAAGACAGAGGGCTCGCCTGATCCATTCCGCAGCCAGGTAGGGTAATCTGCGTAATCCTCCGGCATTCAAGTGGCTGGCGAAAAGTCCTCGTAGGAAGTTCGTCATCGAGTTTGATTCGATCATGAAGCTCGACTGGAGTGAGTATTCCCAGGGAATGCCTATCCTTCCGCGAAATCGTACGGAGGTGAACGATGGAGCTTGAGGGCACCGGTGCTACGGCGGCGCTCACGAGATTCGGAACATTCTCGTTCCCTTGAATCGACCCCAGCATCTCCGTACGGAGCCATTAGCGGGGACTGACCGCGCCTGCCAGCCGATGTGTTGAACTCCCTTGAGGGAAAAGCAAGTCTGGAAAACTCCCTTTCCTCGGCGCTGATGCGGCTGCGTCGGAGCTGTCGCCGACTCCGAAAGAACCGGTGTGCCTCTTTACTCTTTGGACTGACTATCGTTCCGTCGTCGCCGCCGCCGCGCCGCCGTCGCCGCTGCCGTCGGTGTTGCCTACGAAGAGGAGCGGACGAAAGAACGAATCAACGAAGATGATGATGCCACGCTACTGCGGTCTTTCGTAGCGGCGATTCGCGTCTCAGAAGTCCGGCGTCGTCGTCGTCGTCGTCAAAGAGGCCCTGTTTAGGTTGTCTGCTTCGGCCGCCCGTCTTTTGCTGGAGCTGGCGCTGGTTCTTCTCTAGTCGAGCCTTAGACGAAGAGCTCCGATCCGAAAACAGAAGCACCGAGCCCCGTCTTCAGCGGAGAGCCATGAGGGGCATTCCTTGATCATCATTCAATTATGGCCGCGAGCTTGATTGGGCTATCGAATCCCAGTCTTCTGAAGCACCCAATCGGCACAGTTTCCGCTGAACCAGGCACCTGTTACTCTCACCAGTGAGTCGGTTTCGACGTTTCCGATCCGATACGTGACTACAACGACTCGCACTGGTTCGTTCCGTGCACCGGACACTACGATGTCATCACATGGCAAGCGGTTGGCACACAGATGAGGTATGTTTACCAAAGAGACCATTCGGTAGCTAATTTTTCATACCGTGATGTTCCGGACACCGGGGCGCCCCGACTGGCAGCGGCGCAATGGATCCGAGATCAATCCGAATAAATTTCGGCACGGCACGGGAGAACCGAAAGCGGTTCTCTCGTCGGTGACACGGAGAGATATTTGCGCGCGCGACGAATCGGCTGTCCCGTTTCTTCTGGAAAGTGTCCACGCACAGAAGTGAAAGCGTATGTTTACGATGACGACATTGTTTTCTGTGAAGCCGTAGACAACGGAGCCTATCGCCGTAGAAGAGCACTCATGCGGCAACCGCGCATCGGCTCTGATTGTAGCATTAGGCAAATGAACGGTCGTCGGGCGATGCTAATTGAGCTCGTCTTGTGAGGGAGGACTATTGTATCCGACGGCTGTCGATCGGGGAAAATGTCGAGCGACACAAGAGGCGGCCACCAGTCTCAAAGCCGGAATCACGAGCCGAAGCCACGCGTCGTCTTCAAAGAAATGTATCGGAGATTTACATGCACGGGCTTGACTAAGAAACTACGACTCGGGGAACACATGTGGAGCACGTGCTCGTCGATAATAATGCGCGAATTTGGATCGGGATAGAGCGGTCGACGAGCGGCACGAAGCCAATAGATCTCAGATAGCTGCTGGGATTCGGAATGGCTCATTCCGTATCAACGTTTCCGCTGGATACACCACACCTGCTCGGAGTCGAGGCGGCTCGTCGGCAAGAGCTGAACATTTATCATTTCGTCATCATGGAGCGTCGTCGTGCCGTGAATCAGACGAGAAGGCACTCGAAATCGGCTTCAGCTCGCACGAATGATGCTATGAAGATTTTCCAGGAACCTGTTACACCTGCGACAAGCCCATCCCCGGAGACAAATATATGTGTATCCCCTGTGAATCGCAATCGAAAGAATTCCTACAGGAGAAACACCGACTCCCAGATCAGTGATGCGTATTTTTTCCCAGAAGAGACTGCTTTCTAGGCCCGATCTCCTCCACTGAATTTTATCCCATGGATTATTTCCAGCTGGCGGTCATGAGCAGGAATTCCGCTGCTCGTCGACGGAACCATGGTGCCTTTCGGCTTCATTCTTCTCGTTGCGGTCGCGCCTCTCTGTCGTGGCGCGGAGTTCTCATTCATACGTGAGCCCGAATCGGAGATCATTGAAGATGGACACGCTATCTTCATGTGTGAGCCGTCGCAGGGCTTTGCCACCGTGCAGTGGTTCAGGGATGATCAGGAATTATCAGCCAATTCAAGCAACGTTGTCAAGGTGGGTTAAATCTAATCGCTAAGCGGAGGCGCTCTGTGAAGCCTCCCTGCGTCGCGAAGTTTCCCTCGGAGATCAAGGGATCATCGCTCGAGGATCAGCTCAAGGGATCAGACCGGAAAGAGATAGAAAATTCGCAGAAACAACAGCGTATGCTTAGGGAAGAGTGTCGGGCTGACCTGACCTTGTAGACAGGATCTTTTTTGCTCATTTGGGCTGGGTCTCTTGCAGATCTCGACCTGTGGCCGGATGCATTCGCTCGAAGTTCTCGAGACCAAACGTTCGAAGTATCGCTGTGTGATCGGTATGAAGAAATCGCCTCTGAAGTTGATGTCGAAAACAGTCGAAGCCATCCCTATCGCGATCGACGAATTCAACAGTCTGAACACAAGCGATCGCCGGATAGAGGTATCCCAGGGATCGACGGCTATCATACCATGCGGTCCTCTGCCGAGGAGCGAGCCTCCCGCCGTACCCAATGTGCACATACTGAAGAAACGTAAACGGATCGTTCTCAAGCTAGGTCACCGATTCCAAGTTATGCGATCAGGCAACGTTTTCGTACGGAACGCTCAACCTAAGGATAGTGGCGAGTATCAGTGCTTTGCCGAAAACCCGCTGACAGGTGAGCGTAGGGAGGCCCCATTCAAGGTGCATCTCCATGTGCGCTCGCAGGACGGCGAGCAGTCACAGAGAAGAAACGCCAGCCTCGTCCACGGACCCCCTCCCCGAACGGAAGCCATAATCGGTAGCAATGTCACCATGGAGTGTTTGGGAGACGGTATACCCAAGCCTCAGATCCAATGGAAACGCATGGATCCTTCGTATCTGCCCGAGGGTCGGATCGAGGGGGAGAATACTCTGACCCTGCTTTCCGTGACGCCGAAACACGCGGGCGTCTATGAGTGCTTGGTTTCAAACTACGTCACGGTCAGGGCACGGAGCACGCTGGTCGTTCTCGAACCGCCGCGTCTCAAGCAGCCGGAAAAGATCACCTATGTCGTCGAAAATGGCCAATCCCTGAACCTCGAGTGCGAGCTGAGTCGAGGTGAACCGCAGCCGAACATCACGTGGGTCTTGAACGCGGAGCGATTGCGCTCCCATTCGGGCAGAAGCATTTTCGTCTCGGAACGCGAGGTTTTCATTCGGAAGATCACCAAGCAATTCCACGAAGGAGCCTATCAGTGCTTCGCCACGAACAGCTTGGGCTCGGCTTCGATTCAGTATCAGGTTCAGGTGATTTCCGCCGCCAGTCAGGACGAGGCAGGACTCTCTGCTCAGGACTTCGGTCGGGACCGGGAAAATTCGCCGTCGCAGTCGCGTACAGAGGACAAGATCAGATTGCCGTCCCCTTCGAAACCGGACATCCAACAGATTTCCTCGAGCGCCGTGCTGATCACTTGGCTCGTCGATCCCGCGGAACTATCGGTGTCCTTCTTCAAGGTTCAGTACATGGTCAGAGGGGGCGGATGGGAAACGTTGGATGTCGAAGTGAATCCTTGGCAGACGGCCTACCAAGTCGACGGTCTACAGCAGCCACTGCAGTACCGCTTCCGGCTGATCGCCGTCTACGAGAATGACGATCACCGCATAAGCAAAGCCAGTCGATGGGTAGCACTCGTCGAGATGCCCGAACCCAAGCGTAATGAAACGCCTCAGCTCACGCCGATCGTGAGCGTGTCTTCGGACTCACCCACGTCGCTGACCGTCCAGTGGAAACTCGAGACGCAGTCCGGTGATATAGTCGACGGTTTCATTCTGAAGTTCCGTCGAATCGACAGCGCAGGGGAGTGGACGATCCATCGGCAGCCGAGAAACGCATCCAGATCCTTCACGATCGAGCATCTGAAAGCCGGTCAGCACTACGAGGTGAAAATGGCGGCTTTCAATCAGTTCGGTGTTGGAAACTTCTCCACTGCGAGAGTGGCCCGCACGAGGGACGCTCCGACGCGCTCACCACCCTCCGTGAAACTAGTTCCTCATGACGACGAGCAGGATAAGCTCCACAGAAACGACAACGGAAATCTAGGCAAAGAAATGCCTCAACGCACAGCTTTCCAGAAACATCATTTAATTGCAATCGCGGTCATCGGTGCCACGCTCGGTATCATTAGCCTCGTATGTCTGGTTTGCGCAATACAATACGGACGGAATTCCTCCGGGAGGCCGTCTAAGGTCGACAAGCGCTTGCGGAGGGAAGCTGCGGCTTACGTCAACGACGCCAACCTAAACTTTACGCCTTCTATATCGACGGTCGACCTGGCGAGCAACTCTCCTAATAGCAAACGCTTCGACGACGATGATCTGACGACCGATGACAGCGAGGACTCGGGCTCGGAGTCGATGAAAAGCGTGTCACACGAAGAAGTTCCTCGTTCGGAGAAAGAGTACGCACTCCGAATCCTGACTCAGCTGTACGCTACGAACGGGCACATCGTCAACTTCGATACTCAGTCAAGCCGCGTCCACAGCGTGTAGTGATAATGCGACCAATTCAGATTATCCCCGCTGACGCTGCGGACTTCGAAGAAAAACCACTCACTCGTATTGTATCTATACGTTATAATTTATTCCTATTTAAATCTTCCCCTATTTATTTCCTCCAAAACTCCCAATCAGTGAGTTTCATAGGTTGTGAATTCTCAAGGAACGTCGATGAGACACAGAAATTATTAGCAGGAAACTCCCCTCATAAGGCACTCGGTCATTAGGTGCCGGATACTCAGCTACGCTCCTGTCTGATCCCACGTTTATCAATCCGCTCATAATGGAATCATCCACGCGGAGCTGGGACTTCGGGACGATGCTTATCCAGACAGAGATCGCGACGATCGATTCCCACAATACGCTCGAGCGATCCGGGCGAAGTGTCGTTATGTCGGGCGATTCCCCGAGTCCCGAGAAGCTCTTTATGACGAGGGTTCCCCGCACCTAATTGTATTTAAAGAATGTGTTGAGAAAATAGACCATCGTAACGAGCTTGAGCTACAAATTTGTCGAATTGAATTCATACTCGTGATTGCTACTTCCGATGGAGCTTGTGCCAAAAAGCAACGACTTCCTTGTACACCGCATTTTCTGCGATTCGAAGGTGCTGTCATCGAAAGAGGCCGTCTCCAATTAACCGGCATGTCTCTGATATGCTCGGCTCTTGGAGAGGACGGGAGTTCAGGTGGAAAGGAAAACACCGAAAAATCTCCCTCTCTGATAGACGGTCAACTTCTCGCAGCTGAAAGCGGGAAGGAATGTCCTTCAGTTGGAGAGAATGCGACAATGAATATATGATCTCTAATCTCCAAAATCTCACTTCTCGCATCAATTCATTTGATTGCCGATAACTCGATACCAGGAGCTACACGAGAATGAGATTCCAAAACCTAAGGCATTGTATTCTTCTATTGTTACACCCTATATTTCTCGACTTCATCAATAATATATTCACGCTTTCATCTATATCTATTCTTGAGAGGCTGATAAGAGACTGGGAATAAACACTATATTTTCCGCCACGACCCATCGCATCTTCAGCAAGAGCTTTCCGATTTTATTGAAAGATTTCATTGTCGTTCGAGAAACTTCGGAAGTCAGAATATATGAATATCATTCCATTGGAGGGTGGAGGATCTGACTTACTATGCGAGCAGCCGCATGGAACAAATAATCAAGGGCAAAAATATGGACTAGAATTTCCGCCATCGATGGGCGAAATCTCACATAATATCTTCTAGGTGAACTATCGACCGCGAATCTTCGACGGAGCTTCCTCATTCATCCTATACAATGAAAAAAAGTGTAGCGCTCCGACTCTCTGAGCACTTGTTCAGAGTTTCTTATGAAACTCAGCTGCCTGATCCATCGTGTCCTCAGCGAAATTGACCTTGTCGATGGAGGATTAATCACTGATTCTCTGAAGCCGCATTTGGTGGGACTGTCATGGATTCTCTGAATCCGCATTTGGTGGGACTGTGATTGATTCTCTGAACCCGCATTTGGTGGAACTGACCGTGCAGCAAATGCTTGTACTCAAGCCTCGATTCATTCCCTCTCGATGGAATGCACCGAGTCGATAGGTTCCGCACTCGTCAAGCTCCCGCGACGGATGGGAAATTCAGAGAGAATTCTTGAGCTCTTAACTGGCTCCCGAAGTGGGTGAGAAATATTCCAAATGTCGAAGAAGAAAATCAACCGCATAGGAATGATTCGGAGTCGTGACCGGGGATGCTTAGGAAGTCAATCACCGCATGGATAAGACTTTTTCCTTACACACCTAAATAAAATCGCTTCAGTAATCTTGACTGAAGCTCGAATCTCACTGGAAGGCCTCTCGGAGCTCTCCCCTTTGAATCCTTATCCTTATACCTAATACTTCACGCCGTTACAAGGGTGTACTAAGCGATTTTCGCTCTGCTAGAAATGGCATGACACATCAGGAGGAAAGCCACACCGATGGCGATCGCTTCGCACGGGATCCAGGGCTCGAACAAGGGTCCCGGATGCTCGACGTCGAACCCAGTAAAGGGTTTAACCGAAGCGTCGGGGAACTTCCGCGCCAATCCATAGCTCTGCTCGTCATATAAGACTATAGAGAACTTGTTCAGCGTGGAGTAGGTGCTAGTTTTCCAGCTGATCTGGAGACTGAAAGAAACCGAGAAACATTTTTGAATATCTGTTCGTGAAGGAAAACCGGAGCCGATTCCGTGAGCTAGAAAATCCTATCGGGAGACTCACTTGTTATTGACGTCCACGACAGCTACAGCTCCGAAGTAGGGGCCGTCATTCACTCGGAAGAAGACGGGATGTGTGTACCCCTGACCATCAGGACAGATCAGGGAGAACTTGACCGTGTAGACGCGCTCAGTGAACAAGGTCGCTCCTTGAGTGGCGTAGGTACTGGCGATGCTGGCTCGAGGATTGGAGCACGGAGCGGAGGCTATCACAGCCTCCGATGCGAGAATCACGATCGCACACAGAATACTAGCTCGTTGCCACAACTAGAAAGAAGACGAGCAAAGTTTGAGACAGCGGACCCGGGACAGAAGCTCCGGTCCTGAATTAGGTGCCGGCAGCAAGTTAAGTCCCACAGATTCTGGCTACGATCGTTCCGCTGAAATCAGCTGACGGAACCCGTTCTCCACTCCATAACTGTCACGAACAAAGTCAGACAGGCCGGTGGTTTCTCAAAAACCCCATTTCGGGAACGAAACGAGGGAAATGCCTGGATCGGCACCCAACTCCCTCCCGAAATCATGAATTTTAAAAAATTGGAAGGAGGTACGATGGAAGTTTTTGAAATTAGAAATCGAGTCGCTTCCTTCCGTTCGAGGTTGGGAGCTGCGTCGGAAAGTTTCGTCTCTCGACAGTCGTGACTTAGGCTTCGCATACCATCTTTCGTCGCAGAAGGGAAGTTGGACAAATCGAACGCGTGAAATCGAAGGGAACTTCGCGCGATTGAAATTCTCGGTCCCAGACGCCGGCTCTCGATGCAAACACTCGGGGGCTGCTGTTTGAGGGAAAGAGGAACCCTCTCCGAACTCCGAATTGAGCTCGCTCCGAGTTCGGAGTTGAGGATTTCCAAAAACGAGGACATCTTCCTAATTACATGATTCCGGACTCTTTTTCGACTCTTGGGGGTCTCTCAGGAGTGCGGAACATTCGAAAAATATGCGGCTCGAGGCGGAGAGTCTAATAGATCTAATCAGTTATTTGTGGATACTCAGGCGAAGACCCCGGCGCCAAACTTCGAACCCGAATGTGACTTGCGAACAGGAAGGATCGCGCTCTCTTTGGCCATCCAGGAAGAGGTGTATCTTCGGGGAAGAGAGCGTAACCCCGAGAGGCCCCGCGTTCTATGTCCGGAAGATATCGAGCACCGGAGGGCGATCTGACGCAATAAACGAATCTCGAAAACCTCTTTATCATCATCATAAAGAAGCGGCGGCAGGCCATCGCATGACGTTCTCCTCAGATTCGCACTTCGACCGATAATACAAATTACAAAATACAATTATTATCCTAAAGTCTTATTATCTTCGTCGATGAACGCTGGCATTAACTCGGTCGCTTCTCATCTTCGGACGAGGGCCGATGTTCGCCATGTCGCCGCGTAACTCCCTTCCTCCTCGCGAGGGGATCGCATGCTCCTGAGCGAGGTCGACCCAGAGTAGAAGAGCCTATGGACACCGGGCTTGACAGTCTTCCCGAGGAAGCTCGTCATTTTCATATGCTTCCAATGCTCGCTTTCCCCGTCCGACGCGATGAAGTAGAGAAATTTTCTATCGATGCTCACCGCCAGTCACTCGTCCGTCAACCCGGCGGGAAGCGAAAGGATCGCCTTTTTCGCTCAAACTCATCGCTCGTTTCCCGTTCGAATCGAGCCGCCTCGGTGGCATTGGAAATGCCGCTATCGGTGCGCGAAGAGACCGGAGTAGACTTTTTACTCTGGAAAGAATCTCGAAGTCAAGCGCGAACTCAAGAGAATCCGGCGTCAACCGCTACACCGACAGCGATTCTCAGCTGACTCTTGAAGGGAGGAAGAAAACGAAGACGCCTTCCATAACAAGTGTTGACGCGGGATATCGCTAGGTTCCAGACAGCTATTCGACGTTCTAAGTCTACAGATGATTCGCAACGTGTCGCAAGAGTCAATGCGGAAACCTCGGGAAGCGGAATACATTGCACTCAATGAGACTGCTCTGCGCCACAATACGTCTGTGTTGAGCTTCACTCGGACAGCTGTGTCGGCACTCGTGAGTACACACTTTTACCTGCGTGCCCTGGGCCCGAGGACCGAATTCTCTGGGATCATGGAGCATCTCCGACTGAGCGTTAATCAAGCAAAAATTGTCTTCCAGAGCGGGGTATCGGCAGGAATCCTCGGTCTGACGTCATTCTGCGGCTTCGCCTTCTATTTCTTCACAGCTCTGATTTTGTGGTGTATGTTGGTCTTCCGGAACTACAAAACGTGGCCGAAATATCTGAAAAGCAGGAGAACTTTTCTTACCCACAGCCTGCTTGAAGGTCTCTTCACCTATATTCTATTCTGGACCTTCAGCTACGGAATGGTCCACGTTTATTGATGCGGTGAAAAACTCCTCTTTGATTATTGCATCCGAAAGACTTCCGCGGGTCCCCGATTCTAGAGCTTTCACGCAGACATCGACGGAGATCGCGTCTGACTGATAGTGAAACCTCGACCATTGTTGCTGTTCTTAATTCGAAAGGTTCTGCGAAAAAAAAACTTGTGATCGATTCATTCCAACTATGATTTGAGCCAGTGTTCCACGAGTTTAGGTCAAGCGTTCTGTGGTAAGTTGTGAGAAAGACTTCATGTCTGAACCCTCAGGAGCAAGGGATCCTCAATTCCATGGTCAATAAAGATGTTTTCTATAGAAAGAGAGGAGCTTTCTTTCACGCGGATAGAGTCTTCTCCCCCTTGGGGGTTCCCGTCCTGAGATTGTGATAAAGTCGATCTTCGTCTTTCCGGGGCATTCACGTTCGCTCTGCTCAATGTTTTTCCTTTTCGGAAGAGTTTGTCGAGAACGGTTCCCAATGATTTCCGCGACATGTTAGAAAGAGATGCTCGGTCATCCCCGCTCGTTCACTCCGACTCTACGCGTCGAAATTCTGGTCCATCTGAGAAGTCCTCTGCCGGTTTGTGCCCAGTTTGGTGACTAACTTGTCTTCGTACACTCCGGAGGCACTGAATGAGTGACTTGTTTCTGTCAGGCCCTAATGTATTGTCCATTGCGGCATCAACCTCGTCCTTTGATTTCCTAATAGACTCATCATGGGAGTCTTCAGTCGCTCTCTCTTCCTGAGAGCATTAGAGGTTATCTGATCAGATGAACCATTCGTCCGATTATCTGATTGTAAATATCAAGGAATTAACCTCAGTAAAGAGATAATCGATCATCTTCCTTGAGAGTACAGAACGCATGCACGGTAGGGTGCCGGGTCTACTCTCCCGAGAGTGCGTTCCTTTAGTGGGATGCCCGTCGAGAAGAATGTGACTTTCTGGACCAATACCCTCCCAATAATAGTGGTCCCTCGGTCAGTCACGGAGCGCTGCGCTACAGTCTGAGCGATTATCCATTCGGAATAGTCGTATGATTCACTTCTTCCGATTTACTCGTCTCGCTCGAGCTGAATGCCCAGCAGACTATCCAGCCGATTAGTTGTAGGGAACAGTGGTCCTATTTTCAAAATGTAGGGAGGCTGCACATGCCACCCTTGAGTCGTGGGGGACGCGCCCCCCTGGCGTTCTCGATTGCTCGATCTCATACCTAGGGAGCGTCCCGGCACGACTCCCTGGTCGGGAAGGGGTGTCCCGCTCAGAAAGCGTAATTGAGTCATAACTCGCGATAACTTCCTTGTCTACTCCCGGGAGCCCTACCGTGACACGGAAATGCGCATCGTCGTGTGGAAGGTGCCGGGACAGTTGTTGATCAGGAATCCGAAGGTGTCATCGAGATTCGTATGAACTTGCTGACTCGGCAGGGAAACGAATCAAGCGGTTATGTCCGTTCCGTTAGATAGCCCCTGCTCCGGGGCCAGCCGGTGTTGGATGTCATGGATAGATTAAGTCACTTTTCTGACGAGCAAACGTTGATTTCTGCATTCTCGATCTGGCGGTGGCGCACGTTGCTCCTGCAAGGTCTCGGCCTCGATGGAAATACCCTGCGATACTTCCGGCAGACAGACCAGATTGATGGATAATCGTCAATTCAACATTTGCCCGGAGGCGAGCCTGGGAACTCGGGAAACGCTCGTTCCATGCAGAGAGAATGACAATTATTCGAGAGCCAGAATCGGTCCACTAGGAGGATGCCGGCACCCAAGAAAACGAAATGAAGGTTTTCCAGAGCTAGGAAGGCATCTCACGAGTCTACGATACACTCGGTTGCTTGTTCATCCGGAGACAGCCGACTGTTGAGGTGGTATCCCCCTACTAATGAAGCGCGACTGTCCGTGATCGCAAAAGTCTTCAGAGACTCTAGAAATTCTCCTCAGAGCATCGGTACTTGACGTGGAGTCAGGGCGGCGTGCTCAGGATGAGCATCTCATCCCGCATTCGCCGAAATGACCCACCCGCAGGGATCTGCCTCCCCTCTCGCGCTGCCTTCCAGTTGTATCACTTCGCCCGTCGCGGCGGCTCGCCTGGCATCCCCAAACGTTCCTGGGGTCACAGATAACGCGCTCTCGACGACGAAGTCCCATCCATACATTCCCGATCCCGATAGATCCGAAAATCCGAAATACGGTCGATCCGACTTTCCGAAAATGGGAGGGGGACCTGAGATTTGACTCCTCTCTACTGTCGAGTCTGTCTACCGATTGAGCGCTATCGGAGTCAGGCCCGATCCATCGGCTGCGAGGATATTTCGACTAATTTGAGCAATCGCTCAATATTTCCGTCATGAGATATTCATTCTGACTGAGACTCGGAGTTAGCATCGTCGTGTAACTGACGCCGTGATTGTAGCGCGGCCGCAGGCCGAGCTCCCCAGGCTGGTGGCACATATTTCTATACCCCAGCGTTTCTGGCGCTTACATTGCGGGGAGCTCTAGATTGCACCAAGATCTCTCAGAGAAATATAAAGGGCCTCCAGGCCGAAAATTTGGAACGGAACGTCTAGGGGTGCGATTCAAATCGAAGAGAGACGAGCGTAGGAATACACTTCACCGTCAACACCTCCGCTACTTTGAACAATGCGACTCCTTTCTGGAAATATTCCTCCCCCATGTCAAAGTCACTGCCGAACGCCGAGGAGGGAGACGGATCATAGATTGACGCATGCAGCCGTACCTGCGTGGGTTGAATGAGTAAGCGACGAAGATAGAGGGGAAAGAAATCATTGTCTTCTTGAATGCCTCGCTCCGCCTAATCAAGGGAAAGTTCTCCCGCCGCCTCTTAAGCAGTATGAAGGAGCGCAGCGCCTCTCAAGCGATATATACGAGCTGACTTCAGGTTGGGATTTGGATTTGAATCCGATCCTTGTCTGTCAGGAAGTGCGGACAAAGGATCCGACAAGGCTTGAACCTTCTGATTTCAGCGATCGGTCCGGACCATATGCACGTCGGGATGCGTGCGATTCTGACCGATTTCTTAAGGCCTTCGACCATAGGGCAGCTCACCTTCCAAAACATCTATCAGAGTCTCGCCAATACCATGTACGTATCATTCCGATGAGGTTTGCTCTTTCTGAAGCGTTTCGTGTGTCATCCCCTGTATCTCGAACGTCCGCCGATCTATATGCAACTTTGCGGAATCTCGCGGCTCGCGTCGGCGAACATGTCGTAAGCTGCAGCGCTCCACATCCAGAGATTGATTAGATACATCACGATGACTGTTTTCCAATCGGCACATATCCGAACGGCTCGTGATACCGATGGAGCGATGATAGCAGATTCGAATTTCCCACAATCCTCGATGCTTGCTGATAGGTGGAGCCTAGCAGACTTACTGTCGCTCGATTGCCTCAGTAAAGCTCTTGGTGGCTAATCATCCAATCGTAGATACATCGATATTCAACGCGATCTTATTCCGGAGGGTTTGAATACATACTTTTCGCATGTAGGATATATTAGCATTGTCACGCCGGCGCCGCCTCAGCTCGCGTTCGTTCCTGCGTTATGGTCAGCCTGTTGCGCGTCCGTCACCCGTCTATCTTCGAAGCAACTCAGGCGAGCGAATCTCGAGATGGCGACTGTTAGGACCCCGGACAAATTCTGATTCCTCAACGGAAGTTTTCCCGCATAGAAATGAATTAGCAACGAATCATCAGATCTAATCAATGTCAGAGCCCGTATTCGGTGTAGCCCAACAGTGGTCGAAAAATCCTGGAATTCGGGAGCTTCCAATTCAAATGTCGGCGAATCGGTACTCTGGCATTCGGGACGACATGGACTGATCGCTGCTCCAAGCTCAATCTCAATGTAATGCCACGAGAGTGCGAGGCAGAATTCGTGAACAGCGCTGTCGTTCATTTCCCCGCTCAGGATCGGGCCATCCTGCTGACTCACGGAATCTTATTTTTCTGCCTCTCGCGTTAAGCGCCACCGTCCGCAACGAGATAGAGCGGACATCGAATCGAGGAGTCCCGCTGGATCTGAGATCTTATTTTGACAAACCAAGCTGCGGGGCCACTTGTGGGCCCCGATGGCGCCACGGAAAGAGGCATTTGACAACGTCACTCGACCTTGAGGGATACCCTTCTCTGTTCAGCGCGGTTGAAAACACGAGACATTATCCCAGTGGTAGCACGCACCGCTGCCAAACAGCTAGCCTCGACAAGAGCACGTTGTGGCGAAGCGCTTCATAGCGAAACAGTTCGAGTCTCAACACCAGCCGTCAGGCTCTCGTATTGTGCGACTCACCTACTCTCGCTCGAAACAAGCCGAGCTTTCTAACAGACGAGGCTCGAGCGTACTCCGTAGTGGTCTACCTCTAGTGCGTGTTTCTACACATGCTTTCGGAATCGCGTCTGGAGCGGAGCAACGCCACCGTGTCGCCGGAGACTGTTGAGACCTATGGGTCGGAGTGCTAGTGGTGGATGTCAGTGAATGGCGTGAGACATAGAAGGACCTCTGTAAGCCGGGACTTGAATCGGCTCCAATTCGGAACCGTGGGAGGGATACCTCCGGCTCAGACAGAGCCACCAAAGGACAACAGTTCATGATCTCTTGGATCTTGGACCTCGGTTGCAAGCCGACGCTCGATTGAGAATATTCAATCGGATTCGGAAAGGAAGTAAGTGTTCTCTCTTTCTTTGAATGAGCCTGTACCTGAGGATGAGGCGTTGATAGCTGAGTTCAGCGCGGTCGAGTGAGGCAGAGGAGAGACCGAAGACTCTAGGCGATGACACGCCGTGTCAGAACACTCCCAGACTCAGGACTCGCTGAGTCTGATCTGACAAACGATATCCGATCTGCGGTCAATTTGGAACTCCCTGTATCTCGACGTTTTTTTTTCTTTTTTGGAGAGGGAAATGCGTATTTCGTAGTTTTCTACTCTATGACAGTCTCGCAAGGATTGTTCGACTTACTCCGTGTCAACGTCTAATGGAGCATGCTTGAATCAGGCGAAGGCTTACCAATCAGGCTTCAATCATCATCAGAGCGAGATAGGCAAACTTTCGAGCCGGCTCCTGATTCTCTGTGCGTATCCTATCGATGGCGTAATTTCTGCCAGAAGCGGTGTCTGGTAGTCGCCTCGTTGGCAGAAAACTGCCAGAGCATGTGCGTCGTATTCTGTGATCGGAGCGCTCAAGTGTTCGTTTCTCCCTCGCCGGGTCTGCTCGGATGTGTGTTTTTTTGTTTTCCGCGAAGTTTTTGAATCTGAACGGATCTCCCGGAAGATATCACCGAACCCTCTCCGGAGTGAACTCACTATCGTAGCCAAAGCCATTGCTCGAACCGAACGTATAAATCACCAATTTGCTTGGCGTATAGCGAGGAAGCTACATGCCAAACCAACGCACAGACCGGCTAGCTAAAAACACCCCCCTTTTTGTTTGTTAACAATAAAGGTGTCATTCATTCATTCATTCATATTGCCCTCTCATTAGGAAATTCCCCAGAACGAATCCATATAGGGAACTCAATGGCTATCTTGATGTTCCATGATGATCTGGAGCTCTATCTGGCTGGAGATTTCAACACGGTTTCTAATTCTGATGATGGGAGACCGCAGAAATGTTCTTTAACTCTCGTCGATTCGATGATAGCAGCTTCCGCATATGAGCTCCGAGTATGAGAATGGATGATCGCCGGCGGAATCGTCCAGATGTGATACTATTCATTAATTCTTGTTGCGGAAAGAGCGATGGGCAAAAGAGCAGACCCCGGGCAAAGTCAAGTGCGTCTATGATTCCGATAGACGTAGAGTCGGCTTCCTGTACGGCTTAGATGCGACGATAAATAATTTCTTGAAGTAATCGCTCGGAAATTGCGAAGGAGAAGTATGGGTCGACTCGACGCACTGGGGCACGGGGCTCTAACGCCTCACCCGGTCGTTGGGTCATCAGCATCGAAGAACTCATTCCTCGAGGTAGCCCTTCTGAAATGGCGCTTATTCATGAACTGCCCGGCTTGTGAGTGGAAACGCTGAGTGAGTAGACCCCGAGATCTGAAGAGCTACCCGTCGCTATGGATCGGATGCATGCTCATCAATCGATCCTCGATCGACTTTGGTGAAAGCTCTAATCACAGCCGATGTCGGAACCACCGAATTACCTACGAGCGTCGACTCGGATTCACCCCGCGCTCGATGCCGGGTCCGACTGCTGCCGTGGCGGAATGGAATATTTTCTCGGTCTCCTCACGCAGCCGCTTCTAATCTCGTCGAGATGACGATAAGATGCGATAACGTGTTTATCTCCGTTTCGAGAAACCCGAGTGTCTAAAAATAACAGCTCGGACTACCAGAATGAAATATCTCGATTCTTCGCCTGTGGGCTGCTTCACGTGAATCAGGGGAAATCAAGGATTGTCATTGAGTCGAGGGCTCCACCCCACACCAGCGAAAAACGCGATATTCATTATTTTGATTTGGCTTTCGAAAATGTAGGTTTCTTCTATTCGCGCAGTCTAAGGATGTGCCTCCGAAATTGAGTCAAGTCTTCCCCATGATAATTCGCATCGGAAGAACGATCTTCGGTTCGGATCGGTCGATGGTGAATCGCCCGTATCGAAGGTCACCCCGGATCCCCGCTCGAGCATGGCTGACCGTGCTGAATCTGCGGGATCTCTGCGTCGCAAGCTGTTGACACGATGGCAATTATTGACATCGACGCAAGCCCTTTCGCGCATGCCATGCGTATTCCATCCGCTCGTCCCAGCTCGATCAATCCAGATTTCGAGAAGTTAGAGACATGGCTTCCATTTCAGACTCGACAAAATCGTGAATCGAAATGTCGTCCCCGTCGTCGGAAGTCGGAGTCGAGTCTCCGCGTTCAAATTTCTTGTCTCGAATGCTCTCCGGCATCTACTCGGCGTACAGCAACTTGAATGGAGCAACACTGACGGGAGCTATTGACGTGATTGTCGTCGAGCATCAAGACGGATCTCTGCACTGTTCGCCTTTCCACGTCCGTTTCGGCAAAGGCAGCGTATTATCAAGCAAAGAGAAGGTGAGTTCCGCGCTCTGACTTCGTTAGGCTTTGGCTGTACATGGATGAGCCCCAACAATGAATAACATAACACCTGTCCAAGCCGACGTGGCTATGATGTAAACGTCATGACCGCTGTCGTCACGTGGTTGTTTGCTTGCATAGTGAAAGATATGGGAGCTTAAGAGATGGTGAAATATTTCCGCTCTGACTCGACCTCGAACCCTCCAGCCGAGTGGAGCGATCCGCTGCCCACCTCCGGGAGTCTCCGGGCCTGAGCTGGAAAAAAATTGTCGCACGGGGCTTCTCGATCAGTCGAGCAGGAAAATTGGACACGACAAATCCGACTACTTTCAGTTTCTTTCAAGAAACAGCAACCGTCCCAGGAACAATATGATCTCGGCATTGGAAATATTCTATCGAATTCCTAGTATCCATTTCCTGAGAGAAATATCAATCTCTACCTCGGGCCTCGAACCTCCTAGAGAGTCGAAGAATTCGAACCTCCCAGAGAGTCGAGACCGTTTCCGGGGGACTGGGGAGCGGTGAGGACGAGGAGCGAAATTCACTCATCCCGACTTGATCCCTCTTATCGCTCCGCCCACATCGACGGCGGATCGTGCTCGGGTTGACTGAGGTTTATTGAAGGGAATCGTTTTGAATTCTCTATGAGGGTCATCAAGGAAGCGGTCAACGCAGTGCACGTCGTCACCGACTCTCTCATAACGACTTCTATAGATGGGATCTCACTTTTGTTCCGAGAGCTCTAGTAGGTCAATGATTGTGGATTCACGATGCGTGGATAGTCTTGCTGGCTCCATCCATATTAGGCCAATGGCATGCGTCCTGAAATCCGTCGACGGTCCAGAATGTTAAAGGATCGAGAGAAAAAAGATGCGAGACATCCGTTTCCTATCGCGCTAGGCAACGTATTGCCGGATTCCCTTATCGACGAGTTTCCTTTTGCAGGAGGTCGAAATCAGCGTGAATGGCGAAGCCGTTGACGGTGTACAGATGCTATTGGGCGACTCGGGCGAGGCTTTTTTCGTAGAAGAAGTGCCAGAGATCGAATTCGCTGCTTTCCAAGCGCAGCAGAGCGAGCAGCTTGATGGCGCCCCGAAAAAAGTGACCGAGGTAATTTTCGAGGTGTACGGCAGCGTGACTCGATTCGAGCGTTCCCATAGACAGGCGATTCGCAGAAGATAGTCGGCATTGCTACACTGTGCTCTGGGAAGGAGGTTTCGAGATCGCGATTCCTCAGAGCATATCGCGAGCTCTTCCTCGGGTGCAACGCGGACCGACAAAAATGGAGATCAGCAGTTTTCCGCGTTTCGCAGGTCAGCCCCCCGAGTAAACGGGTCGTCGGACGGAAGAAATCTGTGTACTGTAAATCGGTCCAGGAGAGACGCGACGAGATCGCAAACCATCTCATTTGCCACGAAGAAGACACCGAATCGCCGAGAAAGGTTTGCTGGAAGTTGTACCGTAACAAAACATCCCCTAACGGCACTGAGCTCTGTTATATATCTCGACTTTCGGGAACACGGACCGGAATAAACTTTTAATTCGAAAGGATGGGTCTAACATTTTTCCCGTCGCTATCCAGTCGGATCTGGGCAAGAGCCCTAGCCGAGCAGTACAGCGACGGAAAAAATTCACGAAAACTCGTAGCGATACCCTGCAGTGTAGTCAAGATGATTCTTCGACGGACGAAGAAATGTTCAATTTCGAATTCGACTCGAACGGTGAGCAAAGATTCGGCACATTTCCGTTAGAGAAACGAGCGTAGGGCCTGTTGCCTATCCGATTGCAATTTTCCGTCTATTCCCCCATTTCAGAGAACGATTCAACTAGTCGCGGCAACGCACATCGACAGCGCAGGTCGGGACTCCTCAGCCTGAAGTCCATGGAGAAACAGCTCAAGTTCCAGATCACCGAAGACGTTATCCCTCGGCTCTCGCTCCAGGTAAGCGCTGGAAACCCGTCAAAGAGTTCTGAGCAGGCTTGTTCCGTCGCACTTCTGGCTTCAGTTGTGGTTTCCCCTCCGCGTATTGTCGGCGAACCGCAGCGTTAATAATGAACCTCAACTGATTGTTTGTGCCACTCCACTCGGATTAGTTCTTATCTATTCAGAAACTGTGAAAACAATCACTCGCAAGGGTCTGTACAGCGAAGAATGTCACGCTCGCTCGAAACGTTCTCAGTGTGAGCAAAGATCCAGCCCAGAGATCCTCAATCTAGACATGAACGAACTTTGAGTTCCGACTTTCGACCGGATATGTTGGATGTATCACTTCTCCGGCTCATTCCCTGAGGGTCACGCGCGTGCCTTGTGCGTAGCTCGCACCGCGCGTGATAAGGCGTACTAGCTCACACGCGCTCCGACCTTACCGCGTTCCCCTACTTTTGATAAATATCGAACGTGTGCTACGTTGAATAATTAGCTCACAATCACGGTTTCAGCCGATTTAGCCGCCCATTGCTCCCGGAAATCGTTCTAGTCTCATGATGCGGGTAGCATTGCGGTAAGCATAGGGGGAATCAATATCGGAAGCTGTCGAATGAGAGCGATACTCACTCCCATGGCGGCTCGATTTGAATGTTTCACTCGAACAGATCGGAGTAATGGATGCCCCCAAGCTTCCCAATCACCGTCGGCTGCTTAACACTGAGCTCATTGGAGCCGCCTAGAATCGCAGTCATTCTAGCATAGCTTTACATTCATATGAGCGTCTAGCGTCTTCAGAGGCGCAGACTGCGGAGGAGTTTTCCTGCGTGATGTCATTCCTCAGCCAAATTCACCGTTGAAATCAGCCGTCTACCTCTGGACGCAATCGTCTGAAGACGAAGTTCTCAGATCAGACTTTCTCTTCCATCAGATCTGTTCCGAAGCTGAACTCTCGGACCATGAGCTCAGCGAGGTCGGGAGAGTTTCGGCGGCGAAGTCCGACACCGAGCTGGACCGCAGCGATTTCGATGATGCCAACTGGGGATGGGGCAGACTCCCGATGATGGACGGTGAATTCCCTCTCGTGGGAAATAAGCTTTCAACTCCCAATCGACGTCCCAGTCGGAAATCAGGTAGGCACAAGGTGGGCTTGTGTTCCATTTTTGTACTGCATCGGACGATCATCGTAGCAGACCAGGTCTTTTGGAGCTCGTACAATCTAGATCTCTCTTCTTCATTTCCAGTCGGGAACCGCCAAAGTTCCCCGCCTGCTCAGTCGAAAACCAAAGGAAGCTCTCCGACGAGTGGACAACCTCCGAAGCATTCGCCCGAGAGCAAAAGCGTCGAGAAGAAGATTTCAGGCGAAGTTTTCCTGGATGAACTTCTACCTGCCGCTCAGAAAGATCCGAAGATATCAGAGAAATACTTTGGAAGACCTCGATCAACGTCAGAAAGTGAGTGCGCTCCCATACCGGCGCTATCGCTGTTTCTCCAAACGGGCATCTGGAGTGAGATATCGAGCTCGTCGACGGCGAGTGACAATTTCGAATTTCATTCCATAAGTTCCCCGAAGGAGATCTCGCGATTTGCCGGATGATCTCGCTCTTTCGTTATGCGGGGGCCTAAGCTCGGCAGAGAACGGGGACGACCCGGGCCTTGAGGCATTCGAGCACTGCCGAGTAACTTTCGACGCGCTGTGCGCAGGTGGGTCCGCAACAACCTTTAATATCCATCCCGTTCGAATCTTCTACGCTGTAGAGGCTACGAGAATAGAGCATCTCGATTCGCTCGCTTTCCAGATCCATCCATTGTGGACAATCCGTCACTCGTTGTTCGTATCGGGGGCGATTTATATAGTTGGAAAGCGGCGGCTCCTCTAGTGGCCTCCTTGCTGGTCTTCAAGCGCACCCTTCCATCGGTGAGTAAGCAAGGCCGTGACTGAAGGTGGAAAATTCCCGCTCCTTCCCCACAGGGCTCGACCTGCCGATTCCAAAATCAATCGGCAATCGTATAGCGAGAGCTTCGCGAATTCTCGAGAGCGAAACAATATATACAGTCAAACCTCGATCATATCAACTAATGAATGTGGAAAGTGGTTGATATAATGGAGAAATTGATATAATCGACGTCTCATAGGAATGCGTCGTAAAGGAGATGACGCCAAAGTTATCCATGAGGGATGCTGATCTAAGAGCTAATACACTCTGGAAAAACTAAGGGGACCCCGAGATTTCTTTCTACAAAGACTCATGACTGACACCGATTCGGGGCAAGCGATTCTTCGAAGGATCATTACCTTTATTGAGATGAGACGATAACAACAGATAATCTTTCAATATGAGAATCCAGACTCGGAAGCTTGGATTTTACATACAGCGAATCCCAGAAGAGGAACAATGCACGCAAGAATTCCTCGGAGAGAAGCAATGTGTGTACGAATTCCCGAAAGAGGAACATATTCCTCGACTGAGATAGGAATCTCAGTCTTCCTCTGTAGCTGAGGAAGAATTCATTCGGAAAACTCGAATTATCGTTGTCTCTCTCGATTTCGAACGTCACTCCGAGCCGCGTCGGAAATTTCATTAGGCCTCATCTAACGACACACGAGGAGGACACTTCCGTCCTTGAAGAGCGTTGAGAGCTTTTGACGTATGACAATGTATTCAAGCACGGGAGGCTACACTGCCTAATTCGATAAAGCAAGGTTGTTCTGCGAAGCTCACTCGGAAATTTTGCTCCTTCCGGACGACCGCTGTGAGCATCCGGAATACCAAGGTTCTGCATGTGATCAGGAGTCGGAATCCGTGATCACTGGAGTGGAAGAGAGACAGAGGAGACACTGGGAAGGAAATGCACCGGATTCCCTAATCAACCAGAATATAAATCGGCTGGGTACGACGGACGCAGTCGCATTCTCTGAGAGTTCAAGTCAGGGCACGGATGGTTTTGGGATCCCCGAGGGAAAACGGCTGGAAGTACTTGTTCTTGGGATCGTCCGACTAAGAGGATGATAGTAACGTTCAGAAACATGGGTCGAAAACTCACAGGAAATTCTCCAAATCGTCCGGATTCCGCCGCCGGGAATTTTCGTAGCCGAAAAAACGGGGAACGTCGGAAAAAAATCGAAGAGTTAAGAGTCGGTCTCTGAGCCGCCAACTAGGACTCCGCTTTCTACTTCGGGGAGTTTAGAGACAAGTGGAGCGGAAATGATTGGTTTGTCGGGATGAAATAGTTCTCGAGGTACCGACAACTTGTTTAACTGCTTAATATTTGTCTCCAGACCGTGATTTCCGCTGTTCGGGAAAGACACATGAAGAATCGAAACAGTCCGGCAAGTTCCACAGCTTCTTCTCCTGGGAACACGAGTGGATGGTGAGATGAAGTCCCAGCACCGACAGTAATTTGGGAAAAATTTCACACCCTATTCCCCGGGAAGCATCGATATTCCGAAACCTCCACCTACTTCTCCCGTGCAGGTGGTTATGGCGGAGCAGCGTCAGTCATCTATCGGACTCAGGGGTCAGCGCCGACGAAACATCGTCTTCCAGGGCAAAAACTGTGAGCGGAAGTTATTGATGTAGCTAGACAATCGTTTTCAGAGGAATAATAGCGCAGAAACGTCATGCAAACATTCAAGTCTCCGTCATCCAATCCTTCTTCTCAACCCCGAAGGAGACTCCATCAGTAAACATCGTCAAGACAGCTCCCGAGCAGAGCCAGGAGTACAGGGAGTGGGTGGGCTCCCACGAAGAGGTCCTGACGAGAGTGTGCGGCACTCCATTCCGTAAAACGCTGCGTCTCACTTCGGAGAAGCTTAAACAGTTGGGATTGGTTCCCGGACGCAATGACGTGGAATTCAGTGTCACCACATCCTTGCAAGTGAGTGAGCGAATCGACCGGAATCGGTGAAGTTGTTTGATTGTCTCGTCTCGTTATTTCCTATCATTGTGAGTCTCGGGACGCTAGCCTGAAACGATCGATTATCTATGCACCGTTGAGTTTCGTTCCTTCCCTCGAATTTCCCCTCCGATCTAATTCGCCTAATCCCATCGATTCGTCAGGGAACCACCCGATGCACTTGCCACATCTTTTTATGGCACGAGACGGACAAAGTTGTCATTTCGGATATTGACGGAACAATAACCATTTCTGACATCCTCGGTCACGTGATGCCGATGCTTGGCAAAGGTTGGGAGCACTTGGGAGTCGCCACCCTCTTCAATAAAGTCGCAAACAACAACTACAAGTTTATATACTTGTCTGCGAGAGCCATCGGCCAGGCGGGGATGACCCGGGGATATCTGAAGTGAGTAGAGCCTACAGAACCGCATCGCGGCGAGCTTCCGGCGCCTTTGCAGGGAAGCCTCCACATTCATCATCGGAAACAGCCGGGTTTGAAATTGTAACACGAGAGGTCTCTGGATTCCAGATCCATCCGACAGGACAGCCTATCGCTTCCCGAGGGTCCGGTGTTGCTGAATCCCACGTCGCTCCTCAATGCATTCCATCGCGAGGTTATCATAAAGCGACCGCAGGATTTCAAAATATCTTGTCTGAAGGACATAATGTCGCTCTTCCCCATGGATTCGAGACCTTTCTACGCAGGATTCGGAAATCGCCTGACCGACGTGCTGTCGTACCGAGCCGTTTCGATCGAGACTCAGCGGATTTTCACAATAAATCCCAAAGGCGAGCTGACCCGAGAGTTGGTAGCTACGAGCGCCGCCGTCACCCTTGGAAGCGAGAGCTCAAACATCACGGAAAGTGGGGACGACTCGTCTCAGTCCCAAGCGAACTCGAGCTACAAAGCCTTATCGGACATCGCGGACGAGATCTTCCCACCCCTAGTCAAGCCCCAAGCAGGCGGAGCCTGATCCGATTCATCTGAATCAGCATATGGACATCATAGTGATTTTCGAAAATGTAAATAACGAACGATTCTCATGGACAGAATTCGAAGGAAACTCTTCCGCCGGAGCTGAGAGGGAAAATATCATGGTTGCCGATCCTCTGGAATGAGATCGTCGCATTTGACGTGCTCAGTAAAATCTGCGTCACTCTAAGCAGCCGTTCGCTGTAATTTTCGACACTAAACACTTGTTTCCCGAGTTGCTGCGCTTCTTCAATATGAACCCCTAACAACCATAAAACTCCTAATGTTCCAACCGGTCATTTCCGCGAGTTCAGCACTCTGTCGGAGCTCCCGTCGTTACCCAAATTGTCGGGAACCACATAATTTATCAAGACGAGAGTCTGTTTAATCGATCTCCGTGTACTTCGAACGGGGAAAGAGCTGTAGAGCTCCCGCTCCACTTCAGCGCGAGGAAGCTGCTCCACCGACTGCTCGTATTACTGCTCGTAGACATCACGGAACGCAAACAAACGTTGATATGGAGTAGCTTTGAGGATCTTATCAATGAGCAACGATCCATCAAACTTTGCGTAGTCTCACTGATCCTTCGCAAGGAGATCCCGGGAGTTTTCGGATTAACTTTGAACGCTTGTGCTCGATTCCCCCCACATGAGCTTTCATATCTCGCCAGAACCCGCTTGAGCCCCGCTGAGTCTAACGAATTCTGCTGAACGGGTCCCGCCTCGAGGAAAAAACTTCAGGAGAGGACGAAGGTCTCGCTCGTGTTCGCCCTCAGATAAAGACGCATCTGATTCCTGAGAGAAATCATCCTCCGAGCACGCCACTCCGGATATTGAGCTGCGCGCCGAGGAAAATCCGATTGGATTGATATTTTCCAGAGAGTCGCCGGATGTTTTCTCGATCGGGTCCCCGGTCGAGCACGGGAGGAGAAAATCCGGGCCGGTGTGAATCGAATGCTCAAAATCAGAAAGGTCACTCTCATATCGGTCGCTGACGAGACGCGAGGGACGCTGGCAGAGATGCCGACAGCTCGCTGGGGTTCTCTGAGCCAGAAGGAGACTGTCGGATATGTGAATGAGGTACGGGAGCGAGATCGGAATCTCCGCACACCGGACGAGTCCATTAGTTTCTCGTACGCCTCGATTCCCGATCTCGTTCCCGACGTGTGAAGTCATCGGCGAAACTAGAAATCTCTTCCTTGAGTGCTTTCCGTCAGCGCAGCGCGAGACCCCGGACCACGCTTACGGGATTCAAGCGGTCAAAAAGAGGAGGGATGATTTGCCAGATCCCGCAAAAATCCTCTGCGAAGGAATATGTGCTCTCTTCCGTCGACAGATCTCATTTCGATGGTGTTATTCCCCGCATTCTTTCTGTACGCACGTGTTCCTATTGGTTCGATTCCAACGCGATGTCAGCTTTTAGCGGGCATACATATGCAGGGGATGTCAGTCACATGGTGTCCGCTTCGGCGGGTCTCCATTTAAACAGCATTCATCTCACCATCAGATGCGTCCGCGTTCCGAAATCCGCGAGAAGGTTCAGACGATACTTGATTATCCTTTCTGTACAGAAAGACCGGGCTAGAGCTCCTTTCGAAAAGCCAGTGACCAGCTCGGACGAGATAGAGAACGATCTGTTGTGATTTTCGGCCTCCTGTCGGAATGGAACAGGGGCCTGAGCAGGAAAGCGGCGCGATACTTCTTTATCCCACACCGAAGTGAACACGAGCAACATGGTCTGGCTCGGGAAACGATGGGACAGTTCCAACTCATTCCTGATGCGCGAATGGCGTGAAGTTTCGATTGCTCGCAGGGATCCCTCGTCAATCGTGTCATCAAGAACTTACACCTCTCCGACTGAGCAAACATCTGGACTGAAACGAAGGCTCGGTGAGCAAACACGAGTGAAACGAAACTACCGAATGGCGAAGTTTCCTTGATATTCCGGTCGAGGAAGTTCATGGAGGAGCTTCGTACCGCGAAAAGCGACGCTTCCGGTGTCCCATGGCTCTCCCTGCTGACGTTAATGATAAGTCTTGTTCCCTCCGAGTTAACATCCGTGAGCTCGCCCGAATGTCGACTCGCTACGACTCCAAGACGTAGGAGGACTCGTTCGGGATCGTTTTCGAATTAGGTAGATTGATCATCTTGAACAATCATGAACGACCAGAATGACGGCAGTCGGCGACAGACGGAAAACTCTGTCCTCGGTACCAACCAGACTTCCGATTCCGAGAGAACGGCGACGAGCTCCGCGCTCGGCGGTGGTGAGTATCAGCGAAGCGACGATCGTAGATGGGTATTCGCAGGCATGCATGTGTTCTCTCTTGGTCGGCAGAATCATGTATGCATTCGCCTAGCGTTCCCCTGCCATGTGTGTGCACCCTGCGCACGTCCTACAGTATAAGCACTCCAGACGAAGCATGTCGGGGTGTTTGGATTGGATTGGATTTATTTGATCTTTTCATATGCACATATGATCCCTTTTCTTCAGGGTTGAGCTGTGTTGCGCTCACATATCTTTTCTCTCCCATGTGGAATGCTGTGCCATTTGGCTACCACGCGAATCAGGGGGGCGAGAAGTATCCATTCCATCCATCGGCGCTATGAGACGCCAAATTTGAATCGCAGAGGTGCTCAATCTCCATTATTATCGTCTCTAGAAGTTTTCCGATCCTCGGAATGGTTCATTCTCGGGGACCGTCCTTGCTGACGCTGCGGGCAGCTGACAGTGGTATTTATGATTATGATGGAATCCAACTATCCGGCGATTGTTCGTCATGACAGAGGGCGGCTGCTAGTAGCGTCGTACAGGATCGATTCACATGCCAGATGCCTCTTGTCTCCTCCGATCCCGCATTGCCAGCTTGCTACTCTGAATTTCGGAAATGTTAGCGAAAATGCATCATATTCCAGGATCGATAGGATCTCAGACATAATTATCGTCAACGAGGGATACCGCTGCTTTCCCCCAGAGGCATCCAAATTAGGTCCAATGGCGTAGGCGAATGCCATGGATTCGAGAAGATGAGAGAACGCTCGGAATCAATGGGTTGAGAATTGAGATTGGGCACAGCGATGGACATAATCCCGTGAACGAATGCAGATCGCTACGAATGCCGGTCGTGAGTACCCCTATTAATGAGTCGGAAGATTCCAGGATGCCCCCTAATGAGATATCGGCGTTCAAACCTTGGGGAATTCCTCCCAACACAAGAATAGATAGAAGCTCGAGAATTCGGGAATCGACGGAGGGTAATTGGGAGAGTACGCAGGAACTGTCACCTATCTAAGCATTGTTCTTCGAGCATTCGAATCTGCGCGTGAGTCGGAGTCTCCGAAAATCGTTCCTGGTGGCAGCGATGTTGCAGTTACGCTCCAATTGACTCCTCCGAACATTCCCTATCTAGTAGCTTAGACGCTCGATGCGGAGCGCTCTCGGGCTTCAGCTGCGTTAAGAAAGCTTCAGTGCTCTAAACAAGCTCAGTCTGAGCGCTACGCGAAGAATCTGATCAATACGCCCCGCACGTACGCTTCATCGGTTCCGCTACGTCCTCTGGGAGGGTCTGTTACGATTCCTGAAACTTGTTCGATCCGCGGGCGCGACGGAGTGTAGACGAAATTCTAAACTTCTTGCGACCGTAACAGCGAGCGTCACCGCCCTCGGCCATCTCAGGATCCCTCTCGCGGGCAGCCTCCGCATCAGTCCTCCGACTTCATGTCAAGTTTATACTTTGTCCAATGAATTCAAAGATAGGTAGATGTTTAGATTATTCTGCCGAAAAAGCGTGACCCGGGAGGGAGCTCGTGATCTGTGACGCCAGAAATATCGATGAGACCTGGATGAATGGCGACAGCGCCGCGCCGCCACTTGACTGAATTCCCGGAATTGCGGAATGAGGACCCGCTGTAGTTCTGCTTTCGGAATCTTTCCAGAGGGTAATCAAAGCATGACAAAGGGCATCGGTATCGATGCAGGTAGCTAGATGTTAGCGTAATCCTCTATACAAAAGAGAGAATAAGACGAGACGGAGACTTCGCAACGTGTTCCCGCAATCGAGTCCACACTCCGAGGCGAATCTTGTTACAAAAGCCTCGTTATGCTTCAGGAGAAGAGGAGGATGGCGTGGGGCGATGCTAACTCAGCGAGGGAGCACGGCCAGTCAGAACGTCAGGAGAAACGCACGGGGTTTGACGCTCGGGAGGAATGCGGTGCGAAACTCGTGATCTTCAATTTGTTGCTGAGCCAATAGTCGAGACAGAATACGATTCGGAAACGACGACGAGCACAGGGAAGGCGGAACGAAGTCGCGTTCCGACGCATATAAAAACCGAACCCATATGAACGGGCGAGCGTGCCATTTCGATTTCGGAGGATTCCGGAACTGACTGCATGTGGCTCGGTGTCCGTGTGGAGTCGCGGGAGCGATCGATCGTCACATCCCTTGCTTCGTAGACGTGATCTGCTCCGCCTAGTCGCGGCTCTTTGCGCCCCCTCCCTTCCCCGCCCCTGTAACCGTATTGAACCCATCGCCAACGTCTCACCCACGTCTCAATCATCGGAATTCACATCGGAAACAGCTGAAATTCTCAATAACTGCGGGGATCATCGGTCAGCTCGTTAGAGTCCGCTCTGTCTCCCTCGCGAGATTCGGGATACCAGCTCTCCGAGGGAACTGCTTAGGCAAGGGGACCTCCATCAGCGGGAGCAGAGTCGATGACCCGGGCTCAGAGTTGATTTTTCAGCAGGATGTTGATTATCGGGAGCCCTATTCATCTTCGTTTTCTCGGCTCGGGCCGACACGCTGTTCTCGGCATTCGAAAACGTCGAGAGCGATGCGCCGACTTTCGAGCCTGGGACTTCGAGCATTTTCCGTGGTCATCGCTAGAAAATTATCAGACCACGGTCGAGGAGCGAACGGGAGAACATAGAGAAGGAAAACCAAATTAAACGCCGGAATAAATCGCTCCCAGGTCGAATTCGCTCCGGGAGTGAACTCTGCGCACGGTGAAAGCTCAGGCATGACTGAGGTTTGTTTGCATCGTCTAACGAAGCGTAAGGGAATACTTCTCTTCCTCGTGAGATCCGCGCTCTGGAAGAACAAACACCGAGCCGTCATGATTTGTGAGAATTTACAACCTGCCTGAAGGGTTTGTCCATCCGTAGGCTTCAAAAGACTCCGGGAGGGAAGAGAGCGACCTCTCTCCACTTAAGGCTCGCTCGGCTTAAGGCGAAGGGCCTATGAATAAAAATGAAATCTCTCGGATCGTCCATTAGCATTCATACTTGCGGGAATACTTTATTCCCCTTTTGACTTCAGCGACCTTGTGCGTACGACTCGGGTTCCTTCCAGGTCCTCTGTGATGCTCCCCCGACATTTCGCCCATGGAAATGCCTAAGTTTCGTCGACTCGGGTGATTCTCCCTTGAGAGAAACGGGAGAGAAATCATCGTGTAATCGCTGGAGTGCAATAGGTCTCCTCATTTTCGTCTCGTACACGAATATGTACTGCGTCGCTATCTCCAGTAGGACCCCTTGGCCTTCGTTGCTACGGAGGCACCGCGGCATCCATGTTCAATTGAATCATTCGGCAGCCAAGGGATAGGGATAAGTCAGCAGCGGTAGGGAAACCTATCAGGTCTATCCCTCGTGGATCGTTCACCACATCGGAGCTAGATAATGAGCCTCGAGCCGGTTCCTAGAATTTCCCTCATTCTGCTTGTCCCACTGAGTATGCTCATGTGAGACTACCAGCGAATGCTGAGACCCACTAATATTTCCATCGGAAAATCTTCTCGCAGGGAACGAGCACCCGACCAGCTTTGTTCGCTTCTTGTCTTCGAAAATGTGCCTCGGGAGACTTTCGTTCTCATGGATCGGCAAGCGAGATCACTCGCCTCGGAATCTCCTGATACGTCCAGAGAATGATTACGGAGACCCTTTGAGATGCGCCGCGGCTCTAGGGTCCTCGAAGCTTCCTCGATGGACTTGACAATAATGAGCTTGTCGAAAATTCTGCCACTGACAACCCTCCCGGAGCTCGATAGCTATCAACAACGATCGCGTATCGAATCGTAGCACCAGTCCACGACTGCTCGACCCCCGGCAGATTTTTCCCTCGGTGGCTCTCGGAGACTCGTTCAATCGATGACGATTCCCCTTCGAAGCAGTTGCCTCCGCGCAGATCAGAAGAGCCCGAATCGCATGAATTTATGCTGCATGAGTCGAGACCGCAGCTTTTCTGAACAGAGCTTGCGAGACCGCTTAAAAGCTGCTGTATCCTCGATTCTTGTCAGAAATCGAAATCACGCATCGGAATCGAGTTTTCCGAGTTCGGGAGACTACCCGACCAAAAATTCCGGCCCTCAAGCGAGATTGGAGGGAGGGATCCGAAATGTTCCTCGGAAAGACGTCTCGTGAAATAAGTATGCATGGCCCCTCGAAGCTCCTTATTGAGCGGGGGCGCGAAAATTCCATATTGTGAACCGGTTTTCTCTCACTGTGTTTCGGTTTTGAAGGCTCCGGGGACGTTGTCAACGAATGAAAACCATCCAGGATTGCAGTGGCCCAGAGTAACTTATTGGATTCTTGCGAGTTGAGTTTCGTCCCCAGTCCTCACTCCATGCGCGGATGAGAGGGTTAGACTAGTACAAGCTAAGATGGGGAGACGATTATTCCCAGAACCACGATTGATCAATTCAGAAGATGGTTTCGCTTTTTTCAGCGTTTTTTTATTCATCATGTCCTCCTGCCGCGAGTCTTATCGCATCTGCTACCGCTTGTGTCCCATCATTTCTTTTTGCATCCTTCTCAGATTGTTCCGAATTGGAGAGATTCGACTTCGTCCTTATCCTAATCGATATTTCAGCGTCTATAAAACAAATGAGGAAGCTGTCTCTGCCGACATGGAACCTCTTCCTACCCAGAGATGGTTCGATATGATTGGAACTAGCAGGGAAACTCATGGAAACATTCAAATAAAGTTACGACGCTCGTGAACATGGTGCTGCCTTACGATGCTCGCTAAGGTGTACTACCCTTCGTCATTCAACGAGCAGCATTGCTTGACACAACCTCCGCCATGCTGAGTACCCGGGCGGGATTTCGCTGCGAGGCTTCTATCACTATGGTGAGACATTTGGATCCAGGCTGTTCTTCAATCAATGAGAGTACAAATGATCTGCAGATAGCTCGTTCCTTCGCTGCTCCGGTTTCATTCCGCTAGGTTGGGGATTTCCTGAAGATGCGATTGGAGATGGTGTCATCTCGGACTCACTTCTGCGATTCCTAGTCTCGACTGACTGAGCTACGAAGGGTTTTCAGCTACCGAAAACGTTATCCGTTCGTTTTGGATCCTACACGGTCATCGATGGCTCCTACGCATTATTGATAGCCACTCAGACTTCGGGCCCATCTCCGCTGCTGAGATGTGGGGTGAAGATATCTTCTCTTCCACCCGAAGATTAGCGTAGATCACACCCTTGACTGACTTAGTCTCGCATGAGAGCTCCCGCTGGACTGATTCTGTTCTTTTTTCTTTTATTGGAGTTCGCGTAACCGGGAGGAGAAATCGAACGTTGCCGTTCACGATTGGGGTTGTCCTACTCGCAGATATCTACTTCGATGCCACCGACGCAAACTCTTATTCATCACGACGAGAGAAATAGAATTTGTAGACGCAGTAATAGTTGTATGTAGTTTCTTGAAACTCAACGACCACAGTATCATTTTTGTCTTGGGAATAGTTGCCTTCGACCTTCGACAGTACGAACGTAAGCTCCTAGGAGACACTCGGAAGTGTCCAGCTAAGCAAATACATCTTTTCGTCGCTGTGAATTTCGATGAGTATTCTGCCGTTTATAGCGCGTTGTGATTGGAGCGAGTTGGTTTATTGATGGCTGGTGCTTGCGGGATCCATCTTGGAAATTTTGGCGTCCGTGCTTCGGACTTCGTCGAGGCGACTTGAGATCGAGGATTTGTTTGGAGTTTCCACGCCACGTCTTCTCCTCTTTCCGGGCGAGTTGACCGAATTCCAAAAGTCGCGCTCTTCCACAGCTGCGATCAGATCTTTGTAGTCGCAACTCCTCGAGAGTCCCGCGGCTATGTAGCATTCGGGGGAGCGTGCCCGCTTTTCCAAGGGTGCCATGGGATCTATGAACTCGGGAGGCAGCTTCGCGCGAATGTCCGCCCTGAGAAGGAGAAAACAAGAGGATTGAGTCTTATTTAATTCCAAGAGTTGTCTGATCCAGACCGGCCATGCTCAACCTTGCTAAAGGCGTCCCCCTGGGACGGAGCCTTCCGGGGCTCGCATCTTCACGAGACGATGCAACATGTATCCGTCGTTTCCAACGAGGTTCGAAAGTCGGATTATGTTTCCATATATGATGCGTAAAGACCTCGAAACCACCGTTTCCACAACGAGCTTCTCAACCACCACCTTAATCACCGCCACCACCTTAACCACCACCATTGCAACCACAGGCCACAATTCCCACCAGCACAAAGACGAACCTTCACCGGGAGCATTCCGAAGGGTATTCACGTGCCACATGGAAGCTTTGCTCGGAGAGTTTTACCTTTACGGAAGTTTCAGTCTCCCGCCCTCTTCCGCGATTTGCGGTGCTTCTCGAGGGGAAATCATTCCATTTCCTTAGAAGTCCTTCAGGAGAAAATTGGAACTCTAGCCGTTGCCCGAACTCCGGAAGCTTCGTAGATACCGGAGCTCAGTCCGCTGAATGGAAACTCGCTCGACATCGATGGAAGCTGGCTCGACAGCCCGTTCCTGTGCTGTGACATCTCTGATAACCTCGGAATCGACATGCTGCTTAAGTCGCCGGAAGCCAAATCACTCGTCCCATTCTGATCGAAGTTCGCCCAAGCCGGTGTCTTGAACAACGGCCGAGGAATTCCGGGAATATGCGAGCCGCTCCCCAGAGCGATTGATTACTGCCCAGCCGAACTATTCAGATCGATTACGGAGGTGCTGTTGTGCAGCATCATGGAGAGCGAATTTGTGTAATCCTGTGATATCACACAGCGATCGAAAACGAGAGAAAGCAATTCTTCGATAATCGGAATTGAAATTCACCTCCGTTGGTTGGCACAACGCTGCATCGGGATCTAGATTTCTCTCGATCGTCCACGAATCATCAGACTCCCAGCTTGGAGCGTTAGAGCCTTGATCGACCGCGGACCATGCCTCAAACTAGAAGCTCCCTACTAGCGCCATAGTCGCCTTAGCAGGGTCTTCCCGTATGCAAAGTTGTTACGGAAGGAAGCGGAGCTTAGAGATTGTGGTGTAGTCCTCGGGAATTCGCTTTTGGAACCAGCTGTCCCGGAAGACGTCGCAGCCCGACTCCGTTCGAGCCAACGACCATCTGATCTCGCTCCGAGAGTCCGAGCTTCTCCAAGCAGTGAAACGTAGTCGAGCGAAAGACATAACCTTTTATCGATGCTTAAAATACCCTCATTAGAACACGAGTCGTGGAAAGATAGCGTTCGGCTCAGATTGTCCCAGAAGTCAGCAATCCTTCGCGAAGACGGAATAATTCGAGCGTCTGAATTACGCCGCTCGTACTAAACGGGGTGAGGGGCAACGGCATCGCTTCGGATTAGGAAACGATAAAGGCGAATATCACGTCTGGAGGCGCCGGCCTTGCGTGTTAAGGCCGTTTCCGTACCTCAAGGACCGAACCAGAGTCGGCTATCATACGATTTGTTAACTGAAGTACATACTCGAATGGGATTCAGCCGATGAATAATTTATTTTTGGAAACTTTCGCTCCGCTGGACGGTATTGGTGCGCCTGGAGCGCTGCCAAGCGCACAGTGAACTGCTGCATGCGTGGTCATTTCGCTTGATATCGGAACGAACCCTTCTCAGGATATACCTACGGTCGCCGCATCATACATCGTCAGGGGACGAATGCAACGACACGTTTCTCTCTTTCTTTATCCTACGAGCCTTCTTCTGGTCTTCGAGGACTTTGGGCACTCTCTCAGAGTTTCATCTGAATGCAGAACCACGCGGTCGCATCATATTTCGGAAAGGACTTTTCCACCTGGAATAGCAGTAGTTGATTCAATATCCCCCGAAGATCCATCCGTTCTCGTGCATAACGTTGACAAACGCCCCATGCACTCTCCGACCCAGAAGTAATCGCAGGCGTTCACTGTGAGGGATTTTCCGGATGTTGAATATTTTTCCCACCACCAAAAGGAAAGCATCCAGAAGTTTTCACCCGAGTGAGCAACACGAGGAAATAAGTGCATACGTTGTGGATGTCCAGGAAACGCGGTGTTTCACTGACATATTGGGAGATAAGACGAGGTCGCAGAGATCCGTGAGGCAGCCGAAAATACGGGTAGCAGAAGCGAGGACAGATCGTGATGACGCAGGCACCCCGGGATGCCAGGAACGTCGTTCTGCTCTTCCGGAGTGGCCATCGACTCACAAATCCCTGGAATCTCGACGAGGTTTCGCAAACTCGCCGGCAGCCAAACATCGCAAGCGGGTTGGACTCGACTCGGGAGAGAACAAGGCGCACCTTCACCAATCCCATCGCTGTGGGAATTCCACCTGCGGATAATCACTGACTTCGGGAGCGCCAACGTCACTTGATGATTCGGGGTATCCTGTCCGCTGCGCCCGTGGCTTACAGCGTCCTCGCTCATCGGCGTCCAAGCTCCTCGAGATCTTTGTAGCTCACGACTGGTTCGCTCAGGAATATGCAGTCGGCCTGTCCTGGTAGTCGCAGCGGGGGACATATTTGGAATCTCATTGCGTCAGGGCTGTAATCCAACGTCGAGTAAAATGCGTGATTCCCTCTGGGCCACACAGACAAACATATGTAACTCGGTTCCGCGCGCGAATTCCATGCTCGTCCCCAATGACAGAAAATTCTTCGCACAGGCCTTGATGTCGATCTCTTCGAACAGTGACCCGAACGCCTCCAGCCTGGGAATCGAGACGAGCTCCCCGGAAGGCTTGCTTATAAGCCCAGTTTGAAACTTCCGGGGCATTGGCTTCATTTAACATGATTATAAACTCCGTGACGAGACGAGACGCGACGAGTTCGACTGCCTTGTTCCTCTCGTCGGCTGAACTAATAAGAGACTGGATTTCGAGATCAATTTGTCTATTGAAGCGGAGGACTTCTATTCCTCGAGCTGTCTGAGGGATATCGGGCTTCAGAATATCCAGGATGTCCCTACAGATATAATAATGCGTAAAGAGGAAACTTTGATTATTGCTCATTCCGAGGATGCTTCGCATCAGTCGTGAGAGACACGTCGCTTTTGACTGAGGAAGCTCCATGAAATTCCGCATCAGATTGCTTTCTCATATTTACACCGCCAACAAGGGACTGCGCAGCATGGCGGACAAGCAGGGCAGCAGGCTCCGGCTGTGTAAAGCTTCTTCTCCCGGCGCGGTGGTCCCTTTTACAAGAGCACCGTTAGAAACATCAGAATGAGAGTTTACTACGTCACGCCATAGCTCGGATTTCGAAGCATTTGTCAAGTCCGTGAGTCTGGTCGCTTCCTCGGAGCCCGCGCTCCCGAAACCCGAGTCCGCGGAAAATGTTCAACATCGGAACCAAGGAGAGATAGGCTCGGCTGCTGCTCGGACTTAGCTATCCTCGGCGCAACGTTTCTCCTGCTGAATCTTCTGCGAGCTGTCGAGCGGAATCCCCCGAGAATTTCAAAGAGTTTATCAGATTTCCATCCCAGGTCCGGGTGTTTCCATGGAATTTCAGAAGGAAGTCTCTGCATGAGATTCCCTTGCTCTTGAGCGCTCTGAGAGAATCATCGTCTCATCTACCTCATCTGAGAGAACATCTGGCAGGCAGGTAGTCGTTGACGGATGTTTGTACTCTTTTCCGTCCACGGATCTCGGCCACTGTCCGTCCCGACTCGAGAGCGCCGCTCCACAGGCCTTCTATTATGCATCAGTGAATCAACTTACTCCTTGGCTTTGAGTTCTTCGGTGAGGGTGTTCAACTCTCGTATGAGATGCTCAACCTGCTTGCCTTGGCGTTTGAGGTTGAGGAAGTATTTCATTCGAGCAGAAGAGCTGTAATGAAAAAATTCCCCGTGAGATTTGGTATCAAAGGAGTCTGCGCATTTCGTCGCGAAGTGAAGTACGTTCTACAGCGCGTTTTTTATGCGTCCTCGATACAGGTGATGCATCATTCAGTAGCCTCATCCGTATCAACGTTACGCTCAACAAGCTGAAGAAGCACGCTCCCGGACGGCAATGACCGAGAATCAAAGTTTCGTTTACGATTGCCAGGTCGCAGGACCTCACTCGCTTCAGAGCCGTCTCGGAGGAGGCCGCGTCATACTCTTTGCCGGCAGCAATCGGGCGCGGTCTCAGCGCCAGAAAACGCGTTGGCATTCTCTTCGAACTCGCACAAATTAGTTCGTAATATAAATTCCTGAATCTCGCCAGGCCACGAACTTATCCAGGAGAATGCCCACCGAGCTTCGACTCTCCGCGAAACAGACTTTCGCGCGAATAAATGCAGACCTGGACCAGGCCGACGACCAGGGCTCCCAGACTGTTTCCGCGAATGCTCCACAGACGCGAAAGCTTCTTTTTACGACATGTTGGTCATCATCTTTCAAGGTCATCGTCTAAACCTTTGTCGACCTTCGGCAGTTATTGTCAGGGACCACGAGTGGTGAGCTCTGTCCTGCGATTCCAGGATTCACCGCCGTTAGTTTTGCCCGGGACCACTATATCCTCCGCACCGTCGAGTCACAAACACGTATATTAAATTCACTGCTGGATTTTTCTCTGATGCATGGAAATGGGGGATATTCATCATTGTAACTCGCGACAGACAGATAAGGAGGAGCAATGGGCAGAGGGTGTCCCGGATACTCCGATTGTATTCAATCGAGCTCAAGTCGAAGCATGGGTTCGTAGGTCTGAGGTCTCCGATGGCGATGGGAGGATAAGTTGACTGTCAGGGTGAGATCACGTTTCTTGGTGGCGGGCTTTCTTGACCGTTAGCAACTCGAGCTAATGCTTACATTCTACTCCGCCCTGATCGGGTTACACTCCGCACTCGGAAGAATTAATCGACAAGACGATTGACCGCCCTCAATTACATGGCAACGATTGCGAATCACCGTCTAATGGGGCTGACGTAGTCCTTGGCTCGCTGGAGTACCGAGAAGGGGGATGAGAGGCATACGATTGCTCGAATCGTTCAATGCCTCGAGAACTACGGACTCATTTATGTAATTCTGACGCTCAACGGGCGTTCAGCGCGAGCGTACGTTCTAAGTAAAGCAAGATGAGGAGCTCGCTCTGCCCACGGGGCTTTGCTCGTCGAAGAAAGGCCTTTCCTCGCTCCACCAGTAGCATTGTTTGTCGGGATGGACCGTTTCCGCCGGGTGAGTGGGCAGGTTTATTAACACCATAGTGTTGTGACGTAGTGACAGCTTCACGGTAAGATTGCATTCACGCTGAACGCTCTGTCATGCTGGGACGAATGCGTGGACTTGGGGAATAATACTGACCGACATAATTCGCATATTCTCTATGGGTTGCGCTCGCTTCAGTCTCGGGGAATACCTAGTATCGGGAAGCGACACCCGGATATGAGTTATACAAAAGAAAAGCTCTTCCCCGGAACAACTTGCGTAATCAGATAGGATGTTCTCTCAGCACTTGTCAGCTCCGAACGAATCTCTCGAGAAGATGTTTCGAAAGTCATTTTGTTGTGCACTCTGAGCTCCCCGAGCGAAGATTTGGACTTTGGGAAAGTTCTCTCTGTGTCTGAATCGATGTCTGGTCTCTCAACGGACGATCGATCTTTCACGGCTCTTTCGACACGTCGCGAAAAGCGTCAAGGATGCATCAAGCCGAGTTTTCAGCCGATACAGGTTGTCCTCCATCTCTCGACCATCTCCTGTGAGGAGCTAATTCGTCTTCATGTACGTCTCCTATTTCAATGCCAACGATCGTTTCTCGGCAGCAGATTCTGATAACGTTCAGCTTCGGAGCTATTCCGAGCGGCGTAATGCGAGTTAGACTTCTCGCCGACCGCCATTTGCGCACTTAGCGCGGATGCCTTGATGAAGACAACGCGCGGCTGCGCGAGCCGCGTCGACTCTCGAGTATCATAACTTTCACGTCGGAAACTGCCGTAGGTAGATAGAGGCCGGCCCTCATGCTCTAAATATTCAAGATTTCCGAGCAGGGACTCAGCTCCTCGCAGAGGTAGTGTTCATGCTGTACTATGAGGTTCTCCTATCAGGTTCGTGCCTTCGAGCTGAGATTCTGATCAATATTTCCTCCAACCTCTGAAGGTATTCGTGACTTCTAATCCTTTTTAGCAATCCAATATCCACCGAAAGCTGTTCTTCGAGATCTTCGACCTGGACCCCAACTCGGAGCTATAATCGGAATTCCAGGAATTTAGAGATCTTGTCGACGCTGCGGAGATCGATAGCTTGTAGCACTTGGTGCTCGTCGGGAAATCCTCCTCCTCATTAGTTGACTGAGCTTCCGACGCTCTCTCTCGACTTTGGAGTCTTAAGAGAGCGTCCCTCGAGTTGTGCTCATGTCATCGGTCCTCGTATCTCGTGTACCGTGACCGCTCAGTTAGGAGCCAACCGTCTTGCATGTTCAAGTGACGGGGAAAACACCGGGCCGAAAGCGGTGCTGTCGTATCTTCGCTTATCTTGGGGCGGGCCTCACTCGAGTCTTCTGGCCGAAGAGCAACAATCTTATCACGAGGCCTCTGACAGCCTCCGGTGGCTCTGATTGATACAACGTGGGAACGCGTCAGAGCGATGAAGTCTCGAGCGAGGTCATCGACTCGTGGCGCTCATGTCTGACGCGCTAACGGTCCCCAGAGAGCGGGCCTGTGTCCCCGACAGTTTTGGACAATCATGTTCGGGCGACGTGCGGCTCTCTCCCCCCCCCCTGGCTGGGCTGCGAGCCCATTTTTGTAAAGATAAATATTTATACATCTGGTCACTCAGATTCCGTGCTCTGAGATCGACGAGGATTTGGTTATTCAGAAATGAACTAGGGAGTAATCGACAATCGTCTTCCGGTGAGGTCCCAGCCCCTCTCAGTCAGATGACGTGATCCCCATGCATGTTGAGGCAACTCCGAATCAGCAGATGCGCCGCGTTGCGTTGCACCGCTCCCTAGCGAGCGAATCTCTCTCCGAACTAGTCCTGCGTGTGAATCTCGACGTTCCGCCCGCTCTAGATGAAGACTGAGAATCTAATCTCGGTAATGGTAGCGAAATATCAGGACAGGGAGAATTCGCTGCTTGTCTTTATCTCTGTAAAGTGATACAGTAGGCCCGCCTTTCGAGTCCTCCACTAATCGGGAGTCGCTATCAAGTTCCTCATGGGAGTTTGTCGTAGTATTTGTTTGGCTGAGCTGCGTGCGATTCGTCCTCGACTTCCACATTTCCATCAATCATGAAACACGCCATCCGCTCGGGCTGAGGTTTGGTGAGGCGGTCGATGGGTGCTCATAAAGGAATCTGCCATCATTATCGAGATCTCTTGTCGCAGGACCGGGAGTCGGTCTGCGATCGATCTGCGGCAGGAACCAGAGAACATCAGGCTGAGAATCGGGGCATCTAAGGCCGGAAATCCTCGCGTGAGCCGGACAAGGGCTTCGATTTTGCGGCTCGAAGTTTTGAGGGGAACCGCAGTCTTACGAAACAGTTTTTAGTTGAGATGTCCACTACGTATGCGTAACGGCTCTATGCAAGATGACTCAACATCGTGTTCCAATCTTGTCGATGCTCGCACCTCCCAGTTGTAAATTCGATCATCCAAGGTCAGCTCGCAGCGTATGTAATCAGCTACAACAACAAGCCGCGGAGTCTCCCTTGCACGAGCACCGTGGAAGTCCATGGAGCTCGAGTCATTGACGTTCATCGCGTCCCAAGCTTGTTCTTCGGCGCACCCCATCCATGAAAGATGCCATCGTCCCGTGCACCCGATCAGCCAGATGATTGCCGGATAATTATGATTTGGATAATACCAATATTGATAATTATAATGAGCAGTGGAATCGACCGCGTATCGTTTCATGAGTTCCAATTCCACTCATTTTCCCGTAGAAGAGCCCTCAGATCCTCTCTCTATTCTGAAGCCTGGCGCAATATTTCTTGTTGGAATTATTTCATCAAATGTCAATACTTCGACGATGATAGCAAGAGTCGGCCCTCATTTCCGATCTTGATGACCGGTGAAGGCGCGACGTTGATAATCGGGACTTGACCTAAAGGTTCGTCGGTGAAAAGTTAAGGCCCATTCTCGCCAGAGGCGACGCGACGAGTAGCGACCAATCAGGGTAATGAAACATGTGAGTATTCCACTAAAACAAATTGTGTTCTAGCCTGTTGCTTGTCACCGTCGGCGATGCACCACGAACGGAGGCCATCGCTGCTCAAGGTCAGACCGCTGAGCCGCCGGCGCCAACGCGGGCTCGTACACGTATATCCTCAGCAATCGTGATCCATCACGATTGACTTATGAAAACAGTATCGAGAAGGGATCCAATGGGACAATAATCAGAGGTCTCGAAAATCACCCCGAGACGTGTAGGATATATACGATCGGTCATTCACTGAGCTACTCGGAACTTGAGTGGCTTGTTATCCATGGCTCAATCGAGTTCTGACGCGAAAATTTCTCGCTCCCGCTCTAGCTTTTCAAATAAACTTGTCGACTCAGAACAAGTTTTGTGTCTCGATGGCCTTGCTCGCTCCGGAAAATGTCCTGAAGCTCGATGACGCATTTTTCTTCCAATTCTGTCGCTGTTGTGCATAGAGGATACGCCTGCTCTCCGCGGAGAGCTTGTTCGGCGGTGGAACTCATTTCTTCAATGACTTGAATAAACAAGGCATCCGAAAACAAATTCGAACCATACAGTGGAGCCGATCAAACCAGCTGGAGTTCTTGCATTCAGGAGGGAGGGGCGTTTCGATCCCCGGACCCCATCGTTCCCGCTACCCTCATGCGGAATACTCCTCCCGAACACGCCTGATAGATGAAAACGTGAGCATCTGAATTAGCACATTGGCA